TCATTTAAAACATTAAGCGTGGTAAGAGATAAACAGTTAAAGTAATAATGGTAGTGGAATAATGTTGTATAAATTTGAGAATATTTCAATGCTCTCTGGAAAATAACTATTTTTAGAATGTGGTATGATATCATCAGTATAGAGTTGTTGTAATAACATCATTTTTATACGCCCGTTTTGAAAAACAGGTCGTATTATAGTTTCTCCCTGGAGGGCAGCTGGGCGAGCAGCTTTTGTCAGGAGCATATCTCCTACAACCATGGAGGAATTTTAATGAAACTTCATAAAAATGTTCACCACTATGAGAAGCTGTGTCACTTTCAATATAACTTGGCATAAATGTTCACTTTTGGGAGGTGGAGTGTCGCGTGCAAAATTTAGGTCCCTGCGGTCAAGGTCACACATAGGGGGTCAAAATTCAGAGGAGCTAAAGTTCACATGAGCTAAAAATAGAAAAACCTTGTTAACACTCTAGTGGTCACATTTTTGACTCAATTGTCATCAAAATTGGTCAGGATGCTTGTCAAGGTAATTGCTCGATGAGTTCGAACATGGGTCATCTGGAATGAAAAACTAGGTCACAGGAGCTAAAAATAGAAAAATCTTCTTAACACTAGTGGCTTCTGTTTTGATCCAAATATCCTGGAAGAATTGGTCTGAAAGTTTCTTTTAATGATTTCTAGGTCAATTTCGAATATGGGCACCTGTGGTCAAAAACTAGGTCACACCGTGCCCAAATATGGAAAAACCTTGTTAAAACTCTGGTGGTCACATTTTTGACTCATTTGTCATCAAATTTGGTCAGGATGCTTGTCTAGGTAATTGCTCGGATGAGTTCAAACATAAGTCATCTTGGATGAAAAACTAGGTCACAGGAGCTAAAAATGAAAAATCTTGTTAACACTTTAGTGGCAAATATCCTGGAAATTGGTCTGAAAGTTTTCGTGATTTCTATGTCAAGTTTGAATATGGGTCACCTGTGGTCAAATACTAGGTCACACTGCTCAAATATGGAAAATCCTTGTTAACACTCTACTGGTTACATTTTTTACTCACCTGTCATGAAACTTGGTCAGAATGCTTGTCTAGGTAATTGCTCGGATGAGTTTGATGGCTCAGGTGAGTGATCTAGGGCCATCTTGGCCCTCTTGTTATAATTAATCATTTTTTAGCTCGACTTTTTTTTTTTTGAAAAAAAAAGTAGAGGTATTGTTATAGTCAGGTCGGCGTTGCCGTTGCCGTTGCCGTCTCCGTTGCCGTTGCCGTTGCCGTCCGAAAACTTGTACCTGGATCATAACTTTTTTATTTCTTGGTGTATTGTCTTCATACTTGGCCACAACAACCCTTGGGACAAGACCTTTCAGTAGACCACACTAACCTTGACCTTCATCCATAAATGACCTTGACCTTCAAGGTTAAAAGTCCAATTTTTGCTTGTTCATGCTGTTATTGGCTGTTACTTTGTTATTTTTGAATGGATTGTCTTCAAACTTGAACATAATAATCTTCAAAGATAACTGTTAAAAATATACCGAAAGACCTTGACCTTCACTCATTAATGACATTGCCTTTGAAGGTCAAATTATTGAAATTTTCATTGTTTTGGCAGTAACTGACTGTAACTTTGCTATTTTTGAAGGGATAAACTTCATATTATAACAGAACATTCTTTAGGACCAGACCTTGTTGTTTATCAAACCCAAATTTGCTTGGGCTCTTTAATGACCTTGACCTTGAAGGTTATATAACTGAATTTTCTCAGATTGTGCATTTATTGGTGTGTGTGTATGTATAGTATATGTATTATATATAAATATATATATAAATGTGTGTGTGTATATATATACATATATGCAGGTATATATATATATATAAAATATATATATATATATATATATATATATATATATATATATATATATATATATATATATATATATATATCAAAATATATATATATATATCAAATATATATATATATATATATATATATATATATATATATATATATATATATACATATATATACATGTATATAATTGCGTCATGTTTTTCTATTTTTAGAAATTGCGTCATTTTTTCTATTTTTAGAAATTGCGTCATTTTTGCTATTTTTAGAAATTGCGTCATTTTTTTCTATTTTTAGAAATTTCGTCATTTTTGTTCTATTTTTAGAAATTGCGTTATTGTTTCTATTTTTAGAAATTGCGTCATTGTTTCTATTTTTAGAAATTGCGTCATGTTTTTCTATTTTTAGAAATTGCGTCATTTTTTTTTTCTATTTTTAGAAATTGAGTCATGTTTTTCTATTTTTAGAAATTGCGTCATTGTTGCTATTTTTAGAAATTGCGTCATTTTTTTCTATTTTTTGAAATTGCGTCATTGTTGCTATTTTTAGTAATTGCGTCATTTTTTTCTATTTTTAGAAATTGCGTCATTGTTTCTATTTTTAGAAATTGCGTCATTTTTTTTTTCTATTTTTAGAAATTGCGTCATTGTTTTTATTTTTAGAAATTGTGTCATTTTTTTCTATTTTTAGAAATTGCGTCATTTTTTCTATTTTTAGAAATTGCGTCATTTTTTCTATTTTTAGAAATTGCGTCATTGTTGCTATTTTTAGAAATTGCGTCATTGTTGCTATTTTTAGAAATTGCGTACTGTTGCTATTTTTAGAAATATGCTTAATGTTTCTATTCATATATATACAAAATATATAAACAAAACTAATGTGACAAGACAGACCAACTAAATTTATAAAAAGGAAACATCAATATATGTTCAAACCTTTCTATGTTTGCGTTTAGAAAAAGTAAAAAGTCGAGCGTTGCCCCCGCCCGGCGGTGGCTCTTGTTTCATCTATTCCTAAGCATGTGAAACAATTCAGTATTTTTAAGTGCTAACGTATCTACATATGTGTACTATATTTGCAGAAAGACAAGCATCATTCCCTGCTGGTACAGTTGTTATGTGAGGAACTGAAGGTAGAAGCTGATCAGCTGATGGACTTTGACCTTCACCTTGCTGATACCCAACCAGCTGTCAGTATACAATTTTGTTATATTTGTTTTCATTTTTGTTAGCTCCACTATTTAAAGAAGAGGGAGAACTATTTCACTCCTATCACCATGGCATTGGTGTCATTGAAGTTTTTGCTGGCAAGTTTGTATCTCAGAAACTACTGACGGAATTAGACTGAAACTTCACACACATATTTGAGAGCAAAGAAGGCGGTCCTTGTCCAAAACCCTTAATTGTAATGTGGTTTATGACAAAATTATGACCCTTGTGACAAAATTATGGCCCTTTTACAATATCGAAGCTCTTGTTTTATTGTCAAGCTCTCAGAAAAGTTGAGCACGGTGACCTACCAACAGCTACTAGTTATGTTTAGCAGAATAAGAAGTTACTTTAACTTCTAATATACCTGCCTCACTGTAAATATATACTATGGTAGGACTGTCATGATGTAATTGGATAGAATTTTAAGGACACACTTACATGTATATACTTGCAACATATAGTAACCTCTTATATATAATTATTAGGTCCTGTCTGAGTCTTAATACTAGTGTCATATCATCCTGAATGAAGCAGACAAAATGTGATTCAGGCTCTTTTTATGAGAAAACACTGATTTCATGAATGAAGCACGAAGGTTACCTCTTTAGAAAGTTTCTAAACCACAATTTATCTGCTCTCTTTCAGAATTATATGACACTAGAAGTTTGGCAAATGTCTCTGGTATACATGAAATTAGAAATGAAGTGAAGTTTTATATGCATTATTGTATTAACATATATCAGAAGCACAAAAGTCTTCTTCTATATGGAAGCTTTGTCATCATTTTCATAAATAATCTTGAAAATTATATGTTTTTCGGGAAAATTTATAATTCTGGTTACAATATAATGTAATTTCACCTGAATTGGCTAATTCATCTCTTAAAGTTTGATTAAATATAACTATAAAACTAAATTGATCTGTTAACTTACGATGTTGCTCATTTCAGCCATAGATGTGTACAATGGTTTGTACCTTTGACAAAATGTTGATTGTTTACTCATGTACATTATCTGGATCAGATTTTCAATTTTCTAGAGAATTGTCACAAGTCTGGATGCATGCTGTGATAAGCTACATTTGGTGTTAGATTAAGTACTTCATTATGAACATTCAGAGAGGAAATGATAAAAGTTAAATGAGTGTTATGTTATATTTTCAGGTTATTGGAGGTGTATTAGAAGAATTTATCTTCTCACCAAGATTGGACAATCTGCTAAATGCCTATACTGCTATGGTGGTAAGATTTTTTAGTCAATCTTCAACAATGTAAATATACTTTGGATAGCTACATGTCTATATGTCTAATAATTTAAATGGGCCTGAGCCGGTACACACACACACATCCCCCCCCCCCTTCCCCCGGCATTGTTGGAGATAGCATGAGGAAGAGAATGTGCTGAGTTCTATCTTTCCCAGCTTTGCACAACCATTTTAATGGTTTGGTTTTGATGTTAAAGAAGCAAGGGACATACCGTAAAATTCCTATTAAACGCCCTCGGGGGCTAAACATTTTCCAAAAGGGGGGCTGTTATTACAACACGTTTTTTCCTAAATCCAAAAATCATTGAAAATACATTTAGTGTTAACGAGTGTTGGTAATAACATTAAAATGTGTTAAGATTTTAAAGTTCATGTGATACATTTTTGTGTTTACTATGAAATAGAATGGATTTGAAGGATTTGAATAAAATTACGGATTTATTCAAGAGTTCACCACTGATGAGCAGATTTTTTTTCCATATCGAAAAGCCTAGGGGGGGGGCTTTTATTAGGGGAGGGGCGTTTATTAGGAATTTTACGGTATGACAGTGTCTCGGCAGTAATTGTTATCTGGGATTTTACTAATCAGGACTTTCCCTGCAGGTTTGAGAATCCTAAAGTCAGAAATAATCTATAATGCATGGTATTGCCACGGAGGGTTAGGGTCATTGGTTACAATTGACTGGTTCATGATGGTGTGCTTTTAATTTAAATTTCAGACTTTTTAATGTTGGCAGACTTTTAATAGTCATCTTATCCCCGAAATTGATAATGGACAGTTATAATTATTATAATATCATCGAAAGTTATATTTGATGATGTTTAACTTCTATTTTCAGGGTCTAATATCATCATGTTCTACCTCATCACTAGATAATGACACCAATATAAGAATGATTAGTCTTTTTGATAATGAGGAGGTACAGTATACATATATAATACTTTTATAATACTTATAGTACAAAACTACAACATACACAAAATAGATTTATCTCCCTTATTCTCACAAGGGTAACCTTCATTGTGCTTTTCCCTGTATAAATTGACTGGGATTTTTTCTTCTTTTTTTTTGTACATGTCATATCCAGGTTTGTGTTATTTGGTCATTTGCATGTTTGCTATTCGTCCATTGGTACTCTTGAATATAGGAGGTAAAGTTGTTATACATGTAACATTGGAATTTCAACACAGCTTATTTGCATAGTGGTATTAGCACAGGTAGAATGCATGAATGAGAGTTTATGCAAAGGAATTATAAATGGTGTGAGATTACATTATTATTTTGACTCTTACCTTGAATATTACTAAGAAACAGCATTAGAAAGTAATGATTATTTTGTTATCAAAAACATCAAGTCAGGGTGAATAATGTTCATCACAAAATGTTGGTTTTGTAAAATTTAAAATTAATAAGTGTATGATACAGTAATTTAGAAAAAAAGAAAAAAACTGAGATTTCATTATTGTAGGTAGGATCAAGTAGTGCTCAGGGTGCTGGTTCCAGTTTCCAGGAATATGTTCTTCGTAGACTAAGCAGTGGTGGGAACCAGACAGCATTTGAGGAAGCCATTCCAAAATCTTACATGATTAGTGCTGACCAGGCTCATGCCATACATCCGAACTACAGGTAGAATAATAATTTATAATAGGATAATAATTGGTTCATTTATTGAGAGGTCATAGATGTTGTTGGGTTTGTTTTGTCACAATAAGATATAACTCTACTACATAATAAATGTTAAACATACCAGCATTTAGATCATTATATCCAAAGGTCGTGTATTCAAGTAACATTGTATTAGGTCCTATTAATGGATGTTAAATTATGTTTTTATTTTGACAGTGATAAACATGAGAGCAACCATCAACCAGGGTTTCACAAGGGTATAGTTGTCAAGATAAACGGTAACCAACGTTACGCCTCCACCGGTATCACTAATACTATACTGCGAGAAGTAGGGAGAATGGCTGATATACCGCTACAAGTAAATCATTTCTAAATGCATCTAGGTTGAAGAAAAAATAATTTTTGATTGTGTAGAAAGCTATAGCTTAAAGACACACTTTTGGATCACTAACAACGAGTTTAAACAAAGTCTTGCTCAATATAAAGTTTCGACACATGTGACTAGTGTATCTTAGATTTCAAGTCCAAAGCATTAAACATTTGGCAATGCTACCCCTCTGGGAGTTTGAACACACAAGGCTAGCTAATCTTACATTACTAGTCTAAAGTGTTAACTTGACCATGTTGCTACTTATTATTGATTATACAATGTGTTTCATTAAAATGTTAATAATTATTTTATGAAACCCATTGACTTTACTTTGAATTACAACAATTTTATTTCACAAACTTAGCATTGTAAAGGTTTAATGAAAAAAATGTATTGCTATTGTTTTGATTTTGATTGATGAATACAATTGAATATTTCAGGATTTTGTGGTAAGGAATGACTCTCCATGTGGCTCAACCATTGGTCCAATAATGTCAGCAAAACTTGGTATGCCTACAGTGGATATCGGAGCCCCACAGCTCAGTATGCACTCTATCAGAGAGATGTGCTGCACCTCTAGTGTATGGCAGGCTCAAACTCTGTACCAGGTAGGGATATTATGACACTAAATGTTTGGTATTACATGTAGTTACTCAATTTAGGATTGTAATGTTTCTTATAAAGCTATAATTCTTGATGGTCTTGATGTGTATAGACAATATTCACTTGTCTGTACAGGCTGTAGGACAACCTTGGCAAAATGGACAATTGATTTATATGGACAACTAATTTGTAATGAGAAAAAGTTTCCTTACAGAAGGTCTATGGCTCTACTTTAGTGCCTGCTTGTCCAGAAATAATGCACAAATGGACACCAGAGTTCCTCCTCCACCAGTAAAGTTGGAAAGTTGCCAAACTGCAGTGTGAGAGCCATGGTATGATCTTTTTAGAAAGGTGGTCTCTTAAGACATGATCTTATGGTTAAGTTGATTTTGTATATATATGGTTAATAGCAATATATAAGTATCTGTTTCCTTTTCAGACTTTCTTTGAGCGTTATCCTGATGTTTACAACTCACTTAACTTCTAATCAACATTGAGATGTCAGATTGACCTTGAGATGTCTAGGTGACTTTTAGACATATATATGTAAACAATCGCAAGATGTCTCACACTGCTGTGATTACAGTCATAATATTTATTAACATCAATTAAGATACATTCAGTATTGTTTAGCTTTTGAATTCACCCGGACATTGTTGTAAAAAACTTGTTGTCAATATATAATGATTATGTGGGTTGTATTTTTTTCCTTCTTCTTCAGTTTTTGTTATCATTTCGATAGTATTAATATTAAATTTTAACTCAGACTTTATTATTATCTGATCAAATGTTCAAGTCAATTGTTAAGTAATTTGGATCTCTTTTTTTTTTTGATATGATAGCTTAAATTTAATAGTTAATATTTCAGCTTTTGTGATAATTTGTATTAAAGTTCTACTAATATGGAGGGCTCTTGATTTGATTGGGATGAACTGCACTTTTGAGATTATATTACAATGAACTTCTTTAATATTATAGTCAGAGTTTTACTATCAATTTTTCTAATAATTCTTGATTTTAATTTCAATTTATATGATTATTTGAACATGATTTTTGTGACTTATAATTATTCAGAGCCGTCATTGACTAAGTTGAAGGCATAACAATAATATGAAAATACACAGAGGCATAGGTTGGTTGAAATGTTTGTGTCAGCTTAATTCTGAGAGCATTTCCTTCATTGTTGTTTACTTAATCAGTTCATTAATGCAGAAATCATGTAATATTCAACATTGAATTATTTTTTAAGCATCTGTGATCATCTATTGAATGATTAGTATATTTTGTGTTCTAAGAAAGATTTGAGCTTTATGTTTCCTGGAACATACATTTTTCTGATCAGTTTTTATTTTGTTTCAACCATTAAAAATGATTATTGAATAAAATATTGTTCTAGGATGTCATTGGTTATCATAAGGAGAATAATTGAGTAATGGTTAAACAAAATTTCTAATTTGTATTTTTTAATTGTTAAATGAATACTTGATGGGTTAAATAATTCTTCCACTATATTTTTTATAATCATTACAGAATATAAATCAGTAGGTAAAATTTTGATCTTTATTTTCTCTTTATTAATCATTAACAAAATTTCTTATCATTAAACTATTGATATAATTTATCTGGATCATTATTGAGCTCTCTTTTTGTGTAACCAGGTTGTTCTAATTTGTGTTTCAAGATTCAGGGACCTTTTTATACAATTTTGATAATTTTTTGCTTATAGATTATGCAACATTTTTATCTATTGGACCCATTTATTTATTTCAATTAATTACAGACTTAAATTTTGATAATATGTTAATGTATTTGTGCATAATTTACGTTAGTTGACATTAAATTAAAAAAAAAATGAACAAATTTATTGTATATGTCTTAATTTCTTTTAGTATATGTTCTGCCGACTTAGATAAATACAAATTAGTATATGTGCTGCATACTTAGATAAATATGATGTGTATGCTGAGTGATGATAATAAGGATAAAAAGTTCAAATACCTGTGAATTTTATAGTTTATTTATTCATAAATTAATACAGGTACATGTAAATACACAATAAAGTATAAGGCTTTACTAAAATAAATATGTAAGTCTTAGATGTAAAACTTATAAAATAAGTAGTAAAAAATGATAGATAAAAAAATAACAAACATTTATCACATTAGTATGAAAATATGAATCTCATTGTATCTTATGAAGGCACTTTGCTCTAGGCTTAAATATATAATTTTATTACCCTTCCAGATTTTTTCCGCCTTTTTGATTGGATATTGATCACCCGAAAGAAATTGATATAACCGAGCCAGACGGGTAATATACACACTAAATTTCCCCGTTTGGTACCCAACGTTGTAAACAACATGCGCGGAGATGATGCGCGTACGGTTCTATTTTACACGGTGTAAATTCCGATTTAAAAGCACTTTTTAACTGTCAAATGATAAATATTTACCAAAGTAGAGTTATGATACATATAACCATCAGTATCGAAAACAAATATGACCTTGTGAAAGCTTGATATTAATTACAAAAAAGTGCGTTCAATAGACTACTCCTTTTCTCTTGTTTACTTTTGTAAGGTACGGGAAAAATACGTCATGTATTTATGTGACGTCATGTTGTGACGAAGAGGTATCCTAAAGGGAATCTTATTTCGACGTTTCATTTGAAACAGCAATGATTATTTAAAAAATCGTCTAAACTCGGCAGGGGAAGGGTAATAAAATTATTATTTTGGTTTTGGAGTGATATATGTGGATATATTACCTGCCAAGATAAAATATCACCCTCGCCTAACGGCTCGGTTGATATAAAATCTTAACAGGTAATATATCCACATATATCACTCCAAAACCAAAATAACATATAATATAAATAATCTTAACTGAACATCCTGCCTGATGTAAAAAAAAAATAGAAGTTTAAATACATGCACCATTAAATAGAATTACTGCACAATTGTTAGATATATATAATACTTTTAGGCAGGACTTTTGTCATTGTGGCCAGATAGCTGAAAATTGTTAAAAATATTTTCTAATAAGTGGTACAGTATCTACATCTACATCATACTGCTTAACAATCAATTCTGATTATGACTAGCAGGCGTATTTTTTATATGTATATATTTTGACTGCATGATGTAAAGTTATAATTTGGTAACGGATTTATGCTTAACACATTGGAGATACTAAAAAAAAAAAAATTCATTTTTAAGTTCACAGGTGAAAAACAAAATCTTTCTACTGATATACAGTGAGTGATATAAGTTATATTTCAGTGATGTCAGTTTTTTCAATAGTGTAAAATATGCTTTATTGTAAATGTAAAAGTGCTACACAAATATTGTTATTATTTCTTTTTTCTTTCTTTCAATTAGGATAGTGTGTATATTTTAATATGCAACTTTATATTGTATAGAACAGAATAGAACAAAATATTTATTTTTAGTCTTGAGCTCTTCCCAACCCTTTATAAATATAAATCATGTAAATTCAAGTCAGATTATTTACAAAATTTACAGCAAAAATTAATGACAGACAACCTTATATAACCTTTGACCATTCATAAAATATAGATCTTGTTTCCAATACATTACAAAAATGTAGGTACTTTTAATTGTTGATACAATAACATATGTTTAACAGATATGAATTTAATTATTGAGCATATAGACCTATTTTGTTGAGATTACACCCACTAGATAAAACCATTAAAAGACATAGCTTTACATGTATATCTAAGCAGTAAAAACAAGTGAAATTTTGAACAAAATGCAATGTATATATTTTTTTTATACAGAGTGCAATATATTAATTTATTTATACTTCTGGCTACTTGGTTGATTAACAAGGGTAAAGGGAAAAAAGTAGCATATGTATTGTACATTGTAATTCTGAACTTAAATCATTTTGAAGTAAAATTGATTATCCACCAAAAAAAAGAAGATAAAACCATATTCAAATTATACTGTAATTATGCAAACTATGATTATTTTGTCAGTAGAGATATTTGTAATTTGAAATCAGAAAATAAAAATAATAATGCTTACAGCCCATTTTGTTATTCTTCATAACCTTATTTGTTTAAAGTTAGAAACATTGCACATGCTTTACTAAGAAACTTTCTACCTATTCAATTTTGTTATGGCTCAGAAATATGGGTATAAATTCTATGATTGGATCAAAAATGCCAGTATAATGTGAATGGGTGGGGTATGATGTCAGCATGGGTTGAAATGATTTTTGATTGTAAGAGCTTCTGTTTTAAATCCATTTTAGCTTATACCTAAGGAATAAGTATGTCCTTAATTTAGTCAAATAGTATCTTGTCATACGTTAAAGCACTTCTTACTCAATGTTTACTGTTTCTTACTCCCATTTTTCGCTTTTCATGCATTTTCTTCTGCTACTTTTTCCTTCCTTTTCGTAGACTCTTTCCGTCTGTGTTTCCTTCTAGAACCTTTGTCTGCTTCGATTATGCTTGAAAGATGTTGAAATTTGTCTGTCGTCTGCTTCATTAGAAGATTGACCTTTGAGTCAATGTCGTCCAGGCGTTTGGAAACTGCGTCAGTTGATGACAAACTTTCCCGCTGAAGTTCCTGCAGGCAGTTTAAGTACTCTGTTTCCGTCATGGACACGTACCAACGAGTGGGTGACAAATTCATCTCTTCATTGTCTAGAATGACATTGATTTAAAAAGTTATAAACATTATTAACTAAACCACATTACGTTCAAGGACAATACTGTTATTATTATATTTATGGTTGTTAACCACATATACAATGTAGATTCTACATGCATATGGAATAGATCTTATTTATGTAAACTTGGCAAATTTGTAATAAATAACAAATACAACATTCACTCTTGTGGCCGAATCTACATGTACATTTTATATAATAATTGAGAAATTAAGGTCTACAATTTATTGCTTTACAACACGCAGGTGCATACACGCGTCCTAAGACCCTGGAATTGTTTATGATGTCAAAGATGATTTACCTTGAATCAGAAAATTGCATGTTGTAGGTTGTCTTGAAATCGTCAGATATGCTAGAAAGTCATCAAATAATATTAAAAGAGAGAAATTATTAACTCAATATTTTAACAAAAATGTTTGTTTTAAGATAGAGATGATTTAAAATCTACTTACTACCATGCTCTATCTTGACGGTTGAGAAAATCCTGCTCAGAGGGAAGCTTGACTCAATCTCCACACCCATTCTGACCGAGTCAATACGCCACGTGACCTGTTTCTGCGCCAAGATCTGCGAGTATGAATCGTTCATCATAGCTATCAGTAGATTGAGGAGAACAATAGTCCCCAGGATCATGTAAAGTAGGTAAATCACTTTTACATATGTTGTGGTGCGACCGACAGCGGTCATGCCCGTATCAAAGTCATCGTCGAATAATTCTCCCATTCCAATCATCATGTTGAACGTGAGGAACATTGTATCAAAGGGGGATTCATATATTTCAGATATGTCGGCGGAGACTTGAAACAGTACATGAAACGTGAAGGCAAACGCCATCAGAACAAACAGGTAAACAATAATAAACCGTAAAACATCCCTGAGGATCATACTGAGCAGCATCCGGTAGAAATAATGAATTGCACGAATTCCTCGTGTAAATGAAATGGTCAACAACCAACCAATGCATATCACTGCGGCAAGAACATAGTCCTGATAGGAATAACGTTGAGTAAATAAGCCAATCCAAACAAACACAAGTGCCGCGAATCCAACACAAACCACTTGGAACAGGTATGAAGCTATAACTTGTAACACGAGTCCGGCACCTTGTTTTCTGCTCAGTTTCGACTTCTTGCTAACGTCACCCGTAATACAGTATCTGATGAGGGCATACATATTATATATGATAATAATTCCTGGTTCCAAAGGTGCAATTATGTACAAAAGCAATGTTTGGGTATCAGACGAGTTTATTTGGCTTTCATCGGTCCGTAATTTCTTTAGTATTTCCACAGACAAATATGTAAATAAGGCCATGTATACGATGTGGAAAACCATGAGTATGACAAATGTCCATGCAACCATTGAGGTATAGTATCTTTCTATTTTCCTAATCGGTGGAAGATCTAATATTTCTGCAGCGTTCGTTGCATTGTTTGTAATCAATAGTTCTAGACCAGAGATTGACGTGTCGTCTGCGTTTCCTGGCAATCCGTCTTCTGCTGGACTTACCTGAATTTTCGAACATCCTTTCAACTCGTTATTGGTCCTAGGTGTCATGCCGCTTATATCAAACGAGTACATGTGTGAAGAATATTCAATCATTGTGACCCCTGGCATCAAAGTGAGGCGATGTAGAACTTCCGGGCATCCGGATTTGAACGCTTGGTTCAAAACAGAGAGTCCTTCGTTGTTTATGACATCATTAATGATGTAAAGAACTGCGTTTCGACGATAAGTTACAGCTTTAATGTCTTTTGCGCGTGCTGGTAATTGTTGACTAGTTCGAAGACACCACCATTTTACAATATTGTCAAGAATGACGTCAAACACTTCTATATGTCTACTTTTATGTTTTTCATCGAAAACAATAGCTTTCACAAGTCTATGAAGAACAGTATCCCCGTCTGCATCTTTGGCAGCAATATCAGCGCCAAGGTCAATCAGACGTTTGACACTTCGCGCGTGACCTTCATCTGCTGCAAGATGTAAAACCGTTTCTCTCGTCTGATAACTAGGTTCGTTTATGCTAGCATCCCGTTTCATTGTCTCAAATATATCAAGCATGATTTCTAGAGCCTCTTCCTGTCCGGGTCTGACAGCTTCATGCAGCGGCGTGAGCCCATCTTTGTCCTTGTCGTTCAATCGAACAAATCGAAATTCCCATAAGACTTCCGGTGAAGCAAACTTTCCTGCAATATGTAAACAGTTATTACCTTCTATATCTTTATCATGCAAACTTTCCCATGCGTGTGTTTTAATTGTGTACTGTACCAAAGTTTTAGCAGTTTCAGCACTTATATCTGCCGAGTAGGCGGCAACGTGTAATGGTGTCTCTCCCTTATTGTTTTTAATGTCCGCTTTTGCTTTACAGTTCAGAAGAGAATCTATGGATTTGGTCAGCCCTTTCAGACATGCTAGATGAAGTGGTGTATTACCGGTTTCATTTTTAGCGTGTAGTACGCCAGTCGAATGGAAAGTATCAATCACTTCCGCCTGGTCGAACATGGCGGCATGATGTAAAAATGTGTTCCCTTCGTCATCCGTACTTTTTGGGTCAAAGTTCATACCTAACAAAAGCTTAATCTTGTCGCATTTCCCAACACTTGCAGCAATACATAGTGGGTTTCTTTTTAGTTCTTCTACATTTTGTTTCCGAGCCACTAAAGCTTTTAATAACGCATTACTTTCGTTATCTATAGCGTAATACCAAACGTCATATCCGTCGTGGTTTTTGTGATTGACGTCAGCGAAGCGTTTCATCAGATGCTGTGCCACATCCACATGACCATTCTTAGCGGCAAGAAGTAATGGTGTATCACCGAGGTCGTCGCTTTCATCAAATCTAGCACCTGCATTAATTAGCATTTTAACAACTTTTAACCATCCTTCGCGCGCGGCATTGTGGATGGCTGTATCCCCGCCGCGAATTTTCATATTGACATCAATACCTGGACATTTCAGGAGCTCATCTACGATGGGGGCGTTGCCATAAGCTGATGCTATAATGATAGGAGCAACCAAACCTAGTTTTCTAGATGTGTTAGGGTTTGCGCGCCCTTTTGTCAACAAAAGTGAAACTGTGCTTGGAAACTGATATCGAATTGCCCAATATAGAGCTGTTGAACCTTTGTCATTTTTTACTTCCGGGTCAGCACCTCGTTGTAGCAAAACGGACACAGTTTCATCGTGACCCCACCTTGCTGCCCATAACAAAGCTGTGTCTTTCTTTCCATTTAAGTGATTCACATCCATGCCTCTATCTAAAAAGAGACGAACTAGTTCAGTATTTCCGAAATATGCCGCTAGATGGAGACACGAGAACAACCTTGGCCTTTGACCTTGAATATCTACAGCTGTTTCCAATTTCATACATTCTAAGCGTGTATTACTATTTGGAATTTTGTCAAGAATAAATCTAACCATATCACTATCGTCCATTTCCGTAGCAATATGGAGACAATTTTTTCTTCCGGAAATTCCAGATTGTTTAATATGATGACTTGAAGTTAGTAATTCGGAGCCAATTTCGAAATTTATCAACTGTTTCGCGAAATCTTTCATACCGTGTGATAAGGCATAGTGTAAAACATTTTCGTCTGATTTTGGGTGACGTACGTTTACCAATTTATGAGTTTTCTTTATTTTGTCACAAAGAACTTCCACCTGAAAAATAGACCGCAATACTTTAATTATGTAACTTTTACAAGGTTTCGGAGCGAGCGGTTGATATAAAATCGAATTATCATAAAGTTTTTTTTCATGTTACAAAGTTCTCATTGCAAACTATGACTTCAAAGCATTGAAGCTGCCCGTCTCATATCGAATAAGCTTTATTTTTTCAAAGTAGGAAAAACTACTATTTGTATAAAATATATGAATATATGAATATAATTATGACAATCCGAGTGAATTATTGCAATTAATTGAAATACTAAATCTGACAAAAATTTACAATAGTCATGTTAATCCTATCTCTAATGAAGTACACATCATAGTTATTTCTAAATATTTTGTTATAAATGTCGTCGGGTAGCAAGATGCTTATGGCGACGTTTGTTATTACTTTACGTGTTCACTTGGGAACACTTTTACAAAATTAGAATTATTCTTAATTTTTATGATAATTAAATATCTGGCTAGAACAGCAGCACCAGTACCTTTTTAGTTTCGTTTGACTCGATAGCTTCGAAGAGCTGTTTATGAAGTTGTTTCGCATCGTCTGCTACACTAGAACTTGTTGGCGCCGTCTCCTCGGACGGACTACTTGCAAAGTCCTCCTCAAGCGATGCTTTACTAGCTCGCTTTTTTCGTGCCTACAATTAAAAATAAAAGAACTAAAAGTACTGGAACTATTTTAAAAAGTAAATTGGTCTATATATGAAGGTCTGAAATACAATGAATAATTACGTTGATAATATTAACTATCGGACATAACAATAAACCACAAAAGAATTGTGTCAAGTGTGAGATACCTAATCTGATAAGACATACATGTATATTTATACATGTACAATAGATAATAGATTGTACAGAATAAAATATTACGATTTATTTTAATTATTCATATAAAAGTTCACACAAAATCACTTTATTAACTTTTTTTCAAATAATATTTTACAAGAGCATCAAAATAATATATTTTTATTGTTTTTATGAACGTTCGAAATACTCGAAATATATACATGTATATTGTAGACCAATCCCCTTTAAGAAGCGTTAAATTTATAATATCAAGGTTTTTTTTTACAATTCTGTCTTCATTAACACAAACGCAGATTGAACGATTGTAATGCATTCTTGTTAGCGTAGTCAAATTCTATCGCAATATTTCGGCGCACGTGCTTGGGTATAGCACGATAGGAGTCAATGGCAGAAATAGCACAACACACATCGGAGGAACTTTTATTTGTTTCATATAGCTTTTGCTTTCAAAATTATTTTATGCTTTAGTTATTCTTGCAACACAATGTCACCTGACATTCACTATTAATAGACAGAAATAGACTGAAATGAAGCGTCGATTCTAAATATATTGACACGTCTGTGAATTGTATGATTGAAGCAGTAAGTGCATTTATTGAAAATCGAATCGTTTGCGTAAATATACAAACATACAACTTTTTTGATAAAGAATTGTCAGGCGCGAATTCAGATTTTTAAAAAAAAAAAGACTGTGTTGGTAGCAATATTTGACAAGATGTAATGCCAAGTCCATTGGGGTGGGTGACAAGATAATAAGTCAAATTTTGCTGATTGTCACTAGTTTTTACTTGATTTCCTCTAATTCACGTTACTTGATATCGGTTGATATAGCGGTTATACATACGAGTAGGGCTTTATGAGGGCGCTGAATACCAAGCATATATATTTCAAATACGCCTCCGGACGAGGGCGGGCAAATTACTATGACAGTTTCTTGGACGAGGGCGGTCCATTCTATAGGGCGGTCCATTCTAGTTAATTAATACCAGTGGCAAATTGCAATTCTATTCAATCATTTACCAACTAAACATTGCTTTATAAAGTATTATGTCCAAACTTACGCTTTCTCTTATTAGTCGAAGCTGTACGAAGTCACCATCTTCCCCAGCCTCCCCGGAGGGAACCAGTGTACCTTTTCTGCGCCGTAGATCCATTTTAACTTTTACAACTAAAATATCAATTTAACAATATTTTTATTGTAAAACATATTAACACAGTGATGCAACGATAAGAGTTTAATATTACAGGTAATGATCCCTTTTACTCGTGTAAATAAACATGTAACAGTATATGTTATAAATGAAAATACAATGTACCTAAAAGTACATTCTTATTTGACATACACATTAATTAATATGATTGGTATGTTAGGACGTTGTTTGTATTTACTTTACGGGACTGTTTTCAGTAATTCGTTTTCTTTTTAATCTCTATAACATAAGTTAAACCATATTATCTATTCAGAATTATAAATATACGTATAAATTTAGTGTATCTGAAATCTGTATCTATAATCCGCTCTGAATAAGATTTGTACTTTTTGTACTTTTGTACTTCTAATGTCCGATGTAGAAAAAAGAAGTAACGCTTAATAATGGTATAGAAATAAACGGGAGAAACGAAAAACCTATAATTGATTTTCAACATTGTAAACGCAAGGTATGTATTTATAAGTGTTCCTGATCAGACCAACACATAAACTTGGTACTTGATCAATGGAAATTCATTAAGTGTTTACACATGTACAGTAAAATATCTCTGCTTACATGCATGTATAATATCCAAAATCTGTCCGCAGCTATTCCTAACATTCTGATTTTACCCAATATTATTTCGTTAATATTTATGGTTTTCTATACAAAATCTCGGGTTAGGGTTAGTGTTATGCCATATGAGTTAGGGTTAGGGGCTCAAATGGGTTAGGGTTAAGATTTTAAAACATGGATTTAAATGCGGACAGATTTTAAAGTGCTCCTATCCAAATATTGAAATAAACTTACCTTATGCAGAATCCAACATTGTTAACTGTCCAGATTTTAACAAAAATTTAATTTTCTACACTACAAATCACGTTCCATTGAATAAAGTAAACTCGATAATCCATGTTCGGGTAACAACACAACCTATATAGCTATTGATCTGCCATGATATCCGCTCGATATTCCTATATATGTAAAAGAATTTACAATTGCTTTTGCATAAATTAATATACAACTGCCTAAAGCTGTGTATTTAACCTTTATATTTGTATAGGTATATACTATAAACTGGCCGTGTCAAGGCTACATGGTAAGTAATTCGCATATGATGTTTATTATATATATATACATCATCGTCTGCGCCAAAAAGTAGCCGAGATAAACGGTCGGTTCACCTGTGGGTCGTATTTTTCGAATATTTTTTGCTCGTACAATTATTAAAAGCGCTTGCGCGTTATATAGATATGATACTGAATATTTAAATATATCGCTTACGAAGATCTATTTATAGACACACGGGAAATTTGCTAGCGTTTGACGCAATTGGCTTGAGAAGTTGTACAATTGACGTCAACAGTGATGTAAATTGTAGTTCAGAATGGGGCCACATTTCATACATCAAAAGACACATGAGACCTCTTTGATGAAAATTTACACCAGCAAAATCCCCCGTAAAATATGTAAATTTTCCACCGTAATTAGTCAGTTATTACAGAATGATTAAACTACATGTGCTCTTTGAATGTTTAAATAACCATGGTGACTGATTTGTGCCATGTAGTGCATTGGCACTTGGTTTCGGGATAAAATAACCCTTTGAGAGGTTTGTAGAACTCGAATATAATTGAATGTTACAATTTTTTTTACGTAGATGTCTCTTTTCTAAAACCGTCATTTTTCCGATATTACTAAAAAAAACACTTTTAGTAATATCGGAAAAATGACGGTTTTAGAAAAGAGACATCTACGTTAAAAAAATTGTAACATTCAATTATATTCGAGTTCTACAAACCTCTCAAAGGGTTATTTGATCCCGAAACCAAGTGCCTATGATGTAGTATTTTTGCTCTGGAACATGGCGCCAGAGAAAAAAAAAACTAGAAAATACGACAAAGTGACCAGTACTGACCACTTTGTCCATTTTCGTTTCGTGGGGCGTAATATTTTGTTTTACGTGGATTAAAAGTGCAATATTTTACGTTTTAATACATTTTCAAAATTATCATGACAATAAGCATTTTTTTACATAAAAATTGACATACATGTACGTATATCGGAAAAGTCGCATGTACCTTTTCACTGTCCATAAAGTCACATGGTCATCCACACTGCTTTCTATAGGCCTCTTACCTTCGCTTTGCACTTATACGTTCTCATTTTTGTGCATTTTATTTTAGACAATTTAACGAATTCTTTCAAGTTTCAGCATTAAATGTAAAAGTTATGCCTGCTAACTTGCTAAGAATACTGCAATGCCTTCCCGCCAAAATATCTAACATCGGTCAATATCGTAGCAAATCGGTCATTTCCGGAACGTTATTATTCACAATCTTCGGTATTCAACAAATTTTAACCGTTTGTAACCAGAATTTAGTATTATATCGATAAAGGATGGGTGATAGTAATAATCCAATGCCCAAAATTTTAGAAAATAACGTTCCGGAAATAACCGATTTGCTACGATATTGGCCGATGTTAGAATTTTTTTGGCGGGAAATCATTACGGTAAGACTACTTCAACTGTTGCCGTGTCCTTGTAAGATATTATAAACTATAAATGTAATTGAATTTTCATATAGCACCAAACAATTTTGTACTTAAAAGCAACAAATTCCCAGAATACCCGCGTTTTGTTACGTACGAGTACGAGAGCTATATTTGGCGAATAGTGCTCAGGATGAGCCGTACATCTGGCATACTAGTTGACGGCTAGAAACTCCGACAGCTACATATTCCTGGTGAGTGAAACTGTCAGAAACCAACGGTCCTCAGAAATTGATATATTGTTCTTTTATGAGTTTAGTTTTTTTTAATTATTTTCTGTACGAAATCTGCTGTGGTCATAGTATTATTTTTACAATAGGTTTACCTCTTAGATTTGGTTTGCTATTTCTAATCATGGTCATGCAACTGCATAGTTAGGTTAAGAAGCAGGCGCTTCTGTACGAAATCTGCTGTGGTCATAGTATTATTTTTGCAATAGGTTTACCTCTTAGATTTGGTTTGCTATTTCTAATCATGGTCATGCAACTACATAGTTAGGTTAAGAAGCAGGCGCTTGTTTTGGTTGAGTCTACTATGTTTTGTTTAGGGGGTGAGTTGTCTTACACAAATTTACAATTTATATGCATTTATTTTTTTCCAATGATTGTTCTTATCTTAAATGCTTCTGGGATTGTTGTTTTATCAATTCATTTGTAAATAAGATTGTTATATGTCTATTAACGGAATAATTTTAATGAACACGAAATTTGCAAAAAGAAAATCGATAATCTTTATGTAGCAAACAAACTTTGAATTGCAAGTATTTTTTCATATCTTTTCGGCAGGTTAAACTGTCCGAGGAGGGCCAGGCATTTTCGTATCGTAAAATGGCTGCCATTTACAGTATAGTGATTATCCCAAGCACCACCGCGACTTAGCGCGGGAATTATAAATATAGCTAACCTCGGCGCGTCGCATAGGATAGAAACTACCTTTTTTTATATTTTATTGTAATAAATATTTACAAACTGTGTCTTTCGGTTTTTTTTATCAATATATAACCAATAATGATGTTAATATGAATAAATAATCATATCTCAAATCTGCGACTATGACTTACAATGAAATTCTACCTTTAGTGTATTAAAAAGGTTCATAATTTCCTGTAATTTTATTCTGTGATTATGCTTCAAAGCAGTCAATTGACCGTTAATTTTCTTTTCATATTTTTTCCTTGAAATCATTTTTCTCATCTGAAGGCATGCAACTTTAATATGATGATACATTAATTACATTCCATGAAAATGTTTAAAACTATAAAATATCTCATGACATGTTTGTTCATTTTACATTACACCTATAATGCAGCAAGCATAAAAAGTCTTCACAAAAAGTAGTATGCAATCGTACCTATATTACATACGAAAGTATGTAATATTTTTCTTGTTCTATCATGTTTTATAAATTTCAAATTTATACCCTGCCCCGTCCCCTTTTTCTTTTCTTTTCTTTGCTGAAATACCCGATACATTTACTGTTAACAATGAGTTTTTTTTATTATTATTTTCGTATCAGGTTTTATTAATTTCAAATTTATACCCTGCCCCCGCCCCCATTTTTCTTTTCTTTTCTTTGCTGAAGTACCCGTACATCTACTGTTAACATTACCACATTACCATGTTAGTTAAGGTACTTTAAGTTCTGCCACTGTTCAGTGAATGCTCCTTTTCAATAAATTATTCAAAGATTTCTCGGGTATATCAAATGTATCCCAATAACCCCCGGTACCAGTAGAGTTGTATTGATAAACACATTATAGTTCAATGATAACAAGACCTGTATATTTTTTACCGGATTCGTTAAGGTATAGAAATTATTCTGTTAATTGATAATGTAAGTATATTTGTTTGTTTATTTTAAATAATGGCATATGATGTAACCAGCGCTAATTTTCTATGAATTGAATTAATTTTAAAGGTTGTCATTCTGGGACAAATTAAATGGCGTATAATACAAAATGTACGATTTTTTTTACTTAACTTTGGATTCAAATGTGAAGGAAGAACTTCAAATATCTTGGTGATTCTGTGCATAATTTTAAACGCTGCAAGATGTGACTATATATTTACATATATCTTTTCTTTGTTTTGTGTTAGTATACCCTTATAGATGGGGTGCTATCTGTCCTAAGTATTTATTTACTTTAATAATTATCATGACATTTCGGGACATGTTGATGTATTGTGGCATTAATTGTTAGTATTCACAACTAACGTTTTTATAGCTTAAAATACTGTATTACTTAGTGATATATGTTTTATATAGTTTTTGATATTGACCATTTGATCTTATGATATGCTTATTTGTACAACCTGGATGTATTCTGAAATTCTGAAACTCTTTAAAATTATTTCAAGCACCTTGATTTCAATTAAGCATCTGTGTGCATAATTTCAAATAACTGGATGATTCCATGCATTATGTCAAGCACCTAGACGATTATATGCATTATTTTAAGCAACTAGGTGGATCAGTGCATTATGTTAAGCAACTGGATGATTTTATGCATTATTTTAAGAAACTGGGTAAATTCGTGCATTATTTCAAGCATTAGGATGATTCCGTGCATTATTTTAAGTACCTGGATGATTCCGTGCATTATTTCATACACCTAGGTGCATTATTTCAAGCAATTGGGCGATTCCGTGCATTATTTTAAGAACTGGGTAAATTCGTACATTATTTCAAACTCCTAGGTGATTTCATGCATTATTTCAAGCTACTGGGTGCATTATTTTAAGCGCGAGTTGGCACGGACAATAATATGCCAAATTATTTTGCTATAGTGACACATATACAAACGTGAATATAAATAATACTGTATACGGTATATTATTACATTACACTAAATAAACCTTCCAAGCCTGTTGGGCCGATAAATCACATTACTAAGTAAATTATGTATTGGACTGTTGCTGGGATAAATAACTTTTCAATTTTGTCGCCAATGATCCATGTACAAAGACCTACATTTTTGACAGTTCAATGTCACTGATTGAGTTACAATTATGAATAATCAAATAAATATTTACAAATGACGTGCTGAAGAGATCATATTAACAAAGTATTCTTTAAAAAAGAAATTTGATACCATTGTATTTGACAGTTACTATGTAAATATATATTTGCCTATTTATTCAATCATTAAATCAATCGATCGAAAATAAATCAAAAATATTTTCAAACAATATTGCATGATAGTAACAGAATTATTATTTTTCAAATATTTCTAATTATTGATCACATTGATTAACAATTCTATGTTTTCACACTATTAACTAAGTCGCTATATTCGTCAAAATAAAAATCTTAAATTTTAAGTATAATTTATGTCATTGAAATTTTGTGAAAACGCTTCTTTTTTCGAATAATGTGGGGAAAAAATGTTTACTCGCATAGGAAACTTTTTTCAAAGGGGTTAAACAGAGAAAAAGAAGTAGCTAAATAAGTTCCTGGTGCATAAATTAGTTAATATACAAATAGTTCTTTTAATCTTTAAATCTCTAAATCTTGTTTTAAAACATTAACACGATTTTCTTTTCATTTTTTTACAAGATCGGACATGTCCACTTAAATCTTTTAAAATGTTGACTATATAATAGAAAGGTATTGAGTCGGTTTGTGTACACACGGCCGACGTTAACAGTATGGTTGGTTATTAATATAAGTCGATTTTTAATCAATAAAGTTTTAAAATCAATAGGTTATACAAATATTGTATACTTTACTGTGTTAAAATATATTCTAAATATATTCTAAATTTCTAAATCAGGAAATATAATATATATGTTTATATTAAACATGAGCTAATGTGGATCTTATATAATTTTAACGGTTTAATCCAATAGGTAAGTGCTTTTAAATACATTTTATAATGGTTCCGGTTTTTATATACAACGTAATCGTAAAATAGAGCTTTAACATAACCAAGTTTTAGGTCCTAGTTCTGCCAGACTGTTGAAGGGAAGTGCAAAGTGTGTACCAAAAAAGGTTGAAAAGCAGTCACTATGTATACGTGTTGAAGTAACAAAATAAAATATTATCCTACTTTATGTCTTTAATCATTAAACGCTAAAATATCTTAAATGGTCTTGTTCATCTTTCAATCTAAACAAGACTATTCACCATTTATCGGAAAATTTTCGTAAAATTTTCAAAATTAGTACTAACTAAATAGCATAGCGAACAGTGCTGACCATTATCAGTCAGCATGGATGTGTCGGCTGATCTTTGTCTGTACTGGTCGCGAGGGTAAAATATGCTGCCGCCATCAGGCTATGGGTAAAACATACTTTATAACTTAACTTGTGGAAAACTTTGTACACGTGCATAAGGCAGCTTGCCTGCAGATGAGGGAAATTGTTTCGATAAATTCAAACTTGAGAAAAATGTACTAAGAGTTTAGGAAAAGTAGAAAGATTCAAGAGTCGAGTAAAATGTGCATGTTATGGGCGATTAATGGTTATTTTTTCATTCTGTGTTACTATATTTACACTGCGTTACGAACGCAGAAAGGGCAATTTTTGCTTATTTTGACCTCTTTTTGTAATCAACGTGGGTTGTAAGTGCCATTGATAATGTATAAATTGCTTTCTTTTGGTTAATATACAATACTACGTTTTTAATTACTTTTTCATAATTTTTATGAAAATTAGCATTAATCTGGAGGCGTGCTGCTTTAAGCCATTGAGCGTGCAAACCCGTTACACATGTTTCAGTATGAAGCCAGACCAGTCCATTCATGGTCCCTCATGGTCGACTGCTCATTGTTAATATTTTTACAATGATTAATAGACTGCCCCAAATTGAAAGCACGACAAGTTCATTCATTCGTTCGTTCGTTCGTTCGTTCGTTCATTCATTCTTATGACATTACTTTTCTGTACCAAATTTTATGTATACGCAATAATGTACAAAACATTATCAATGTTCGAAACATTTAAAAAGCGTTGACTTTAGCTTTTCAGTTATTTAGAATTAAAGTTTCTGATAAGATTTCGTTTGTAACAAAGCGAGTATTTTTCTATTTAAACGAGTTTGATACCCATTTATTGAAGTAAAAAGTAATTCATTTCACTCAAAGGAAGAAATTGAAAAGGAAAATATTTACTATCAAGTAAACAGATTATGTATAAAAATAATCAGGGAATAATAATCATCACGTATGTACGTAATAGCATATTAATAAGTCAGTCGTAAATTTTTCCAGGGGATAAAGGTTTGAGCCCTAAATGCAATTTTAAACATTGTTTTATGTATTTCTTTAATAGTGTAATCTTGGATTGTTTCTATTTAAGAACTACATGTAGTTAAAATAAGACTAAAACACAGCATACTGGCATTTACAAAGGTTCGCGGTCTTCTTTACATTAAAGGGAATTTACTTTCAACAATATACTCATTATATATGTAGCTTGAAATGTTAATTTATACAACACAAAAAGCTTACTTAACGAAATGTAACGGAAACACCCGAAGTTTTACGACAGTTTGATCACCTTATTTTTCACATTTTTGTCCATCATCAGTAACCTAAAATGTAAGCATATGTACATACGATACATTCCTTGTCATGAGTGTATATGTATGTAGAAAGGTTAAATAACTGTCAAATATATGTATTCTGATATGATGACCATATTACATTAGCGCTTCATTTCACATGAGTAAATATTTTCTACTTTTTTACCCTAGTCACCCATCAGCTATTTTCACTTCTGGTTTGCGAAAATATATATTACGCGTTTAGTGAAACATAGTTAAGATGAAAACTTATAAAATAATTGAGTGACGGGACATATCAGGGAAATTACAAGAATGGCACTCAGGTAGGCTAAAAGGCTCACCACTGGGCCGGGTACTTATTTCGAATGTAAATACACATATGCACTTTGTTTCGATATGGGGCAGGGGAATTGGGCGTAAAAATCTGACTTTATTCTCCTACGTTTATCCTATGTTTTTCTCCCACCTTTGGCAACATTTTCTTTTACAAACAAATTGCTATGAAATAAAAATATCATATATTTTTTAAAAACTTCAGTATATTTTGTCATTCTTTAGTTAATTTAAGTGCAATTTTATCCTTTTTTTACTTATTTTTGAACAGAGGTGGAGATAAGTATATATATATATATATAAAACACGAGTAAAGTGTTTATAAATCTACATTTGAACCTGTGTTTAAGACCAAATCTAAAATGAATAATAGATAGAAACCCTGTTTCCAAATGCAAGCATTGGTTTTAAATATCTATAGTTTAACTTAAAATGCTTGAACTAGCTATCATTAAGGAAACTGTGTCTCCATTTTCGTAGTTTTAGACCTACACTATAATTTGGCTATGATAAAAAAATACTTAATTTTTCGTCAACATAAGCATCTCTCTTCATACTTGACCAAGTGTCATTGAAATTACCTTGTATTATGCGAGCTTTGTATCTTAACGGATTGGTGCAGTTTAATAACATTGACTACAAATTGTTTTCCAAAAAGAGCATTATACATGTTTGCTTTCAATCAATGGTGACTTTTTCGGCCCTTTCACGTAATAAAATTTAATCAATGAACACTCAGCGTTTTGAACCACGTGATGTTCCGATTGAAATGATTATCGGACCCAGTCTTATCAATTTAGCCTTGTTCCCATTTGTTATTGTTGAAAAAAAAGATTCTATATTGGACTCGTACACAGCTGTATAACCTATATCAGACTCAGCTAGCGACTCGTCCAATATGTATTTAACAGCTGTGTTACTCCGTATTGTACACAGCAATGTATAATAACCTCATAACATTTTATGATTATTGTAAATTAACATAACATTATTATAAATTGAAACCAATTTCTTTGAATAAGATTTACTTTCACTGGGACTACTTTTTGGCGCACTATATTATGGAATCTCTGAAATTTTTTACCTACCCTCTTTGACAATTTATTAATCAACTATTTTATTATTACCTACAATATTCATATTAATTGAGTTCTAATGCAGAATGAAGTCCTACCTATATTAAAAAAAACATTCGAATAAAACATCAGATGAAGTTCGGCCATGCATATATTTTGAACAACCCTAAAACACCCAGTTCTTTTTATTATATTTCGTGATATGGAACGCTAAACATAATGAAAATCTAGTTGTTAAGTGCTTAGTAACAATGATTTAACATGTTACAAATTTAAAAGCCCGAAACTAGTTTATAATTAAAGAAATATTTAACTGTAATCTACCTAAATATATGGAGCTAAATATAATATTGTATTAACTACAAAGTAGAGAAAACGCCTGTTTTTTATTATATTTCGATGATTTTATTATATTTTAAGTGATGCACATATGTATGTTTATATTTAATACGTTGTTTTTTTCCCATATTTTCTAAAGAGGCAATGTAAATTAAAGTTTTTACGTAAAGGGAAAATGAATAAATCTGTAAACGGTGGAATGATAAATATGTTTTTATCTATCATTTTATGAAAAAAGTGTTCTTAAATTACACTCGCATGACCAACGCATATATTTATTTGTTTATTTTATATCAAACTGAATGAAATAAATAACATGACCGTTATTGAATGGACAAGAAATAAGAAAAAGCACATGTATCTGTTGTTTGTATAGAGTACAGTTTTTCGGATATATATATATTTTATAAAAAATAAAAGCAATCAGTCTGACACGATTTGTATTATTCCCGGTCATACGAACGCTTTGATCTGTAATAGACATACGGAAACTAGCGGAATATTCCGAAGTATTGAAGTAAAACGGAGCGTTCCACTGTAATTGTTCAGATAAATCAAATATGTTTCAACGTTTCGGAAGAATACAAAAAAAACTTTTTGTGCTAAAATCTATATTTCGTCATGGTTTAATAACCGATGAATCAATTTTGAGTCTATCACTGCCAATGGAAATAGTTAACAATACATTTTTTCAAGGAAATCATTTCATATAACAACCTGGGTAGTTTTTAGGCCAACATCTTAATTATTTCCCTAGCTACTGATCAATATGTAGAATAAATACCGTATCATGATTGATATTGATTGAAGGTTAATTATTCAACTGAACATATCAAGTAAAGAGAAGCGTTTATCTAAATTTGTGCGGGCATTAAGGACATGTATACACTACTTAAAATACAGAGACGATTAAATTGGACAATTTCGAAAAATTATTTGAATCAAATGTACCTTAAATATATCAAACAAATGTGCTTGAAGGGAAGTAACTCTCCCTTATGCTATCATACATATGACGCTATTACAGGTACACATACATATATGCAATTAAAGATTGTATTTATTTAGATCTATATACAGTGCCTCCGTTGCCGGTTGATAAATGTCATCAGCTTTAATTATTTGCTTTTTACCCTGTGGGCAGGGATCTTTCCCATGATGTTTCCTGTGTTAAGTATGTACATCTTGCTAGCTTAATTAAGACCGAAAGTTGTATAATTCCCCTTTATGACTTACATAACACGTGGCACGGCAACAGAGGTTAGACATTGGAAAGTCGCCATAAGACCTTTACAGTGTCAGTTTGATCTAAAACTACCACCACCACCAACAACAACAACAACAGCAACAACAGCAGCAGCAACAACAACAGCAGCAGCAACAACAACAACACCAACAACAACAACAACAACAGCAACAACAACAACAACAACAACACCACCAACAACAACAGCAGCAACAACACCAACAACAACAACAGCAACAACAGCAGCAGCAACAACAACAGCAGCAGCAACAACAACAACAACAACAGCAGCAACAACAACAACAACAACAACAACAACAACAACAACAACAACAACAACAACAACAACAACAACAACCAACAACAACAACAACAGCAGCAGCAACAACAACAACAACAGCAACAACAACAACAACAGCAGCAGCAGCAACAACAACACCACCAACAACAACAACAACAGCAACAACAACAGCAGCAACAACAACAACAGCACAACAACAACAGCAGCAACAACAACAACAACACCAACAACAACATCAGCAACAACAACATCAGCAACAACAACATCAGCAACAACAACATCAGCAACAACAGCAGCAGCAACAACAACAGCAGCAGCAACAACAACAGTAGCAGACGCAACAGCAGCAGCAGCAACAACAACAACATCAGCAACAACAACAGCAGCAACAACAACATCAGCAACAACAACAACAACAGCAGCAACAACAACAACAGCAACAACAACAGCAGCAACAACAACAACAGCAGCAACAACAGCAGCAAAAACAACAACAGAAGCAACAACAACAATAAAAACCTCCTTACAAATAATCAGTAATAAGCTAACTATCACTGTAATCTTATTCAATTTAAATAAATCTTTATTTCAGACAAGCGATGGAGATGGTACGGCGGCGGAGGCTGGGGGCGGCACCAGACGCCGCAGGGGAGGACGGTGATTTTGTACAACTTAGACTAGTTAGAGAGGTATGACTGGTATTTGTTTTAGCTTCATTATTTCCATTACTTGTTTACATCATTGTAATGCTTGACAATTGTAGGTCAACGATTAAAAGAAGATCTTCGTAGGTCGGCTCCCTTTAAATCATAAACAATGAAATATTAAAGGAACTGCACTGAAGTCTTAAAAGTTTGAATTTCTAACATAAAGCAGCTCGGGCACTTAAAACATGCCGTATACTATTAAAGAAAGTGAAATGGCACTTTTGTGTTATTCTCAGCGAAATATGAGTGAAAAACGTTGCAACACTTTTCAGTCAAAATTAAAATAATCATTCTGTAAAAAACGGAATGAGCAAATGACCTAGAATTTTGAATATAAGTTATTGGTTTGGGCATACATCAACTGAAACATTTATCTCTATAAATTACTTCCAGTCTTGTTATGTAAAAACACTCAGTGGAGTCCCTTTAAAAAAATAAACATGTTTATCACATGCCAAGTGCTTCTTAAAAAAAGAAGAATAAATAAGTAGAACTATTGCATTACGGGGTACTTAAAAGAGTTTGAAAAATAATATGTTTATACTTAATTGAATTCACTTTCTGCCATTAAACCAAAATCAGCATTATTAACTGATTGACAGCATAGTTATTATCTATTCAAAAGTGTCATTCCGCTCATTTTCTTGATTTTCCCTTTAAGTGATAAAGAAGCATGTATATACATTATTTACACACTAATAAACTTAAAATAATTACCAGAGAAGAAAAAAAGAAAGACAAGCGACAGGGAAGCCGGCTGAAGAATTCACTAACGACAACGGAGCAGTTCGAGCAGAAACGGCTTTAGTTTATAAAAATGAGCCAAAGAGCCGCCCAAGCACAGCTGTTCGGATCCGAGCCGCCCAAGACTTGAGGGAGGAAATGTTCAAGGCTGTTGATTCTTCGGACAAACATCAGGTATAAGTCTATAAAATAGATCTTTCTTTATTTGTAAATTTTTATGCCCCCGAAGGATGGCATATTAAAATCGAACCGTCCGTTTGTCTGTCTGTCAGTCTGTCAGTCCGTCCGGCTTTATACATATAGACAGTGGTGGTCGTGTCCGCTCTGAAACTTCAGTATGCAGGGAAGGATTCTGATTTTTCTATCACATATTAATAACCATAGATTTATGGTGTGTCGCGAACAAGACTCGGGTTTCTACGACTAAGGTCAAGGTCACTGTGGGGTTCAAACTTTGTATTCTTATATTGTGATATTAGTGATTTTTGACTGTTATTTTTCTGTTTGTTTGTTGTTATAACCAGTTGCATATTATATGCCTTGGTTTAATAAAACTGAAACTGTCAATATTGATGTTAATATACATATAGGCAGAGATGGTCGTGTCTGCTCTGAAACTAATATGCATGAAAGGATTTTATTTTTTTTTATTTCACATTTGAAATTATCATAAATGTCTGATGTGTTGCCCATAAGACGCGTGTTCCTACGCCTTAGTTCAAGGTCACTGCTGGGGTTTAAACTTTTTCAATAGTTATGTTATATACATATAAATGGTGGTTGTTGTGTCAGCTCTGTAACTTCCATATACATGAAAGTTTCAATTTTTATTTAAAAATATAAAGTTACCATATATAGATGGACAATGTGTTGTGAACAAGACCCAGGTGTCTTTGTCTAACTTAAAGGTCACTGCTGGGGTTCGAACTTTGTCAATTTTTACCACCACACTTAACATGTAATAGGTGGTTTTTATATGTAACTAGAATCATTCGGGGCATTTGTCATGCACGTTCTGTGACAGCTCTTGTTTCACCATATTAAACAAAGGGCGTTAAAGGAAAATGGTTAATGATAAAATAAAGTTATGATTGAGCTGCTGTGCGTTAACTTAAAAACGTATCTGCGTAAACTCATCGATGTTGATTCAACGAGTGTACATGTACAGTGACGAGCGGACAGCAGACGTGATATGAGCCGCGTCACGACAAAATCAACATAGTGGGTTTGCGACCAGCATGGATCCAGACCAGCCTGCGCATCCGCGCAGTCTGATCAGGATCCATGCTGTTCGCTTATCAACTCTATTACAAGTGGAGAAACTGATAGCGAACATCATGGATCCTGATCAGACTGCGCGGATGCGCAGGCTGGTCTGGATCCATGTTGGTCGCAAACGCACTATGTTGGTTTTGTCGTGACGCGGCTCATAATTCTTTTGATTTGCAATATTGAAACATTTAAACACTTTAAAGCAGCATGCCTCCAGATTCATTCTATTTTTTTTAATGAAAATTTCAAAAATGTGTTTAAAATATTGTGAAGTGAACAAAGAAAATTATAGCCATTACTCCGTTAATAACGCAGTAGAAATATGGTAATAAAAACAGCAAAATCAGTCCTTAGTCGCACATAATATGCAGATTATTACATTTCCTTAAAATCTTAGTACATTTTTTTAATGGTTTATTTTCGCTAAATATTTTCGCTCAACTGTAGGCAGGTAGCTTTAAGTTGTAGCTTGAGACTACATTGAATCAATGTTATGTTGAAAATAGATTTATTTTTCGGCTCCATCTAAACAAAATTGAATCGTAAAGGTTCATAAATTAACATTTCTTTGGCAATACCACATTCAATACGTACTGTTTAATTAATACATTATTTTACAATTATTATTATTATAATTATTATTTATTATTATTATTATTATTTAATAATATATAATTATGATACAAGCATGATGGCTTTGTGAATCTTACAGTCCATTAAATCCAGTAAAACATTTTTGTTCAAGAAACCATTAATTCACGTATTGTTTATAAATGTATAGTTTAAAACAGAATGATAGCAAGCTGACTAAGCTAATGAAAATATATATAATATATATAATTACATTAACTATTATAAGCAAAGCTGTATCAATGGAGACCTTAAAATATTAAAGCATTACAAACTCTTTTATTAAATCCTGGTTGGACGTAGTTTACATAAGGTCGTTGACTTCAAACCACTTGCCACTCACCGCTGTGGGTTCGAATCCCGACAGGGACTTTGGATTCTTTCGTGTGAGTTAGCTATCCAGTTAGCTTACGGAACGTCGGTGGTTCTACTTGGGTCCCCGTTCATGCCAGAAATAATGCACGGAGGAGTACCTGAGGTCTTCTTCCACCAGTAAAGCTGGAACGTCGCCATATGACCTATACTTTGTCGGTGTGACGTAAAACCCAATCAAACAAGCAAAAAAACGTAGTTTATAGCTTTTTTATACGTGTACGAATTGTTTGACCTCAATGGGCAAATTCACGGCTATTTTAGCACACACTACAGACTCTGCAACCAATCAGAACCTGACAATATCAAAAAGTGCAGCCAATCGGAATCTAACACATTCAGAATCAAATGCCAATTCAGAATCGAATGTGTAGCCAATCAAAATTCATAAAGTGTAGACAATTTAAATCTACGGGATAAGAACGTGTAGAAAATTGGAATATCAGACAAGACTATCAGAATGACTACTAATTCTTAAAAAAAAAAATAGAAATTCAATGTTCCTTTTGTTTCCCTTGAGGAATCAAATCAAACTGCTTACGTCAAACATCGATTGAACAAATGAGCGATTATTGGTGTCTACGCTCATACGTTCAGTGGTAGTTCTAGAGGACCTTGAGATATTCTTGTAAAGCAGTTAACGTCTATTTTCGTGAGAAACTTTAAATAAAAATATAATTTTATCTTAACATGTATCATATTGATTTTCTTTTATCATTTATGTTTTATTTGCAGTTACAGACACTTTTCCAAAAGGTTGGTAAATTTGGCAGAGTAAGTGAGATTCGGGATCCTATTACAGACGAGAATGTGTTACACTATGCATTGTCTCGTGACAAGAAGGACATTGTTACATTTTTGATAGCCCTGGAAGATGTTGATCTGTTGATTTCATACCATGGCGTACAACGGTCGGGTATGCACGGAAGAAATAACGCTCTGCATACACTTACTGAAAGGCATGACACTGAAATGGCAAAGTTCCTTCTGGCAAAAATGCCATCGAAAGAAAAACGTCTTGAACTTATGAAGCTCGAAACCGCAGTTGATATACAAGGTCAAAGACCAAGGTTATTTTCCTGTCTTCATTTAGCAGCTTATTACGGTCATACAGATTTAGTGGCTCTATATCTTGACCAAGGTATGGATGTTAATCATTTAAATGGAAAGAAAGACACGCCGTTGCTATGGGCAGCAAGATGGGGCCATGATGAGACAGTTAATCTGCTGTTAGACAGACATGCTGACCCAGAGGTGAACAATGACAAAAGCTCAACGGCTTTGTACTGGGCGATCCGGTATGAATTTCCAAAAACGGTTAGTTTATTATTGAACAAGGGCAAAGCAAATCCAAACACAAAACGAAAACTTGGCCTAATAGCTCCGATAGTAATTGCTGCAGCATACGGGAACGTTGAGATAATGTCGCTACTATTACAGCATCCAGATATAAACATGAATGTTACAGTTCCTGGTGGAGAGACGCCGATGCATCACGCTGCAAAAGAAGGTTGTCCGGCAATCATAGAAATGCTTATAAAACGTGGAGCATTGTTTGATGAACAGGACGAAATCGGTGACACGCCACTTCTTCTCGCTGCAAAAAGCGGTCACGTTGATATTGTACAAGAGCTTATACGAAAAGGTGCAAATGTAAAACACAGGAACCACGAAGGTCATGACGCTTGGTACTTTGCTATGGAAAATGAAGACAATGCTTTACTTGAGACGCTAGTAATAGCCACGAGAGATCACGAGATTTCCTGGAGACAGCCGCTCTGCATAGCAGCTAACAGTGGTAGATGTGACAAATTTCAATTTCTTCTGAAGATGAACATAGACCCAATGAAAGCCGATGCTGACGGCAACACATTTCTACATCATGCCGCCATGTCAAACCAGAGCGAGATCATTGACAAGTTCCATGAAATAATATCGTTAAATACTCAAAACAATAGAGGAAATACACCATTGCACATTGCTTGCTTCCGTGGAAACACAAAAACAATAGAAAGTCTTATTGCGTGTAAGGCAAAAGCAGATGTAAAGAACAAAAAGGGAGAAACAGCACTACACGTTGCAGCATACTCCAAACATATTACAGCTGAAATTGTGAGAAAGCTTGTGGATTATACGATTAAAACACACGCATGGGAAAGTTTAAATGCAAAAGATTTTGAAGGCAATAACGCTTTACATATTGCCGGAAAGTTTGCGAGACCAGAGGTCTTATGGGAATTCAGATTCGTGCCATTTAAAGATAAAGATAAAGATGGTCTGCTTCCCCTTCACGAGGCAGTAAGACCTGGCCAACCGGAAGCGCTTGAAATTATGCTGGATATATTCGAAAGTATGCAACGAGATGCCAGAATAAACGAACAAAGCCGAAAGAACAGTGAAACTGTTCTTCATCTAGCTGCAGACGAAGGCCACGCGTCTGCTGTAAAACGATTGATCTCCCTTGGTGCGGATGTTGCTATGAAAGATATCAACGGTAATACTGTTCTGCATAGATTGACCAAGCACTGCGCTAATGACACTCGTTATGTTACACGCCATCTTGAAGTGATTGATACAATTCTAGAAAATGTTGTGAAGTGGTGGTGTATTAGAAATAATGTCCCTTTCCCGGAGGAGGAAAATCAGGATGTTTTAATGAATCATCGACGAGAGGCCATTCTTTTCTTGATAAATGATATCATCAATAATGAAGGTCTTTCTGTCCTTGACCAAGCGTTCAAATCGGGTGTTCCTGAAGTGCTTTCGAAACTTTTGATGCTAGACGGCGTTACTATGTTTGAACGGCCTGATAAGCATGGGTTTAATTTTGATATTACATCTTTGACACCGAAGAGCAACGATTCAATGCAAGGCTGTTGTAGCGGCGGACGTGTGTCACCTTTATCAGAGAAAGATATAATAAGTAAAACACACAATACAGAATTTGAGGGTATATCTGGCATAGAATGGCTTATCAACTATACGGATAAAGCCCGAGCGGCAGAAATTTTAGACCTTCCACCTATTCGGCTTATTGAGCAGTACTATAGATCTATGGTAACTTGGACATTTGCGGCTCTTATGTTCTTCCATATAATTTACATGTCTATATTTACATACGTCGGTGTAGATCTGTTGAAGAAATTACGGAAAGATGAAAGTGCCATCAATTCCTCCGATTCGGAGACAGTTCTAATGTACATAGTTGTGCCCATTGAGCCTGCAATCATCTTGATTTACGTTCTGTACACACTTATTAGATACTGCATTACAGGAGATTTAGGCCGTAAATCGAGAATGAGCAGGAAGGAGGGCATACGTCAAGTGGTGTCAATCATTGCATCTTACTTATTCTTCGCAGTGTGTATTGTTTTTGCATTACTTGTGTTTGCATGGATTGGACTATTTACAGAAAGGTATAAATATCAGGACTATTTTCTTTCGGCGGCGTTATGCATTGGCTGGTTACTGACAATATCATTTACACGTGGAATTCGTGCGATTCATTATTTCTACAGAATGTTGATCAGCATGATATTCAGGGATGTTTCACGCTTTATGATTGTCTATCTTTTTGTAATTCTTGCCTTCGGATTTGCCTTCCACGTGCTGTTTCAAATATCGACTGCTATATCAGACGACTACCCACATCCGGGCGATACGTTATTTTTAACGTTCAATATGATGATAGGAATGGGAGAACTATTTGACGACAACTTCGAAACAAACATGGCGGCTGCTGGACGGACAACCGTATACAGTAAAGTTTTATATCTGGTTTATATAATCCTTGGAACCATTGTTCTCCTCAATCTACTCATAGCCATGATGAACGATTCGTATTCCATGATCTTAAAAGAAAACCAAATCACGTGGAGGATTGAATCTGTGAGTCTAGGGGTGGATATTGAATCAAGCTTTCCTGCAAGCCAACTCTTTTCGAGAGTTAAGATCACTAGAGGAGAATTAGGTAATTTTAAGATGTCAAATATTCAATTTGAGTTACCTCCCTTTAGCCTTCATCTAAGTACAAAACGTAAAGTTGAGTTTCTTATTGTCATGCATCATGTCCTTTAACGTATACATTTTATTGTATTTCGCCTGTATTTACTACATTAGAACAACAATCTATTAAATAGTTTTTATTATATACACTTTTATTTGATGTTCGTTCTCCATGCTTTGTCTCGCTTGTTTGTTGTTGTTGTTGTTGTTTTAGCATACAGTATTTTTCTGTTTTCAGGACCTAAAGCAACCAATATACCATCGGAACGTTGGTATGTTAGCATGCACGAAACATTATTTGATCAATTCATGCGGGAAAGTGACAGGAAATACTCAACTTCAACAGACGCTGTGACAAAGCGCTTGGAAGACATTGATACAAGAGTAGCGGAAGTAGAGCGTCAAACAAACGACAAATTACAACATATATCTAACCTTTTAGAACAGATACGAGACCGGAATAAACCGGTTAAAGAAACGGACAGATGATCACTAAAACATGTGCCAATGCAAGGATGTACCGTTGCAGACGACAGATATTTACGACTGATATTTTGATTATTCTTTTATTCTTGGATCTGATTCGGCAAATATTATTATTATTATTATTTATCATTATTATTATTTTTATTATTATTATTACATGTATTATTATTATTATTATTATTATTATTATTATTCCATTCATATTTCTTATTTTTTCTATGATGATATTATAATGTTAGGGACAGAAATTTACTTGACGATAGGCAGAACCTGATACGCTCCATTTAATATGTATATCAACATTACTTAAACAGGCAAATTTCTGTTTTAGAATGGGAAAATTGAGCGCAGGAAACCTGAACACACGCTTTTGATCCATTCGCGTTTTCTTCCAGCATGTCATATGTTGTTAAATTTGCGAACCGAAAGATAACGTGTAGATCTACTAATGATTTGGATATGCATTCATAAAGATGGTAAAATGATTTAAAGCAATCTAATAGCGATTTTTGCCATTTCTTTCTGCTCAATGTAACATTATTATAAGAATGTTGAATTTATATGTCCTCGTACGATTTTGTATGACAAAAACAACAAAGATATATTTATATTAAGCAAATCTTACAGTCATGGCGAGTTTATTCAGATTTTATTTTAGTTTGATTATGATGGAAGCTATAGGCTTATAGACACTCTTCTTATCCTAGAACCAACAACCAGTACTGAACAATCAGTGTAAAGTTTCTTGCTCAAGGAAACAACGACTTGTCCTTGACGGGATTTGAACCTATGCAGCCAGCGATCATTACTTACATTAGATTACTAGTTCCACGCGTTAACCAATCAGCCATGCCGTCACTTCATGGCGTATTTGAGTGAAATTTTATTTAAGTACATGTTCTCATTGTGATTTACAAATCTACATTTTTTTAATGTCAGGTTACCCATTTTGTCTCCCTTTTTCATGTTAATTCATAATTTCACGACATAATACATAAAAATATATAACATTGTAATTGTAGAATATAAAACTTGCTCAAATTGAGTCAGCAGAACAGCGGTGTCATTTGTACTCATCTTTTCCCTTTTTATGAGTAATTGTGATAAATTACATTATTTTTGTACAAAGCAAATTAAATTCTTTATCTTTTTATATAACTGACCCTTAGATTTTTAATGCAATTAACCTATCGAATTGCAAAAGAAAATATTTTTAAAAAAAGTTAAGGAGTTAGTTTCTCACGTGTATTAAAATGTTGTGTTTATGCAACTTGAAACATATATGTACACTGAATTTATGTTAATTTTCAAATAACATTTAGGGGCGTCCGTGACCGAGTGGTTTAGGTCGTTGACTTCAAACCACTTGCCCCTCACCGATGTTGGTTCGAATCCCAACAGGGACTTTGGATTCTTTCAGGTGAGGAAGCTGTCCATGTAGCTGACGGAACGTCGGTGGTTCTTTTCATGTGCCCCTTTGTGCCTGAAATAATGCACGGAAGGGCTACTAAGGTCTTCCTGCACCGGTAAAGCTGGAATTTTGTCATATAACCTGAACTGTTGCTAAAACACAAAAAGGGTCAGGAATCTCACAAGAAAAAATATATTTATGTCATTTTATACGAGTTATTTGCACGTGGTAAAGGGCGAAACTATTCTGTATAACAAAGTATCTATTTTTACGCCACATATTGCAATTTTTTACACATTGTTATACGAAATATTTTTATACGACTATTATTTAATTTATTTAATTTATTATATAGCATTTACAATTGTTATTAATATTTATTAAATAAATCTAACAATATGCAATTTGTTTGAGTTATATTGTAATGTTTAAGATAAATCTAGTTGTGTAATTAATTCGTTTAATATATACACATTTATAACTGTTTTTACTTTGGGAGAAAAAAAACAACAACAACAAAAACAACATAAATTATGTTCATATTGGGGGAAAACAATATTCCTCTGTTGCACGGCTAAAAAGTTCATTTCATCGGCTTGCGTCAAAATAGCAACTATATATACTTCATAACAAACAAATCTCTGTGGCATATTTTAATCGTCCATTTAAAGTTAGCCGCTTATGTCTTTAGAAAAACAAAGTCTTAGCTGAGAAAATTCTCAAGTGTTTAGTGAAAGCCAACTTGATGAGTAAGAATCTCGGCCAATGGCGAGACAATCTTAGATTAAGAGTTGTCTCTGTTTTAGAACGTTAGTGAAAGCCGGGAAGAGTATTAACTGGCTTATGGGTCAAGTGGTAACTGTATTAGTTACATATAAAGGGCATGCATGCCTCGCGAGTCCAACTAAAATGAAGTTGATATTTAAATCAACGATTTCCTGTTAAATGGTGCTTAGAACTTTGTTTTTTTTTCTTCAAATAATCCGTTTTATGAATGGAAGAGTTTTAATTAAATTTTAAAACATTTGTCTCAGAATTAGATCTTTTTGACGAAAGGAGAAAATTTGAATATATATATAAAAGGGATAAAAATTAAAGACCAGCGATCGACATTCAAATAAAATGAATGCTTCTTGCAGTTTTGAGCTGCTTTTGAACGATTTTTAGCCCGGTTCGAATGTAAAACGTAGCAAAGTTTTTTTTCTTCATATTTTGATCACAATAAAACATTTTATTTTGGAATAATCTTTGTTTGGGCATGTTCATAAAGTTTGCACACACGTTTTAGCCCGATTCGAATTAAAACGTTGCAACGTTTTTTTTTTTATATTTTGGTCACATTAAAACATTTATTTTGGAATAAACGCGGCGAGGGAATGATCAGAAATTTTGCACACAGTTTTTTAGTCCAGACCTATATTAAATGATACAGAAGTGCCAACAATATTTCCAGTTCTTTCATGACAAAAAATAAACACTCAGGGCGCAATGAAGTAGAAAAATAAAACCTGCTCCAGGTGAGGCTCGAACTCACAGCCTCCGCATAGCCACTTTACTGTCTATAAGTACGGCGCGCTAACCGATTGCGCCACTAGAGCAGCTCTCTGTAAGCAAACGACCCTGTTTTGTTTTCTTTTATAATATGAGCCGCGTCACGACAAAACCAACATAGTGCGTTTGCGACCAGCATGGATCCAGACCATGTGGTCGATCAGGACCCATGCTGTTCGCTTACCAACCCTATTACAAGTAGAGGAACTAATTGCGAACAGCATGGATCCTGATCAGGATGCACAGGCGGATGCGCAGGCTGGTCTGGATCCATGCTGGTCGCAAACGCACTATGTTGGTTTTGTCATGACGCGGCTCATATCTTTTTTTTTTTTAAATTAAGTATTTGAACAATATTGTTTAAAGACCCTTCTATGAGAAGCAGAGAACTTTTCTTGGCAAACAATTGAGAATCACCAGTCATAATCATTTTCAGCTAAAAGAATACTGTAATCCGAGGGCTTTAAAATTTCCGTGAGTATAAAAGATACAGTCTGACCTGTGTGCGGGAATGCAAAAAAAACACATACCACAACCGCAACTTTCGTTTCCTTAAAGATATAAAAAGACATTGAAACTCGTGCATGCAAACACAATATGCTATATATTTCTGAGAATTTGCAGTGTTTTTAGTATCACATTATCAATTCTTGACATGGCAAATGTTCCCCTTTGTTTAAAAATAATAAATATGAATGTAAATGTTTGAAACTTTATTCAGTCGCTCGAGTCCGCTTCCAAGGACTTACCAGTACTGGTGTCGTATAAGGGTATATGATCGAGACTTACGTAGGGTTTGAACTTTTTGATTCCAGGGTGCAGTGGCAACGCATCCACCACTGATTTCTGGTTCAGTGGCATCAACCACTGACTTCGGGTTCAATGGCAACACATACATCACTGATCCCTGGGCTCATTGGTAACACATAAACCACTGATCCCTGGGCTCATTGGTAACACATAAACCACTTATTCATGGGCTCATTGGTAACACATAAACCACTGATCCATGGGCTCATTGGTAACACATAAACCACTGATCCATGGGCTCATTGGTAACACATAAACCACTGATCCATGGGCTCATTGGAAACACATAAACCACTGACACTTTGCTTTAGTGGCAACACATATACTATCAGGCTTGCCATTGAAGTTGTTTTTGTACACCAGTATTTATCTTGAATCATGACATAGAATCTAGAGTTAAAATCTTAAATACATTGTATTTCAAATCATATGATTGCAAAAGATTACGCACATTTAATGTATTTACACATCTACAAAAAAAAGGATAACTTAATATCAATATATAAATAAACGCTTAACATTTTATTATGGACAAAATCCACAATGCTTCAAGCAATTAGATGCTGTTTTAACATCCTTACAAATGAACCAAAATTTGTCTAACAACGGACAGTCTATCCCTGGTGTGTCCAAGCAAGCTGGAGTTGTAGATATTGTGCTAGACGATACAGTAGATGTAGCTGAAGAACTTATATTACTAGTGGTGGATATGACGGTAGTGCTTGAGGCATATAAATTTGACGTTGGTTTTGTTGATCCTGTTTGGACTCCTGATGAAGTTTGAACTACTTGTTTTGTTTGATTTTGAGACGTTGTTTGACTTGCTGTTTGACCTGCAAACGTTGTTTGTGCTGGTGATGTTGTTTGACCAGGAGATGTAGTTTGACCAGCTATTGTTGTTTGACCTACTGACGTTGTTTGACCAGCTGATGTTGTTTGACCGGCTGATGTTGTTTGACCGGCTGATGTTGTTTGACCTGCTGACGTTGTTTGACCAGGAAATGTAGTTTGACCGGCTGATGTAGTTTGACCTGTTGATGTTGTTTGACCTGCTGATGTTGTTTGACCTGCTGATGTCGTTTGACCTGCTGACGTTGTTTGACCTGCTGATGTAGTTTGACCTGCTGTCGTAGTTTGACCGGCTGATGTAGTTTGACCAGCTGACGTTGTTTGACCTGCTGACGTTGTTTGACCTGCTATTGTCGTTTGACCTGCTGACGTGGTTTGACCGGCTGATGTTGTCTGACCTGCTGATGTTGTTTGACCTGCTGATGTCGTTTGACCGGCTGGCGTTGTTTGACCTGCTGACGTAGTTTGACCTGCTAACGTAGTTTGACCTGCTGACGTAGTTTGACCGTATGATGTTGTTTGACCAGCTGACGTTGTTTTACCTGATGACATTGTTTGACCTACTGACGTTGATTGACCTGCTGATGTAGTTTGACCTGCTGATGTCGTTTGACCTGCTGACGTTGTCTGACCTGCTGATGTTGTTTGACCTGCTGACGTTGTTTGACCAGCTGATGTTGTTTGACCTGCTGATGTCGTTTGACCGGCTGACGTTGTCTGACCTGCTGATGTTGTTTTACCTGCTGACGATGTTTGACCTGCTGACGTTGTTTGACCAGCTGATGTTGTTTGACCTGCTGATGTCGTTTGACCTGCTGACGTTGTTTGACCTGCTGATGTTGTTTGACCAGCTGATGTTGTTTGACCTGCTGACGTTGTTTGACCGGCTGACGTTGTTTGAGCGGCTGATGTTGTTTGACCGGCTGATGTTGTTTGACCTGCTGACGTTGTTTGACCAGCTGACGAAGTTTGCCCCGCTGATATTGTTTGACCAGCTGACGTTGTTTGACTGGCTGACGTTGTTTGACCTGCTGACGTTGTTTGGCCGGCTGATGTTGTTTGACCAGCTGGCGTTGTTTGACTGGCTGACGTTGTTTGACCAGCTGACAAAGTTTGCCCCGCTGATATTGTTTGACCAGCTGACGTTGTTTGACTGGCTGACGTTGTTTGACCTGCTGACGTTGTTTGGCCGGCTGATTTTGTTTGACCAGATGACGTTGTTTGACCAGCTGATGTTGTTTGACCGGCTGCTGTTGTCTGACCTGCTGACGTTGTTTGACCTGCTGACGTTGCTTGACCGGCTGCTGTTGTCTGACCTGCTGATGTTGTTTGACCAGCTGATGTTGTTTGACCAGCTGACGTTGTTTGACTTGCTGATGTTGTCTGACCTGCTGACGTTGTTTGACCTGCTGACGTTGTTTGACCGGCTGCTGTTGTCTGACCTGCTGATGTTGTTTGACCTGCTGATGTTGTTTGACCAGCTGACGTTGTTTGACCGGCTGATGTTGTTTGACCGGCTGATGTTGTCTGACCTGCTGATTTTGTTTGACCTGCTGATGTCGTTTGACCTGCTGACGTTGTTTGACCTGCTGATGTAGTTTGACCTGCTGACGTTGTTTGACCGGCTGATGTAGTTTGACCAGCTGACGTTGTTTGACCTGCTGACGTTGTCAGACCCGCTGATGTAGTTTGACCAGCTGACGTTGTTTGACCTGCTGACGTAGTTTGACCAGCTGACATTGTTTGACCTGCTGACGTTGTTTGACCAGGAGATGTAGTTTGACCAGCTATTGTTGTCTGACCTGCTGATGTTGTCTGACCTGCTGACGTAGTTTGACCAGCTGATGTTGTCTGACCTGCTGATGTGGTTTGACCAGCTGACGTTGTTTGACCAGCTGATGTTGTCTGACCGGCTGATGATGTTTGACCAGCTGACGTTGTTTGACCTGCTGACGTTGTTTGACCTGCTGACGTTGTTTGACCAAGAGATGTAGTTCGACCAGCTATTGTTGTTTGACCTGCTGATGTTGTTTGACCAGCTGATGTTGTTTGACCAGCTGACGTTGTTTGACCGGCTGATGTTGTTTGACCTGCTGATGTTGTTTGACCTGCTGACGTTGTTTGACCTGCTGTCGTAGTTTGACCTGCTGATGTTGTTCGACCTGCTGATGTTGTTTGACCAGCTGACATTGTTTGACCTGCTGACGTAGTTTGACCTGCTGACGTGGTTTGACCGGCTGATTTTGTTTGACCGGCTATTGAGGATTGACCTGCTGACGTTGTTTGACCAGCTGATGTGGTTTGACCAAATGACGTGGATTGAGCTGCGGATGTGGTTTGACCTGCTGATGTTGTTTGCCCGGTTGATGAAGTTTGCCCTGCTGACGTGGTTTGACCTGCTGATGTTGTTTGACCTGCGGATGTTGATTGACCTGCGGATGTGGTTTGACCTGCTGATGTTGTTTGCCCGGCTGATGAAGTTTGCCCTGCTGACGTGGTTTGACCGGCTGATGTTCTTTGACCGGCTGATGTTGTTTGACCAGCTGATGTTGTTTTACCTGTTGACGTAGTTTGACCTGCTGACGTTGTTTGACCGGCTGATGTTGTTTGACCAGCTGACGTTGTTTGACCTGCTGACATAGTTTGACCTGCTGACGTTGTTTGACTGGCTGATTTTGTTTGACCGGCTATTGAGGATTGACCTGCTGACGTTGTTTGACCAGCTGATGTGGTTTGACCAGATGACGAGGATTGACCTGCGGATGTGGTTAGACCTGCTGATGTTGTTTGCCCGGCTGATGTTGTTTGCCCTGCTGACGTGGTTTGACCTGCTGATGTTGTTTGACCTGCGGATGTTGTTTGACCAGCTGATGTTGTTTGACCGGCTGATGTTGTTTGACCGGCTGATGTTGTATGACCAGCTGACGTTGTTTGACCTGCTGACGTAGTTTGACCTGCTGACGTAGTTTGACTGGCTGACGTTGTTTGACCTGCTGAAGATGTTTGACCTGGTGACGTAGTTTGACCAGCTGACGTTGTTTGACTAGCTGACGTTGTTTGACCAGGAGATGTTGTTTGACCGGCTATTGAGGTTTGACTAGCTGATGTTGTTTGCCTGGCTGATGTAGTTTGCCCTGCTGATGTGGTTTGACCTGCTGACGTTGTTTGACCTGCGGATGTGGTTTGCCCAGCTGACGTAGTTTGACCTGCAGATGTGGTTTGACCTGCTGACGTTTGACTCACTAGCAAAGTTTGTCCTGCTGATATTTTATGTACGGATGATACTGTGTGTCCAGCTGACGTTGATTGGCCTGCAGACGTTGTTTGAATTGCTGACATAGTCGCGCCCATTGACGTTGTTCCACAAAGTCCACAAAACTTCATGCAATATGCCATTGCTGACTGCGAATTGCTGCAAATCTGGAGATTAACTTGAAGCATCTTGCAGTCAATTCCTTGTTTGTCATGACATGACGATGTTGTTAACAAGGTTGCTAGAATACAACAACAATATCAAAAATATACCAAAAATCTTAAAAATACCACATCAACTCTAAAAATAGAATAATCATTTTTAAAGTAAAACATCTTACAGATCTTTTCTTATATATTTTTTCGTTAGTCTTGAATGCTAATTGCATTGATCCAAATAGTTCAGATAATTTAGATAGATATAAGTAATCTTATTTGTCATACTTATGACATGAAAATATTTCACATATTATGTACAGAAACTTTTTTATCTCATATAAATGACTCATTGCATCTACATTTTAAGCAATGAAAAATAAAATAAAAAATGTTCAGAATCAATGTACAAAGAACATGCAATAGTCTTACCAGAACTTGTTCTGGAAGAAGTAGGCGTTGCAGTTGTAGTTGATGAACCCATATTAATCATCGTAGTACCAGGTGGTGAAGTTGAAGAACCGCTGCTTGACATGGACGTACCAGATGTTGTGGTTGTAACCGTAGAAGTGACACTATTCAAAGAAGAACCAAATGAACCAGATGTTGAGGTTGAGCCTGCGGAACTGGAACCTGTCATGGAAGTTCCGGCCGATGTAACTGTGGTCGAAGAACCAATGCTTGTTATAGACGAACCAAAGGGTGTTGTTGTTACTAATGAAGCACTAGGAAGAGTACTTGACGATGGGCTTGCGTTTGTTGATTTCGCAGCAGTTGTAGATCCACACAAACCACAGTATTGAGGGCAGTACGATTGTGCCGTTTTCATATTTTGACAGATATTTAAATATGCGTCTAGTAGTTTACAATCTACTGCTGGTTTATTTACACACCCAACAGTAGTTGACTGCGATGTTATAGTTGTAACCGATTGCTGTGTCTGTGTAGAAGATCGTGGTGCTGTGGTTGATGAAACACTTGTGGACTGTGAAGCATTTGTGCTTGCACTACTGCTCGTAGTCTGCATAGAATTTTGAATCAATGTTGAACCTGGCGTTGATGCTGAAGATGATGGAGATGTAGCTGCACTAGTTGTTGATGTCATTGGCGATGACTGCACGGTTGAACTCAGGGAAGATGTTGCTAAAGATGAAGATGTAGTTGTCTGTATGCTTGGAGTAGTTGAAGGTACATTCGATGAAAGAGTTGTTGGACTAGACACTGTGGACTGTGAACTTAAAGTGTTTAGATTACTGGTTAACGTGGTTGAACCACAAATTCCGCAATACTTTTTGCAGTACAATTGTGAAGCGTTCTGGTTTTGGCAAATGTTTAAGTAAGTGTCAAGTACATGGCAGTCAACACCATGCTTATCTGAACAAAATACATGTGTCGATGAGGAAACAATCGACGACAGTTTGCTAACTGTACTCAATACTGTAGTAGATGGGGTTGAAAAACTTGTCGATGCCGTTTTAGAAGAGCTTGAAGCTGCTGACGGCGTTGAAGGTGTACTTGTCGTAGTTGTTTGTGTTGATAAGGAGGCCGTTGTAGGCCCACATAAGCCGCAATAGTGCGGACAATAAGATTTAGCAGAGACTTGATCTTTACATAAGTTAAGATGAGAATCTAACAAATGACAATCTATTCCGGGTTTATCAGAACAGGGATTAGTTGTTGAAGCCGTTGGGGTTGTACTTGAAGAAGAAATTGTACTTTGTGCAGAGGAAATGATAGAACCTTTAGTAGTTGTTGTAATTGGTGTTGAAGATGGATTTGAGCCTGAAGTTAATGGCGAACTTCCTGTTGATGGGACAGAAGAAGTTTTAGAGCTGGTTGTTGCAGTTGTTGGTTGAGACTGAGACGATGTTGATACATGCTGCGTAGTGGAAGCACATATTCCACAGTACTTGGAACAATACAGCTGCGCCGCATTTTGATTAGAACAGACACCGAGTGTTGTATCCAGGAGGTGACAATCAACGCCGTGTTTATCCATGCATTGGTTAGATGATGTCGTTAGTGTGGTGGGTATGGTAGAAGTACTTACGCTTGTACTAGGTTGTGAAGACGATATCGTGGTAGATGCAGTTGTAGGAGTACTCAGAGTTGTTGCAGTTGACGTCATTGTTGAGGAAATTGATGTACTAGGTAAAGATGTCGTCGAGGTCACAGGAACTGTAGAAGGCCCGCATAAACCACAATACAAAGGACAGTAAGTCGAAGACGCATTACTATTTCCGCATATCCCTAGAGATTTATCCAATAAATGGCAGTCCACTCCATTGTGATCCATGCAGCCGGTTGTAGAAGACCCTTCAAATGAAATGTATGAGACTATGCAAGTAACTATGAAATAAAGATTACACTTTTCTTGTACGTGTATATAGCTGCAAAGAAAAACACTGTCATGTTTGTTTTACCTTAGTACGAATACAAACTTTTTATCGCATGCAATTCATAGTCTCTCCTACCTATATGTTGCAGTTATACAAACCAAATAAAAAACAAGAAAAACCTTACATGTGAGAAGTGAAATGTTTTACCTAATGTTGTAGACGTCGAAGTAGGTGCGCTGGTGGTGGTTGGTTTAACAGATGATGTACTACTTGTTGATTGCGTTGTAGATGATCTGCCTGTTGTAGTACTTGGCGAAGTTGATCCTGTGGTGGATGCTACAGAACTTAATGCTGTTGTTGTACTTGGCGTCGTTGTTGTTGTTGTTGTACTTGGTGTTGACATTGGCGTTGTTGTTGTTGTACTTGGTGTTGTTGTAATTGTTGTTGTTGTACTTGGTGTTGATATTGGCGTTGTTGTAGCAGATGTGGTTGATGTCATGGTTGACGTAGACGTGACCGAAGAAGTTGAAGTAGTACTTGTAGATGTTGTTGAAGTTGAAGTTGTTGTTGGTGTTGTTGTGGTTGTTGAAGTTGTCGGTGCTGTAGTGGGTGTGGTTGTAGACGTGGGTGTTGATGGAGTTGATACAGAACTAATTGGTTTTATAGGACAGCCGAGAACGTCCAGTCTCATTGCAATTTTATCCTTCCATTGTGTAGGAAACACTCGAATACACTTAGCAGAGATAGGGCAGTCGAAAAGATTTGTCACCGGTGTATTTTGGTCAGAATTTGCTTTAAACGTCTGAAATCAGAAAGAATTATTTCAATGATATAATAATAAAGATGGAAAACAACCAATTTTTACGTTAATACCGCTTACAACTGGAAAAAATTGGAACATATACATACAATATCTCAATATAAATTTAATTGTATATGTGTCGAATAAAATAATACATCATTAAGTAATACCGCTTTCAACGGGGGAAAAAATTTGGAATATATACATCCAATATCTAAGTATAAATTTAATCGTCTATGTGTCGAATGACCGAACTCAAATTTCTGTTAAATTGAATATGAAAAACAGTGAGTGTAAAAGGTATTACTTAATGATGTCGAAACTCATGTACATCTTCACATTGTTTAAAAGCCACACTTTGTTTAAGGTTTTTTTTTGTTTTTTTTATTCGACACATATACAGATATTGTATGTATATGTGCGAATTTTTTCTCCGTTGTAACCTTTTGTTTAAGGTATTACATGTATATTATTCGAGACATATACAATTAAATTTACACTTTGATATTGGTATATGTTCCAAATTTTTTACTGTTGAAAGTGGTTTTACTTAATGATGTCGAAACTCATGTACATCTTCACATATTTACAAAAGTCACACTTTGTTTAAGGTATTATTTTATTTGAGACATATATAACTAAATTTTACTTAAATATTGGATGTAAATGTTCCATTTTTTTACCGTTGAAAGCTACATATGATGATGTGCCTTTATAAACTCAAAAACTACATATACTTGTAGATGATTGTTTTGTTTCGTTTTTTTTGTAGGGTACAAATAAAGCAACCATGCAAATATTTTTCTAAACATTAGTTTAATGTTATTTATACATTGAACACTGAAATTATACTTGAGATTTTTTGTGCATATCTAAATGTAATATATGTTTTAATTACAAAAGTAAGGTTATTTAGTTTAACATGCGCAATTAATAAATAAAAACATGAACTTTTTGAAAATTTAAAATTTGTGTTCATACATTAAGAAATATTTGCAATGTCTTATATACTGTATACATATTTACATACAAACTGCTGTGTTAAGTTAGACGTTAAGCAAGACTAAACCTTAGTCAGCGGTATTTTTTGCTACCTCTGAATTTTTTGGGTTTTTTTTGTATATATAATGCTAAGTTAAGCATCATTATAAAAACTCCACTTAACGGGTTTTTCATTGTTTAAAGTATGAGTCAATCATTCACTTTTTTTGGTTCAATATGTACGTGTCTTCAAAAATTGATTATAGTTGATTTACATTTGGTACTTGTGTTATATGGTAATTTACTTCTTTCAAACCAATGTCGAGTATTCATGGCAATACAAAGGTTATCTAATTCTGACTTAGAATGTCAAATGGTATAACAATAGCTAGTTTAAATGTACAGGGGATCGGGGACAGTCGGAAAAGAAAAGATGTATTTGGTTATATTCGTGATAAGAAATTTAATATTTATTTTTTGCAGGACACACACTTTACAGACAAAGAATCTAAAATTATTAGAAGTCAATGGGGTTATGAAGCTTACTTTAGCAACTATAGTAGTCAGTCGAGAGGTGTTGCCATTTTAATCAACAACAACTTTGAGTTTAAATTACACTCCGTTGAAAAAGACAACGCGGGGAATCTTTTAGTTGTACATTGCGCTATAGCAAGTATAGATATGTCTTTAATATGTGTTTATGGCCCAAATAGAGACGATCCGGATTTTTATAACAGTTTAAATGAGATACTCCGTCGTCTGAATAATAAATGTATAATTGCGGGTGATTTCAACTTAGTACTTAACCCAGATATTGACTGTTTTAATTATGTTAACATAAATAATCCGAAGGCGAGAGACACAGTATTAAGTATTATTTTGGAACACAATTTAATAGACTGTTGGCGTGAACAGAATTTAGAATCTAGACAATATACATGGTTTAAACGAAATCCAGTAAAAAAAAGCGCGTTTAGACATGTTTTTGATCTCGAGCGCCTTATTTTTAGATATTGCGGACACTTGTATTTTGCCGGGTTATCGCTCGGACCATTCAATTGTTATATTAACATTAAAACTGGGTGAATTTAAGGCAGGTAAATCCTATTGGAAATTTAATAATTCGCTATTGAAAGATGTCGAGTATGTTAAACAAATTAAACAATTAGTACAGCGTATTATTCAACAGTATGCCTCGGATGATCAAAATCAATCAGTAAACGACTCTGTTACTAATTAAAATATTTCGCTATCTATTGATGATAAGTTATTCTTAGAGACATTGTTAATGCAAATTCGCGGTCACACAATCTCTTATGCCACTTTTTAAAAAACGACAGGACAATATCAATGAGAAAACACTTATTAAAGACATTGAAATTTTACAACAGTGCACTAATACAGAAAATGAAAATGCCTTGTTAAATAAGCAACAAGAACTGCAAGATATAAGGAAAAAAAGGTTAGAGGGCTCCTTAATAAGATCGCGAGCAAAATGGGTATTAGAGGGAGAAAAACCGACCAGATACTTTTGTAACCTAGAAAATAGGCATTTCGTTTCAAAAAATATGGCAACCCTTTTTAACAAGACGGGTGAAATTATAAATAATCAAAAAGCTATTTTAATGGAAACCATGAGCCATTATAAGTCCTTATACTCTGCAAAGATTACTAACACAGTTAATTTAGATAACCTGTTTCTTGATATAAATGTAACAAAACTTTCTGAGACGACAAAAAATAGTTTAGAGGGTTTCATTTCTCGAGAAGAGGCTTTAGCAAGTTTAAAACGAATGGCAAATGATACTTCGCCTGGTATAAATGGTTTTACTTCGGCGTTTTTTTAATTTTTTTGGATTGATATAGGAGACTTTGTTTTGCGTTCAATTAATTACTCATATACCACAGGAGAACTCTCGCAATCCGATAAATTAGGTGTTATCACATGTATACCGAAAGGTGACAAAGATAAACGTTTCTTAAAAAATTGGCGTCCGATTTCCCTACTTAATATTACATATAAAATTGCATCCGCGTGTATTGCCAATAGAATTAAATCTGTATTAGACAAATTGATAAGTGAAGACCAAAGTGGATTTATCCCGGGGAGATTTATAGGAGATAATATTCGTTTAATTTATGACTTAATGTTTTATACTGAACAAAATAATATTCCCGGAATGATATTACTAGTCGACTTCGCTGCGGCATTTGATTCCGTGTCTTGGGACTTTATGATTTCGGTTCTGAAATTTTTCAACTTTGGTGACTCTATTGTTTCATGGGTAAAACTATTTTATACAAATATACAATCATCTGTTGTTGTTAATGGCCACCTCTCCGACTGGTTCCCCTTATTTCGAGGCTGTAGACAAGGGGACCCCCTGTCAACGTATATTTTTGTCCTGTGCGCGGAGATTCTTGCTTTACTTATAAAAAAAAATAGTAATATCAAAGGTATAAAAATTAAGGGTATAGAGTATTTGATGTCACAATACGCAGATGACACCTCTTTGATATTAGACGGTTCTGAAAAATCCCTCGTTCATACTATGAAAGTTTTAAAATTTTATGCAGATATCTCTGGTTTAAAAATAAATGTTGACAAAACTAGGGCGTTATGGATAGGTGCAATGAGAAATAGCGATTTAGAGTTATGTCCGGAAATCGGTGTTAAATGGGACAAAGGTCCATTTAAATTATTGGGAGTAACTTTATCAACAAATATTACATCTATAAGTGATCTTAACTATCCTTCCAAGATAAATGAAGTTAAAACTCTTTTAAAAGTATGGTCCAGAAGATTACTTTCTCCAATAGGAAAGATCACAGTGATTAAGACGCTTGCTTTGTCTAAATTAACTAACCTGTTTTTAACTTTACCAAACCCTAATTCTGATGTAATTAAAGACCTACAAAATGTATTTTTCAAATTTATTTGGAATGATGGACCGGATAAGATAAGTAGAATAAAACTCACTCAAGATATATGTAATGGTGGGCTTAGAGCGGTTGACTTAATACATTTCATCAGTGCTTTGAAAATCACTTGGATAAGAAGACTTTTATTTTCAAACACTAAATATGCTTTTCTTGTACAAGAATTGTGTCCAGCTCTTTACCAGTCGACCAAATATGGTAGTGACTATTTGTTACAACATAAAAGTAGAGTAAAACAATTTGTTTTGGAAGGATGTTTTGAATTCATTTTATTTATTTCAATGTAAGATTCGTTCAGGTAATTGGGCAGATTTCTTGTCCAATCCGGTATGGTTAAATCCTAATTTCAAAATTGCAAGAAAATCGTTTGAATTTAAACACTACTTAAGAAAAGGTGTTTTGTTTGTCAACGATTTTGTAAATGAAAATGGGTTATTCTATAGTTTTCAAGAATTTCAAAGATTATTTGATGTTAGATCAAACTTTCTTGAATATGAAGGTATAATACGTTCCTTCAGAAAAACTTTGACGGATTTTCATGTAAATCAAAATGATATCAAAGTAAAAAACCCGATATTGCCAATTGCCATCCAAATACTTAACAAAAGTCGCAAAGGATGTCGAGCAATATACGACGTGCTGGTCAATAATAATCGTCAGACAAAATCAGAAATAAAATGGCAAAATGATTTTTCTAATATTTATCTTAACTGGAAAAGTATCTACTCTCTACCCTTTAAAGTGACTAAGGATCCAAAACTTTTATGGCTTCAATATAGAATAACGCATCGTATTTTAGGTACTAATGTATTACTGAAAAAGATTAATGTTAGGGACAACGACAACTGTACATTTTGTAATATCAATCCAGAAACCATAAAACATTTATTTTGGGAATGTGACATAGTCAACATGTTTATAAGGGAAGTGCAGGGCTGGTTAACAAACAAAATTCCAAATTTATCTTTTCATTTTTCAGAACAATCTGTCATTTTCGGCTGTTCCCGATCCACAGTTCCAGAGAATAATATATTATTATTATTAAAACATTATATTTACAAATGTAAAATGAAGTCCGTATTGCCATGCTTAGAGGCTTTTAAAAATCAATTACTATTTTGGTTAAAGCAGAAATAATTAATGCCAAAAAAATGCTTAGGTTTGAAACAATGCAGGATGTATGGAAAGAATACATAAACTTAATCAATGAAAATGAAAGTACCTAACATTATTAGCTGTAAAAAAATTGTGACACTTATTGTTGTTGTAACTTAACTCTTTAATAATTGAACGTTTGTGCAGAGTAAACTTTGCCTTTTTAAAAAAAATATAATAAGAAAATACATATAGTACTTTGCAAATGTATGAATTTGTGTGTATCATTTCAGAACATTGTTATTACATCAAATTTCATGGTATTGTATTGTTGTATTATTTCATGACTTTTATTGTTTGCATTGTACAATAAAGAGAAATAAAAAAAAAAAAAATTTTACGTTAATGTAAATGCGAAATGGAATCGCCTGTTATTTGCGTGTTACATTTTGTATAATATTTTCAACAGAACTTAATGTTCTATAACGTTTACATGAAATACATGTAAGGAGGAAATTAATGTCATTTAAATGGGAATGTTTTGGGCCTACGCATGCACGGAAAGTTAAATAGCCCAGAAATTAAAATAAAGTGCACAATCGCAATAAAAAGCGTTGGTTTTGCATTGGTTTAATGTTTTTCCTTTTCCATTAAATAACAAAATTCATTATTAATTTTCAAGAGGAATCAAGAAAGTAATAATTGTTGCTACATAATTGCCAATCAATAAGATTTTTAATTTTCTGTAATTAATATTGTCTTATGGCCATAAACCCAAATTCCACATAATCACAAGACTTATCGATTTATGCTTGACATTTTCGGAGTATTTTGTTTGCTTTAAATATATAATATACTCATACTTCAGTAAAATATTTGAAATCTATGAAACTCTAACTGAGTATGTCTAATTTTAACACAATAATGAATAAACTTTGTATGGGAAGCTGCGTTCCCTATTACAGGTCATACAGGTATTTTCTTTAAAACAAAACTGCAACTTTTCTTTAAATTACACTTTATATTTATATTGTGACTACCTATAGTGTCATAGCATATCTACCTTGTTTGAAGTCAAAACATATTTATTTTATATTTAGTATTATTTACACGGAGACTGTGTAGCAATTATCAATATTTTCCTTTATTAAATTTGAGCGAAATTATCCGCTTATGTAAAAAAAACACAATAACTTACACTGCCGAATGCAACCGGTGTCCATGTTTTACAATCATTACTATACGAGACTTTATATTCCTTCACCCATTCCGGACAACACCCTTCCCTTCCTTGGCTGACAAGTCCTCGAATAATGCTCGGAGAGTCTAGCTCAACCTGCAAAATTAATTTGTTTTATTATTTAAATTAATAACACATCTAAGGGAAAGTGGTTAATATTCTATTATTGCGCATTTAAGGCATGTTTCATGGACATCATTAAAATAACCTTGAGACTCCAACTAAAGTCTCCTTCGATTGAGAAGAAAAAAATATAAAAAGGTCAAAGAAACAAAATTTGTTTCAAGAACTTATTGAAGTGCAAAAAAACGGTATTATTGAAATAGTAATATTATCATTACATTCATTTAACTAGCATCATTATGAATGATATGATTTTAAAGTTGTTTTAGCCACACCTTTCTTAAATATATATTGTGTAAATTATCTTTTAACTTGAAAATATAAAGATTTACAAATCAAGAACGGTATGGCTAAAAATCCACTGAGAAAAAAGTAGCACAAATATTTTAAGAGACGGTTTCACCTGTAAATATTGGTCTGTGTTTTGTTTTCCGGCCACCCAGGCTCCTGCTTGAATATGACCTTGCTGGTCAACTTGCTGTTTAGTGTACAGGTACCCTCGGGAAGGTCCGTGAACGTAATCCGGGTACTGCGAGGAAAACGCTGTCATTGTAGCGTTTCTGCCGACGGCAATACTGTTCTTGCATACGTCTGAAATTTAACCTATATGGAATAAGCAAAGCAAACACTTATACGTACAAACTTACTAATCATGTATATGTTAATGCAACTTTATATGACTGCACACGAATAAGGTATGTGAATGGTTTCAAGACTTCACTTCAGACAATTCAGACCGCCCGGTTAGATCAATAGGGAGAGCCCAGGGATCGAAGGTTCGTTTTCAGGAGAGGCGAAATTCACCATGACAACTGATCTTAGTCATTTTATTCTCACGGCCATTTAAACAGTTGGGTCACTTGGAGAAAATGGTAATTACTAGTTAGTTAACCAGGAATGTTGATTACGTGGACCGACCGCCAAGATAGTACAAAACGTGTTAAAATCGCCGTCAAACCAAACAAGTATATGTACAGTGTATATAAGTATACGTCTGTATTTACGTATATGTGAAAGGTACGAGCCTGTTATAGATAATGCACAATTGTATGTACGAGTAATTACATGTTTGTACATACTAGACTACATACATTTTATATGTTTGTTACAATACATGTGTAAGGTGTCACGTCGGTAGTAATGTGTGTACATAATGTAAGTTTAAATTAAGAAATTAACTCCATGCAGTTTCTATTAAAAACACAACTTTTCAACTCAAAGTCTTACATGTCTTCATCAGGTATCTAACAATATCTAATGCATATAATTATTATTTGTAATAATGACCATAAAAGGAACAGATACTTTAGACGTTTGAAAGTTTGCCAGTGCAAAATGACGAAATAAAAAGAGAAACCGACTAAGAATATATCCATGATGTACGTTTACATTGTGATTGAATATACAGAACAGCATGTTTTCGCACGTCTGAAATATGGATTGTAAATAGAACAAAAATACATGCAATGAATATGTCTTAAATTAAAGCTTTAAAATACACACGAATGAGCAAAAATAGTGACCGAAAGTGTGTGCGCCTATAAAATTTTTAACTTCTATTATGCTATTTATTTGTCGACGCAGACTAAGATCATCCTCGCCGTCCGATCATGGTCTGTACTGTTCGCTGTTTATTGAATACTTACATAAAATATTGTCAAGAACGAAAGATTGGCAAGAAGTTCATTTAAGATATATGGCGCGTTAAGTATTAAATGTTAGAACACAAATTAAAAATTGTTTCCGACATTAAAAGGGGCAAAACATGAGTATTCAGATATTTAAATAATAGTTTTAGAGCATGTAAGATGCTTATTAACAAAAGAATGGGCCACTGAATGCGAAAAAATTGCCTTAAAGTAAGCAAAATGTAAACAAAGTGGTTTTGTTTCTTCCATACAAAATACTAAATCTCTATAACTTTACTAATTTCCATAAAGCAAAAGAAGCAAGTGATAGTTCAGGTAAATGACCAATGAATATCTATTTAAAAACTATAATAGGACAACAACAAAAAAAGCTTTTGAGAAAAAAATAACTCATTCAGTTCAGGGGCATAATGAGACTTTAAATGTTTGGTGCACTATTATATCTTTTTAAAAGTTTTAGATTCTTTTCGCGACAATATTTCCCGTTTTCTGCTTGATTTAATAATGGCGGAATTAATGCTTAATGTACATACATACATGTTGTAATTTGTTTTTCAAAACAAACCTATTCATAATGGATTCCTTACATTTTATTTTACATTGTATACCTTTTTGTCATTAAAACGGTCCGATTTCTCTCTCCCGCATATGGAACAAAGTCTTAGCTCCTTGGCCTACATATTTATCAAGAATAAATCTTACAATAATATGCACCTTTGCTTGCTAATGACATAAATAGCGACGTTTGCTAGCATTTCTAACGTTCAAACTTGCATCTCAAGTATTTTAAATTGCTTAGTAATTCGTTTTAGATGGCTTGATTTATTTAAGGTGCACTGGCACAGGTCACTGCAACACAACCACGGCAGTTTTGTCGTACTATTTCTTATATACAATGACAACACATGTTATAATCGCCTTGGTAGAGTAAATCCATTTGTTTTTGGAATATTTGTACAGAATTAACACTTGTACTAAACAAAGTATGCTTGCGTATCCAAGGTGGAAAGATGAATGGATACGTTTTCAAGAGGCAATTATGGTGCACCAGGTGCGTGTTTAATTGTCAGAAAGTGTACTTATATATACCATTTAAAATCTTGAACTCGGAATTTTCTTCCTTTTTTGCGAAAAAATAAACACAACAAAACAAACAAGACTGAAAACGCCATTTTGATTATAAACTGGATGGGTTATAAGGGGTAAACATCTTCAGTTTGAACTTAATCTTTGATAGAAAATGTTCATCTTTACTGTATATAGAATATGACTGTCAATTCACCGCGTTAAAATAATAATATATTAAGATACATCACTTCATAAAAAGCACAACGATACATTATGAGTAGTTAATATTATGTTGTTTACTTTGTTAGTTTTTTTTTTCAAGTAAAATGACTACATCTGCAGAATTTGTGTTACGAAAATATATCCAAATGGTTATTTTCTATTGGTTTTGTTTGCAAGTCTTCAGAAACAATCGCACGTGAATTGATCTGATTTGCGGTGGCATGATGGTTAAGATGGATCTCCAAGAGATAGTTAGTTCGAGCCCTGCTCTGGTCACAGATGTGTGTCCTTATATGACACTATTACTGGTTAGTGCTATAAAACGGACTCAAAGTTGTTATTATTTGATTCACAAAGGAGCTTATAAATATACTTAAAGTGAGATTTATTTTGAAAGACTATGAAATTTTAATACCTTTTTTAAATAATTATATGATTTGATGTGTATTATAATAAACTATAATTTTTGCATAAATATATATTTCGAAATAATGCGTTTACAATTAAACTTACAGTTTCTGAATAGGACATCGTATGAAGCAAAACTAAAGTCTTAAAGCAGCACGCCTCTAGATCCCTGATAATTTTCATTTAAAAAATAAAAAAAAGTAAAATATTGTAAAGTGAACTAAGAAAATAATTTTCCCATTGCAAAAAAGCACTTACAAACCATGTGAATTACCAAAAAAAAAAGAGGTCAAAATATGCAAAAATAGCCCTTACTGCACTAGTCACGCAGTAGAAATATAGTGAAAATTACTGCAAAATTGGTCAAAAATCGCACATAACATGAAAATTATTACTTTTATTCCGAGTTTTTTTTTTCTTGCTTTTCATAAAATCTCAGCATTTTTTTCTCTCAAGTTTGATCATGTTGCTATTCGTTAAATATTTTGGTTTTTCTGGACTTTGGAGGCATATTTCGATGACGTATCTGTTAACTAACGCTACCATCAAAATACTCATCCTCAATGCATAAATAATATACATGAATTAAATAATCAAATTGACGAGCTTACCTGCACATCTGCATATATCTTGTAATGCTGTAATAGAAAATAAAATGCAATAGTTCCATTTACATTTACGTTATGTCTCCACATTTATTCTGGATTCTGAAAATTTTATATATCTTAAAACATATTTTATTATCGTGACGATCTCGTCTTGGTGACATTCATCATGATGCTAGTTTTTTCGTCATAGAATTCAATATATACATCGTCGGAACCCACGGTACACATTCCGTATATACTACATTTAATATATATACGGTAAAAAGCCTGGGTTACCGAGGATGCAATATATACGCAGTAATATAAAATTCTCAGATATTGCGGAATTGAGAGATTGTACAGCAAAGCGCAAAACTAATGTTCAGTTTCAATTATTTGTTCCATAGTATCAACATAAAAGTCTGCGATATTTAAATAATAAAATTATGATTAAAATCGTTTTAAGGGAAAACATTAGGTTTTATGTCGTAATCTATAATGCATTGTCTATTGATATACTTGGTTTTATTCGTTATTTATAAGATTTTTTTTCGTTTCTTCAATCATTTCAAGTAAGGCAGATAAGAAGAATAATAACCAATCTGATAAATTGCTAATTACAAGAAAGACAGTAAAGATAAAACTTACCAAATAGCAAAAATAAATAAATTATAGAGTAATTCATCATTGAACGTAATACGCGAAACAAAAAGTGTTCAAAACATTAATAAAATACACAAAAGAGACTGTTTACATTGTCAACCAAAACACCGCTTGTTTGTTATTATTTTTACAATTACTGTTAAATCATTGAAATGTTTTATTTTTGTAACACAAAAATAACTAATATATCTTTAAATATTATTCCATGAAATATTCAGTTAATGTCATTTTTCGCACATTTTAGTGAATGCAAAAGAGACATAAAGAGTGGTAAAGAGAGCATGCATCCGTTGTCGGGTATTTAAATGGTACTTATGTTTGATTAAATAATTGACTTAAAACACGGCGGCCCAGTGCGATGTTTCAGTAACTAGACAAACTGTTTGGGTGTTTACCAATTATTATCTGCCTAAATCCGTTAATGCCAACTAGTCATCAAGGTTACACCAACACGTGGATCCTTCATTAAGGAGAATGGGAAACAAGAAGAAACAAATACGAGCATCTCTATGTACCTGAAAGAGAACATTTTTTTCAGTAGGCGGGTAACGGATTTAAGGTATAAGAATAACAAAGCCATCTTAAGTGTAGAAGATCTGTCTAAAAGTGGTTGATTCTTAACAAATTACACATGTAGTATTCTAATTGGTAATAAATCTAATACTATAAGGGAAATAAAAGCTTCAGACCAAGCAATCGCACCTTCTTTGCCCTTTCCGCCAAACTTCGGATAAGAATAATAGCCGAGACGTTCCGATTGCAGACAATGATGATGTTTATAATATCGATGATATCAAAGATGATACGCCCGTTTCTATGACAACAGTGATATCATTTATATCATTGTCATTATTATCATCATCATAATTTATATAACTTATAAACAAAATGTAAATGCCTTGATCGTACATTTATGTTATCATATTTACGATCATCATTAATTAATGTGTCATCAGTATCATGTCGTCAACATCATCTTTATCATCATTAACATCAGCAGCAGCAGCAACAACAACAACGTCAACAACTTTTTTCCCGTCGTTCCTGTTTCCTGTGATGTCATTGTAGTAAATGACGAATGTCAGTGATAGCCTTGTCCACGGTTTGGATATCATGTAGCAGTAAGTACGGGAGGGTAAAGTCGTCTTTTTATTTACATTTTTATGTTTATATTTTAGGATTAGAATGTCGGGGCAGTTAGGTAACGCGATTATTTCCAGCTTCATCAGGACCGATTGTTTCGTGTTTTGTTAAATTGTATACTTTCTACAATGAATTCCAAAGATAACATCCTTTCAAACATGCAAATTATTTGCAGACGTCACAAAAAATCAGCTGCCATGAAATAGGTCACTCAGTCTGCACTGCCGATGATTAAAGCATTCCGTAACATTTCGGCATTTTTCGTTAAACTTCGACAATGGATACGTGGGAGAAGGGGTGATCGCCAAATACTCGTGCCATATACGTGTACGTCTTGCTATACTAGTTTACTGATCACGGGAAATATCGGGAGTTTGGCACAGTTGTGATAATGTTGCTCAATATCTCAAACCACTCCTAGTTTTGTATGCATTTGTTGTTATTATGCGTGTGCAATACCGGAATATTTGATATGACATCATCGATAAAATGCAAGAAATTTGACTTTAATTTGTGCATAAAAAGGCGAATTGTGCGCCTCGAGCAAAAGCACAGTTGTTGGTTGATTTTATTTAAACCTAGGATACAGGTTGTATCCAATATGGTCGCCAAAATCCAATATGGTCGCCACAATCCAAGATGGTCGCCAAAATTAAATATTCAAAATATTAAATTGATATTTGTTTACCAGTCGTATCAGTATGTAGAGCATGGTAATTAACACAGCAGCAATTTTTGCAAAGAAAAAAGAGAACAAGAAAAAGAAATCAGCATGAAAAATATCTTAGACACCGTTTAAAGATGTTCGCAACATTTTTCATATAGAATTGCATGCAAAAGCACTTTAAGAAGGTCGGGATGAACTGGACACCAGATTGTGGTCATTTTTATTATACCGTCTTCAATTTTGGTCGACTTTTAAACTTACAGATCGTGTTAAATTGAAATTATATTTTCTTTAAAGAGATGGTACATTTAGATAATACGAAAAGATATTTCAATATTTAAATAAGATATTGGAGAAACATTTTAAAAAGCCGTGAATTAGTGAATGAATACCCTAAGATATGAAACTATATGCATGCATGTCATTGTATTCATACATATAACAGTTGTTAATGCCCTAATATTTCATGTTCAACACCTTATATTTGCATCAATACATGCAAAAAAACTAGAACGGTGAGTCAGTGGCAACACACTAAACTATTTCATTTAGCTAACTTCCATTACCCTTGATTAATATGACAGTCGACCCAAATATCTTAAAGCGGAAACATATACCGCAAATAGTTTAAGGTATGGTCTATTTATTTACATAAGAAAATTAAAGAGATATTCGAATCACGAAATGCATTTTGACCGTAATTCTTTTAGATATGCAAGAGTTACGCATCATAAAGTAATAGGTAAATAGAACATAAGATAAGAGTTAATCGTTACACATATTGTACAAAGATGCAACTTTTTTTTAGGAGATTGTATCACACACGGATTTATATTACAATAATATAAATCCGTGTATCACACCACAATTATAAATGTCTTATTGCCACTTTTCGGTTTTTACTGATGATAATAACCTCGTTAAGAACAGGCAGCTAAAAGAAACATAGACCATTCCTAAGCTAGCGGGATACATTGTAGCTATCCTCGGTTGGACTCGAACCATAATGTTGAAGAGTAAATAATTCGAAATCATGCACTCAATAAAAGGCCCCGAATAATAAACATGTATGCAAAAATGAGTTCTTTCATTACATTTTCCTGTGTAATTACAGTTACACAATTTCATTTCATTATCAATTTTCTCATTTCACATATTTGTTTATCTTTTCTAAGCGGCAGTGACGCTAATAATTCACTGAAAATATTTAAAACCATCAACACCAACAGTCATTAAACAACTGAAAGGTGCCAATATTTACAAATTCATACTGATATGAACTTGAAACATGTTGAAAGACAAAACAGAAAGAGTCAGGGAAGTACATAATCGCAAACATCCTTGCGTAATTTCTTAATTTATTCGCAAAGTATATAAATATATATAAATCTTGCGGTTATGTTTATTCTATCTATATAACACTTGGTCAATGGTAATATAATCTTTTGAAGTATTTCTGCCTTAAATGTCTGTATTTTGGGCAAACCAATAAAAAATGATATTCATCTTCCATTATATGCATGGTACAATTGTTACATTATAATTACATATTTCAGGAACGACCTATAGTGTATCTGCATTGTTAAGACAACTAGATCTATCCGAAAAATACATCCATCTAGTCTTTTTTATAGGTCAGTCACTGAGGACATATCATCAGGCGTTCCTTAAAAGATTATTTGCATGCCAAGTCATGAGGTAGAATTTTCAGCGCAGAATTCACGGAGAAATGTTAATCAAATTGGCCTTATTAAAGGACCTAGGACCACCGAGGTCAAAAGCTTAAAAATCATAAAATTTGATTTTTTACAAAAATCAAGTGCAGCACTAACATGGAGATATCTGAAAAGAATAATAAAGAAATATATTCAGGATTACATTGAATGTCGATAGTAAGTTCCATTCTTAGCAAAGCGTTGCGACGATTTTCATTTTTTGGTCATTTCGCAAAATGAAGATGATTATATGGGTGCGGGAATGATCTGAAGATTTGCACATAAGTAACTTATTGAAACCTACTCATAATCATACATAAATCTCGGAATAATAATGAAATTATAAATGATTATGTAAATATAAACTCTTGCTCTTATAATACATGTGAAACATTTATAATACATTGTTGTTAGAAACAAAACCTTAAATAATCCAATTTTATTTTAATATACTCTTGGTCATACTTATAACAAAATTTTCTGTCTCATGCTCGTAAAAGAAATTTGCTACTATCTAATTATCACATCAAATGCATCCTAAGGCACTGGTCATTAACGTATTATTTTTTATTTTGACATGACTGTTTGGTTTCTTAAATAATATGAGTGGCAATGACTTATAACAATAGTAATTTTGTGCCGTTGGTAATATCCATCAGCCATTTCTTGTCTTTTTCGTTTTCGGACAAGACTGGTTTTCTTTATGGATAAACTTGAAAACTTTACATAACAATATATATATATATATGCTTGTAATATTGTAATAGTCACTGTATTATTTTGTATAATATCTCTTGTTGTTAACCTAATTTATTAGTGTTAAGAAATTATTGTACATGATGTAATTTTGTATATATTGTATATATTGTATGTTCTGCTCTTCATAATGGGAGGAAATAAAGAATCTATCTACCTTATTAACGGACCTACACCGAGGTCAAAAGCTTAAAACCATAAAATTTGATTTCTTACAATATCAAGTGAAGCACTAACCACGTGAAATATCCTGAAGAGGATAATAAAGAAATATATTCAGGATTATATTGAAAGTCGATAGTAAGTTCCACTCTTAGCAAAGCGTTGCGACGCTTTTCATTTTTGGGTCATTTCGCAAAATAAAGATGATTATGTAGGTGCGGGAATGATCTGAAAATTTGCACATAAGTAACTGATTGAAACCTACTCATAATCATACATAAATCTCGGTAAAATACGTCCAGTCCCGTCAACTCAAAAAGATCTGGGTCGATGATGCATGGGCCTTGTAATATGAAACCATTCATTTAATAATCAGAAGCAACCTGCAATGACGTATATGTTATCTTCATACAAACATTGTGGAATATTATTATTATATTAATATGATATTTTGATTGATATTTTACAATTTAGGAGTACATGCAGTCCAAAGGTTATGTATGCGTGGTACAATATGGTATACAATTCTTATTAAAGGCGAGTGCGGGAAGTTTTTCCTCTATTTATAAACATTAAATAGGATAACTTCAAACTTGTATCTGACAGATGTAAAGATAAAAACTTTTGTAATCGATTTTCTTTTTTTCTTTTTTTAATGTATCAAATCATTTTACAGCAAAAAATAACAGTAGAAAATCGGATAATTTTATTTCGCCTACGAAATACTCACGTCGGTCAACTGATAATCAGTAACGTCTCTGGTATGTTACAATTACGTAAAGGGAGCGTACACAGTCTGCTCTACAATACTTTACCAACAAGGATTCAGGACCTTATTTAACATGTATTGTCGGAAAGAGCCATAAAGCTACGAGTTGTCTCTTGCTGCTAAAAGAGCCGGCGTCACACACAATGAAGACGGAGCATGCTCAAACAGAGACAAAAACCTGTCTCATAAGTAATACATGGAGTTACATGGTTTGCTAAGGCATGCACCAAAATAACATATCTATCATCTTAGTTGAAAAATGAAAATCTTTACAAAGATTAAATTGCTGTTATCAGCGACGTACGTGTAGGTTAAAAAAAATGCAATGTTCCTGCTGCCATTATGATGTTATAGAGTAGTTGCCAAAATGTGGTCACAAAAAACACTCTTTATTATATCGATAAGGGTTTCTGTGGTTTTTTTTTTTTTAGTGTTTTAGTTACACCTGTGTCAAAATTAACCCGAATACACCCTCCCAACACTTTGACTACCCCCTCCACATCCCCTACCCATTGATAGTTAACTGATATTTTTATCAAATTTGTCAATGTTAATTTGTTGAAACAAATTACACAAATAAAGCACGGTTTTATTCGCTATACAACATGCATTATCATAGTCTTGTGAATTTTATAATCATTATAATTATAAAAAAGGAATCAGAAGAAACCCAAAAACGGTTAAAAATTAGGTTACAATTTTGATTACATATACACGTATATTCTGGTATGACGACCTTGACAAGTTAAAATTCATAACCTCCTGACAAAGCTTTTTAAAAAACTATTTTTAGACGTTCAGAATTACGAAATATAATAAAGCCATATTTATATTAAGACTTTTGGCAAACACTAAACAGATCGTGGGTGTGTGACGTCACAACGACTTGATACTTACATTAAGTGTTTAATTGCTTATTTGAATACGTTTTAAACATATGTTTGTTATCGCGTGATATGCCGTTGGTTATATGTAACCACAACTGATAAAAATACTGATCTAACTCGAGGTTACATTCTATATTAGTATGTTAATTCTTATCATTTAGTCATGTTTTGGAGAATGAAATCATAAAAAAATTGATTTGAAGATTAATGTTGACATTATTCTAAATGCGGAAAGAAAATGAAATCTTATACATATGTACATGTGTTATGTCAAATTGAAAACAATGAACTTTGGTCATAAACATGAACTCACAATAACTTAAAATATAAACATATTATATAGGGGCAACTAAATTTAGACACATCATCAACAACAACAACAGATAAAAACGCATGTAATGCACTGCTGTATAAAGTTGAAACATTAATGACCAACAGGCATTCATAAAACATCACTGTCGTCAAAGGGGTCGAATTTCGTCTTTGACAATTTGCATGTATTAGCCTGTAGATACAATTAATGCAGTCCATGGCTCAGTAATTATTATATTAAATGCCTGATCATATTCAGCTACCGATCGAGGCGTTGCACATTGTGACTGCTGTATGTAGATCTACAATGTTATATCTAACTAGATATATAGTGTCTACATATATATAATTCTAATCTATGTTTTTTTTTATTTTAAATAAATATTCTAATATTCGTAAACAGCTAGCAACCCTTATTCTTAGCACATATCCAAGGCCAGGCCTATGTATATGTGGAATCACGGCTGTATATATAGTCTAGAACTTTTGCATTCATAACGCGCGTGATATATTTTCAATTAGTCTTTTATTACTTTCAAACGGGGCATAGAAATTCTGTTCAAACAGAATTGTGTTGAACAGAATTGTGTGACATAGATTTCCTAGCTAACTCAAACGTTCAAAGTTTATAAAATGAAGTAGTCTTGATCACAGGATTTCATGCGTTTTAAATTTAATTCACATATAAATAGAATAAGAATGTATACATGTACCTCTGGAGTCAATGCTAAGCTATTGTCATTTTTATATTCAATTAAAAAATATAAACACTCGATTTGATTGATTTTTCATGTATACCCGGTATACCTGTACGCCAATAAACGAAAACTTACCCACAGGTATATTAGACGTAATCCGTATCAATTAACGGCTACGGTTCATTCGCCAGATCAAAGCGCGCCTAGCAACCAATCAAACTTCGCCAAACAGTTATGTACATGTTTGCAAATATGGCCGCCTCTGTGTAGCGGTATACGTCAGTTCGGTGATAAAATTCAGTATTAACATACGTGTATATCTTAAAAACTGTGAAAAAAGATCGGATAACAGTGCCAAATTAATTCAGATTCCACGATGAGTGAAGGAGAGAATGTTAAAGTGGCTGTCAGGGTGCGACCATTCATATCCTTTTTTTTTATTCGTTAATTGATGAAATCGGGCACCGGCTAATGCAATTAACGTAATGAATATTCGATCTTTTGCACAGTTGCATGTTAATAAAATTGTTGCACATTTTATCAAATATGTGCATTGCTACTTTTCATGTTAAATGAACAGATCGACTGTTTTGTGTATGGGAATTTATTGAATTTTTAGTAAAATTTTCAAGTGGTGACGCTGGCATGACTGAGCTTGTTGTAATGAAAAATAATTGGTTTATTGTATGAGTACTATACACACAAATGTTTGAAGAGTAAAGACCAGTACTCTTTTTGCATTATCATGATGGCTAAATTTAAACTTTGCAGTGATGTGAAATGGTTAATATTTTTTTCAAAGTATGAAAATAGGGCTATACATTGTACATGAATAACCTGGATTAGACCCTGGGGTCAAAATCAGTAGTATATCTACATGTACATAGAAGGCTCAGTCTTTATTGATCTGTCAGTCTAATATTTTTTGAACAAAATTCTGAGGCATTTTAATTGCATGTAATAATCATACTAATCAGTTATTATTTTAAGATATAACAGCATTTACTGTATCATTTCCAATTATTATTCAGAACTTAATTACAATTATTCTAAGAGAATGGAAGCTGGGAGCAAAATGTAAATGTTGTCATACTTGGCAGACATTAAATTTTATACGTATTTCCCAGTCAATTTATCCAGGGCTTTCCTTAATCTTTTCGGGTAAGGGGGGACTTTGACTAGGGAAGATGTTTTTATTTCAGAGATTGAGACCAGGTGACATTTGGATTTTTCGAACCTTTAGCAAAGGCTCTGTCTCAGGGGACAGTTAAATTGTAACATAGGTCTCAACTTAAAGACATATCTCATATGTCACCCATTCCGGCGCCAAAATAAAACCACTCTATTGCCCATCTATCCCCTGTCTTTCCCTGGGGATCGGGGTGGAAGCATTGGTTTAAATTGATTAGTTCAATATATGAAGAAAGTACTTGGAAGCTTTTCAGACTATTTTGGATTTTGATGCAATAAAGATATCTTTTTGTAAGAATTTTGTTTGCAGAATTCTCACAATGCCACTTTTTATGGGTGGAAATTCTGAAACTTTTGTGAAATCAAATTCCATCCTAGTATTCCATGAGATTTACACAGAGCTGCTCACAATTCTCAATACTGTTACAGTACCAGGCTATTGTTAGAATCATGATCAAATACTGTACTGATAGCTCACAAGTCATAATGTCATTGCTAATGCTAAAGAAATAGATTTAGGAATGATGGTCTTGAAAGACACTTTTTGGCAAGATTTCCAGAATAAATCTCATTACAAATATTGAATTTGTGAACCACCTTGCTGGAACAAACAATGATTAGCCTATTCCACCAAGAGCCAGGCCAGCTTGCACATCAGCCCCATCTGACCAGACTCTATACTGTTAGCAGACTGACATTGATCATTCCAAAATTTATGATGGACAGTTTCAAAAAACTAAAAAAAAAAACTTGACAAACCTATTAGATAAATTTAGCAAGTTGACTCCTTATACCTTTCTGGCTAAATACTTGAGGCATTTTGGATCCAGAAAAAATTAACTATTGCTCACTGAACGAGCTTTTATAGTGTTATACCCAGGGTAAACATATACATATCATTTTACTTATTGCATATATCCCTCCCCTTCTTTCACTGCCCTTGTGTCTTCTCCCATTTTTAAATTGGTGCCTTCTTGGTGCCCTACAGGTGTGCCTGGATTGTGTCAGGGGCTGTGTTCTGTGAATGTTACCTTGCCTTGCCTTGTTGATATTTATTTTCATTTTTTTATATACATGTAGATATTTATATTTGCTGCCTCATTTTTCTCTCAGCATGCAGGCTTTATAATATACACAACCATACAATTATATGTTATATTCACTACATACACAACTATATAATTGATTTCATTTGAGATACCTGTATTAAATGAATTGTATAGATTTTTTCTGTGGGATATATACAGATACTTCTCATTAGGAATATCAATACTGTCATAGAGGATTACCGCTTGTTCTCCTAAATAGCTTTCATCATAAAACACTGCTAATAACCATCATATTAATCATCACTTCAACCCTTGCTTTGCTGAATTTTTTAAATGGACTTGACCAGTTTCTATTTTTGGAACAGTCCATTTTCAATTTTGGGGATATCTAGAGTTAGCTAGCAGGATAATTAATACACCACTGACTATTCATTTGTCTTTTGTGTGTCTATGTAGAGAATATAGATACTCAGGAACTTGGCATATGTTTGTTCCTGGGGTAAAAACAAACTTTTACAATTTTTAAATTAATTAATATATATATCGATGATAAGCCAAAAGCTTTGACCATTCTATTGTGAAAGATGGTTGATTAAGCTATAACTGAGAAAGTTTGTACCATCAGATTAGATGGGAAAAACTCACATTTGCTTAATTCTGGATAATAATTATTCTTTTAAAAATTAATGGATCAGATGTCAAAACCCCATACCCATATAAGTGAACTCTCCCACTTTTAGGGGGAGACTCCCACTTTTTGTAGCCATATTATCGATGATTTTTCTTAAAATAAGGGGTATTTTCACAAATTAAAGAAATCTCCCTATTTTTGATGTAAGAACTACCTTCTTTGTTTATTGCAAATTCTAAAATCTCCCTCTTTTCAAAGAAAAATCTCTCACTTGATCATCAAAAAAAGTTCAAATGTATGCCAATACCTTGGTATTATATTTTCTTACCAATCTTCCAGCAGAAAAATTAGGATTGAATTGATTATCAGACACTCATACCTGACTGTTCTATTGTCTTTCTATAGGTTGCATCCTATGAGAAAAAATAATTAAATGGTCATATAGGTAGCTGACCATGTGTTACTATAAAGATGTAAATGTGAATTGGTAGATAATTTAATATTAAATATATTAGAATATCAGACTGAATGATGTCCCAACACCTCTGAACTGCGACTACATCTGTTATCATAGTCATGCTACAGTTTTAAAACATATTGACCTGTTAGTTACACTTGTTTATATTCCTTAACAACTGTCCACAATGGGCGTGAGAAGGAGCGCAATGCCACCCTTATTATTGAAATGAGTGGTGCTCAAACTAAAATAACAGACCCGTCTGGTGCGAATGAGGAAAAGAAGTTTACATTCGACTTCAGCTATTGGTCACATGATGGCTGCAAGGATGACGGCTCCGGATATTTTGCACCGGACACTTCCCATTCCAATGGAAAGAAATTTGCAGACCAGGTACACAGCAAGTCTTTTTTATGAATCTGTATTTGTTTTTATTCCTTTGTTTCAAATTTTTGTTATTCTTTTGGTTATTTGAAATCAATTTCTTACAGATCAAATTGTCATAACTCTTTTGTGTGATGTGGGTGTAGAATTCAAAGAAGTTAATGGTAGACCTAAGTTATTTCTATATCAAACTATTGATATAAGTTCAAATATGTTTTAGGCCAATATGCCTTAAATTTACTGTAGTGATATTACCTTGCATAAAATAGGAGCCGAACTGCAGAACATCTAAGGTCTATTCCAAAATGACATAACTGACCGAAATCCCTTATTAAATCTTGAAATTTTCCCAGAAACCGTTATAGGATTCTTCAAAACAGGACAAAACTTTTAGGCATTGAATGGCATCTTATAAAACATTATTTATAAATAAGTTGCTCATCAGTTTCAATGTGTTTTTTTTTATCTCTTTTGCAGCAAAAAGTGTTTAATGAACTTGGTGTAGGTGTACTGAAGAATGCCTGGGAAGGTTACAACTCAACATTGTTCGCCTATGGACAGACAGGATCTGGCAAAAGTTGGTCCATGGTCGGCTATGGAGTTAACAAAGGTGAGCTTTGATCTTGTATGACCCAAGATGTTCAAACATAAATTGCTTGACCACAAAATCTGCTCTAAACCGAGGTAAACTCCCCGATTTTGCGTAATTGACTGGTGATGTTAAAATTTTGGAAATAATTGTTAAAATGAGATATTTGGAGTTAGATTACAAAATTTTAAGATTCAGCTCTAGACAGTTATAGAGTATAGTATATTGACTAAATATTGACTGTATTGCTAAATATCTCAATGGCTATTATTTATATGGAAGGTACAGGGAAATCATTTGCAGCTAGCTTTAAAACTTAACCTGCTGAATTTGAATAATGGATTTTTCCTGCTTTGAATTTGGAACAGTCCATTTGATTTTTAAGGGATTTTGATAACAAAATACAAAACCTGAACTACAAACGGTTAATAATTGAGCTTGGTCAGACTGGCTGGTTCAGCTGTATACTGGTGGCAAAGCCTGCATGAGTAATCACTGTCTATTCCAGCCTGATAAAAACAAAAATCTTTTGAGTGTTGAAATAAAATTCCTTTACATTTTGATCAAGTATCTCTTTCTTAGTAAATACATTTTCTTGCACAATCTTACTACCGGTATTCTTTGCTTTATGTTGTGTTATAATAATTATGGTATGTGGTATAACGGCTCCACTTGTGTCACTTTAAATTATCAACTTCTTCTCATGCAAGACAGTGAGTCTGTTAAAGATTATAGCAGAAGTTCCATTTTATTTTTCATTTTTATTTTTTTCCCCAGGTATTGTTCCTCTGTACTGTGACATGCTTTTCAAGGACATTGCCAAGAAAAAGGAAGAAGGTGCAAAAGAACAGTTTGAGGTGAGAAAATAACTTGCATTTTTTTAAAAATATTTTGCAATTTCAATTTTGTCAATGTTTATGACTGTTTTCATAGGAAAATGCAAAACAGAGTTTATGCAAGGAAGGGAATGGAATAAGTTATGTTGTTAGATGTGGTGAAATGATGCAAATTAAGGTTAATAAAAGTTAAGTTCCAGTAATCAGTTAATGAAATTTGGCATTTCTAATTTTGATATTTTGCTATAGGATGTGTACCTTACTCTGCAGGTGTCGCAACACTTGCTTAACCTTTGTGAAATGGATCAGCCAAGATTCAAATTTAAAACAGTCTATTCAAAGTTAAAGAAATTTTAAATTCAAAGTACAAAATTAAGCTATCAGCTTTATACAGCCTGGAAACATACATGTGAACTTTTTTGGATGACCAAGTGGGAGATTTTTCTTCAAAGAGAGGAAGATTTTAGAATTTGCAATAAACAAAGAAGAAAGTTCTGACATCAAATTTCTTTAATTTGTGAAAATACCCCTTATTTTAAGAAAAATCTTAGAAAATATGGCTGCAGAAAGTGGGAGTCTCCCGCTAAAAGTGGGAGAGTTCACATGTATGCCTGGAAAGACTGCACAGTTTGTGGCAAAGGTTTGTCAAGTTTGGTTCCAGAAGGTTATGGTTGCTTTAGTGTGAATTTGGAAAAGCTCCTTTATCCACGAATTGATAATAGTTAGCATGCTGGTATAAAGTCACTAATATGAATTATAGAGCTCTTTCTAATAGATGTCTCATGGCTCTCTCAAATAAGTCATTGCCCTGAATGTGTTTTTAATAAAATATTACCACATCTTTTAGGAAATTATCAATTCTTTATAGGTACAATAAACATTTCTTGTTTTATTACAGGTAACATTCAGTATGTTGGAAATTTACAATGAAAACTGTAGAGATTTGTTGGACTCCAGTGGCAAGAAAGCTGCTCTTAGAGTCAGACAACATCCAAAATCTGGATTTTATGGTAAGTCTTTTTGCATATTCTGATTTGCTTTGAGAGCACCTTGATATATTAATTCTTGATAGGCTATATATATATTGATTGGACTTGACCATCTTTCAATTTGTCATAAAAAAGTAAATCATTTTAAGGAGCTATTTGAAGAGAAGAGCAAAAAAAAGCAGACCCATCATCAGATGGGAAGGATGTGTTGGCTGATCTTGGTCTGCACTGGTCACAGTAAAACCATTTGCTTCCAGCAGACTAAGTGTTAATTTTATAGTACTGACCTTCTTTGATTTTGGAACAGTCCATTCAGTGTAACCCTTAACTTGCTGGAACCAAAATGGAATAGCTGTGGCCACCAGTAGGGAGCCAGGCCAGCCTGTACATCTGTTGTACTGGGATGGTGTACTGGTCTGCCATTTTAGCTGTTTAAGCTCTCTAGAGAGGTAAAGGTTTATCTAGAGTTAATCTAAAGGTTAACCAGAATATCTGTAAATAATTATTGACTAATGCTTTAGCAAAAGTGATAAAATTAAAAAAGAAATGTCATTAAATTTTCAGTATTTTGTATTATTTAATACTAGTATGTTTCAGCTGACAATTAGATCTTTTGGACCTGTGTAGAATAATAAATGGTTAACATCAAGTCATTTAAACCCTGTCAGCAGCAAGCCATGGTTTTCTTGAGCCGGAAACACTTTTTGCTTAGTACTGGTTGGATAAAAATTGCATAAAGCCTGGTTAGAATACAAGGATGTGCAGGTTGGACTGGCCTTGGTCTATATTGGTTATTGCTTGGCTGATGTTAGTGCTCTGGGAGTTGATCTTTTAAACATTTGGCACCATTACACATTTAATGATTCTGCGATACTGGTTTTCTTATGCATGCATATTTTTGTGTTTACACAGCCGATGGTCTGAATGAGGTGCCAGTTGGTAGTTACGAAGAAATTGAACAGAGGACAGCTGAAGGTACACGAAACAGAACTGTTGCCTCAACAAAAATGAACGCCACCAGCAGGTAAACATTGCCTTATCTATTTAATGTACACAATAAGCCTTTCACAACCTACTGATGTCCATTTACATCACATTTCAGGCTCCTCACAACACAGATGTTCAATTGTAGCATGGATTTTCATTACTGTACACTTCAAGCCCCTTATACAGCCTGAAAGTTCATTTACTGTACACTTTAAGCCCTTTACAGCATGAATTTTCATTTATTGAAAACTTCAAGCCCCTTACATTTAAAACAGCATAGACATAAACATATGAGCCGCGTCAAGAAAAAACATAATGGCTTTGTGACCAGCATGGATCCAGACCAGCTTGCGCATCCGTGCAGTATGATTAGGATCCATGCTGTTCGCTTAAAAACCCTATAGCAAGTAGAGAAACTGATACTGAACAGCATGGATCCTGATCAGACTAAGCGGATGCGCAGGCTGGTCTGGATCCATGCTGGTCGCAATCGCACTATGTTGGTTTTGTCTGGCACAGCTCATATTGTACAGTTCAGGCCCCAATATGCACAAACTTTTATTGTTGTACATTTCTACCACTTACAGCATAGATGTTAATTTGCTTGACATTTCACATCCCTCACAGCATGTATATTCAATTGCAGTACACTTCGTGACTTTCATGACATAATCATCATAATTATCTTGTACATTTTAGTGCTATTATAGCATGGATGGTCATATAATGTACACTTTAGGCCCCTTACAGCATGTTCAGTCGAAAAAAATCCAACTAACTCATTAGTGTCTCTTCTATTAAGAATCTGAACTTTATGCTCTGGCATAGACTCATTTAGACTGTAGGTCTGCGTCCATCAATAAAACTGGAATGTCTCCTTATGAGCCGCAATGCTTTTAAAGTAAAAGATAATTATTGAGTTGTGTAATAGGATGATGCCACCTTGTTTTGTGAAATTAACATAAAGGTAAGACAAATAATTGTCTTGAACCCATGTCAAAAATATTTTTGTTACCTGCTGTGCCCTGAGACCTTTAAAATTAGACAATATCTATACATATATAAAATCAATATTATACATGTATATTTCTTTACCTCTTATATTATTGTGTTAAATTAGTTTTGTTACAATTATCACATTTGGCTGTTACAGTGGTAATGGACTTTCAATGTGATAGGTCATTTAAGTGCTTTGTACTTAATGCACTAGACAGTTCTAATAGCTGGTACAGAGTTAGTAAATTAATCATTTGAAATATCTGAATCTGACAATCATTTCTGATATGAAATAATTTGATAAATCTTTTATCTGTGACTTAATCTTACAAATATTTCATGTTTTGTAACAGACAGATGTATTTGTATCAGAGAAAATGCAGGTCTGTGTAGGATTCAAACTCATGGCCTGCCCAAAAACAATGTAAATATAACCTCGACCTATATGTCCCTGCAGATTTCACCATGTACATGTACAAAATAAATGCCTTCATCATATTTTTAACATTTTTATAACTTCTGCAGTAAATCTGGATACTTAATTGGTAATTTACTGGTTCACACTGTCCTGGTTCAGACTGTCGCGGCCAAGGTTGAAGCAACTTTTAGTACAGAGCTACATTGTGGACAGAAATTCGGATCTTAATTTAGTTATTATAAGTGAAATCTCAATATTAAATGTGTTATTTTCTTTGCCAATTCAAAAAACAAAAATAATATTTACCATTTAAAACCAGTACGCCTGTGGGTCATTTAAAAATACAATTTAAAGCATTAAATGTGATATTTTGATTAAAAAAATTGCCCTGGTCATTTTGAAATACAATTTAAAGTATTTAATCTGATATTTTGATTTTTAGCCCTGGTCATTTTTAAATACAATTAAGAGAATTAAACGTGATATATTGATTTTGCCCTTTAAACGGAAAATTTTTTATTACTTTTTTTTTGTAAGCTTGTACGAGTTGATGACGTGTTAAGCAAAGATTATTCTATAATCTCTAATAAATAGATCTTTTGTTTGCATTGAGCCTCTATTGTTCAAATATGCACTGGAATAGAAAAAATGTACGCAATAGTGAATTATATACGCGGCTTGTAAATGTATATATAGATCCGTTTACCTGTACGGGGTTTATTTGTAACAGTATACAGTCGTAGTCCCATGGTGCTTGTAAATATTTTGCCAACAGTATTACAGAATATTATGGATACGGTCACGACTACATATATACCAGGGGTTAAAATATATAATATGAAATATTAGTGTACAAGGCTTTAACAAATAATGTTATATGTACTTTAAGATTGATTATTGGCAGATTTTTTCTTTATATATAAATGAAGTTTAAAAATGAATCCTTTATAAAGAAAATTGTACATAGGTCATGAAATTTTCAAATATAGGTGTTTGGGAAGGGGTGATTAAGGGTTTGGGTAGTGTGTGGGGGTATTTTTTTTTTTCCTTCGTTAAAGCCTTTCATCAATACTGTATGTGCTAATATAATATAATTATGTAGATAAAGTTGCTATTTTTAGACATTTACTGATAATATTTTTTATGCTTATTTCATAAACTTGTAATGTCACTAAAATATAAAAATCATACTTTGAGACACAACAGTATTTTTTTTCAATATTGATAAAGTCTTCCTTGTCATTGTATTGGCAACACACATTGAATGTTTTGACAACATAGTTGTGGAATTCACCTTGTGATTACTGAATTAAAATATAGGACATTTTTACCTACTTAAGATTGTCAAATGTTGTAACTTTTTCACATTGATAGGACAGAATATTAAACAGGCTTTTCTATGTGTGTGACAGGTCTCCTTATAAGCATAGTGGTAAGAGTCACAGACTTCAAACCACTTGTCCCTCACTCCTTTAGGTTCAAATCCCACCAAAGACTTTGAAGGTTTTTTTTTCTTGCAAGAAATTACTATTCAGCTACTTAATATGCAAGGTTGGCACATGTAAATGTCAAAAATATTGCACCTTGACAAAACGCAGCTTTTCGAACTTCCGCTGGAAATACTCAAAATTCACTCTAATGGCCTTTACGTTGATGATGCGACTTTATAGGCAAACATGAGACGAAACCAACATGAAATATCTTTAAATTATAGAATATTGAATATCTGTCTAAATTTGTTTTAATAATGTATGCTGCCTGTAAAAACATCTGGTTCTTTTATCACCAAGCAAAACTGAAATATTAATAACAGCTTAATTTGACTTAAAGAGAATGCATTGATTTTTTTTGTCCAATGAAAATAACAGAAATAAGCTCAGTATTGTTTATCTGTTGGACATTCATAATGTATTGAATAGTCATGAAGTTAACTTGATATCTCAGTAAAAGGGATACAATTCCGTACTTGAACCAGTTTTAATTTGAATATACTTTGTAATTGATAAATTCAACAAGTGTGAAAATAACAGTTACATATGTGAAAGTTTAGAATTTCGAAAAATAATTGCTTTAATCACAATTTGAAATTGTAAAAAGGGAGATAATAATTTAGAAAACATCGCTCCAATAAAATAAAATGAAGATTATCTTTATCTATCTATCTATTATCTATTTAAGTGATGGTATTATGTCCAAAATTAATTTGATATATTATATTTTGTTGAAATTTAATTGCAATATGCTTACAAAATTTCAATGTTGTTCTAAGTTATAATTATTATAAACCAAATTCCTATACCTTTAAGTTAATCAGATATAATGATTTCATTACTTAGGGTACATAGGGTTAGTAGGTGACAAGTTCGAGACCAAAGGGTGGCACATTTCTGGAGAACATGTTTCAAATCCTAAAAGCACTGCACTGCTTAAAACAATTGTTTCCTGTAAAGAAGTTGTCAATTGCTTGCCAGTTGTTTGTCAGTTGTTTGCTGAGAACTGATTAATTTTTGGTACTGAGTGCTCAGTGTAAATAACTGCATGTATTTTTGTGATATATTTATGGAAAATTAAAACGGCTATTTGACAAGTTAACACATTTTACACCCATTTTCTTATTTACGTTATCAAGGGTGACAAACTCATTTATTTTTACAGATGAACAAAAGATGTTTTGCAGAAAATTCTGATAATTAAAACCACAGATGCCATTTTACTTTGTGTTGCTATTTCCATATATGTTACATGTAATTATCTTCCTAATATACATTCAATTACAGCTTTATATTTTAGCTGTTCACATGTATGATTCATACAATTGATAATTCTGTCCGGATAATTGACATAAAATAATTATATTTATAGATACTGTATTAACAGTTAGTGTGATATTGAAGGTTGGTCAATTTTGTACTTATAAAGTACAGGTCTAGGTGATACTGCTAAGTTTTGATAGATGAACAAATTAAAAATGCCCAAGTAAAACAAAATTTGTGTGAAATGACAACATGTTGAATTAAAATATATCATCTGTGTGAATGCATTGAATATTATACCTGGCAACTGTCTTTTGGCAAAAAAAATTGGCAAAATTAATGAGATAAAGTTTAAAGTTTAAGTCCTATCATTTAAAAGGCAATAATTTATTCTATGGAGATTAACCATTTGCATGTTTGTATGAATTTTTTTTTTAATGTAGACTACATTCTATTCTAAGTACATAAATTTTATATCAAAGCTCTTGTATTAAATAAAAAAAGAAACTACATAGGATTTTAAATCCAGAAGAATTTAAATGCCAGGCATGTTTAAAGCCATATTTCAAATACGGTAAAGAAGTGGCTTATGTATGAAAAGCGGGAGGAAAAAATCTATAAACTATACAATACTCTTATTCATGACTTGTCTTTATAAATTTACATGCAGAAATTAGAAAGCATTAAGCAGAACGCATTAAAGGAGAAACGAATAACCCCCACATACTACGTGTTAATCAATAACGCAATAATAAACTAAATCTACTTGGTATGTCAAACACTCCAATAAAGTGGTTGTTAAATTTGTACTTATATCTGTATGAAAGTTTGAACATGTCAATATGAATAGTGACTTAGTTTAAAGATATTCAAATCAATTTATTATGATGAAAGCTTGAAGTTTGTTTGAACAGCTCTCGAGACTGGTTTCTGCTACTTACCAGTTCTGGTGTCATATGAAAAAACATAGTTGTGACCCCATAGGGCTTGAACCCATAATCCCTTCACTCCTTGTAATAGGGTTTCTAAGCAAACAGCATGGATACTCAGATCAGCCTGCCCTGATGCACAGGCTGGTCTGGATCCATGCTGGATACAAACACACTATGTTGGTTTTGTCATGGCGTGACTCAAATACATTGTCTCTTTCTTTCTGTGGTTTGGTGCCTTTTGTCTACTTTCTACTAAATCAGTTGTTGCCAGTTTGAATCCCCTGGCAAGCAGGATTTTGTTTTTTCCAAACATATTTGCATCTTTCTTTTGCAAATTTGAAATGTTTATAAATCAACTTATACAAATTCAGTTGGGTCAGGTATACTGGTTAATGTGATAGCATTGCTAGTGTTCTGAATTTCACTTTAAAGGACAATTAATTAAGCTTTATATAGTGAAATCTACTACATGTACAAAGATTACAAAAACTGTAAAATCATGCAATGTACAAGAAAGCAGGACAAAATATTTGATGACAAAATATTCAATTACCATTTTTAGCTGGTTTTACCATGATTTAACACGTGGTCAGTCTGCTTTATTAAAAATTTACAAAACAGCATACTCTGGTCAGATTTTTATCAAGACATAAAACACCAGTCATAGACAGCCTAATAGGTGTTAAAGCTTTTTATTTCTTTATTAGCTTGTATTTTTTGAGAGGAAAACTCAAGCTATTATGATTGCTGTGTACATGGTGTAGTTGTTGTGGTCATCGCCATGAAAAAATTAAATGTAGCCCATTATTCAAACATTTTTAGCTCGACTATTCGATAAGAATAAGTAGAGCTATTGCAGTCACCCGAGCGTCGGCGTCGGCGTAACCACTTATGTTAAAGTTTTTGTAATAGTTCAAATATTTTCAAAGTCCATTGACATATGGCTTTGAAACTTTGCACATTTGTTCACCATCATGACCCCAACCTGTAGACAGGAGAAGGTAACTCTATCAAGCATTTTGACAGAATTATGCCCCTTTTTCGACTTAGAATTTACGTTAAAGTTTTTGTAATAGTTCAAATATTTTGAAAGTCGATTGACATTATGGCTTTAAAACTTTGCACACTTGTTCACCATCATGACCCCAACCTGTAGACAGGAGGAGGTAACTCTATCAAGCATTTTGACAGAATTATGCCCCTTTTTCGAGTAAGAATTTGTGTTAAAGTTTTTGTAATAGTTCAAATATTTTCAAAGTCGATTGACATATGGCTTTGAAACTTTGCACACTTGTTCACCATCATGACCCCAACCTGTAGACAGGAGAAGGTAACTCTATCAAGCATTTTGACAGAATTATGCCCCTTTTTCGACTTAGAATTTACGTTAAAGTTTTTGTAATAGTTCAAATATTTTCAAAGTCCATAGACATATGGCTTTGAAACTTTGCACACTTGTTCACCATCATGACCCCAACCTGTAGACAGGAGGAGGTAACTCTATGAAGCATTTTGACAGAATTATGCCCCTTTTTCGAGTTAGAATTTGCGTTAAAGTTTTTGTAATAGTTCAAATATTTTCAAAGTCGATTGACATATGGCTTTGAAACTTTGCACACTTGTTCACCATCATGACCCCAACCTGTAAACAGGAGGAGGTAACTGTATCAAGCATTTTTTTTACTATCAAGCACTAAGAATAGTCGAGCGTTGCTGTCCTACCGACAGCTCTTGTTTAAGTTATCAACATTAAACTTGAAATACTTGCTTTATATTATCTTGACAAGGTGTAGACATGGGGCATAATTCTGAAAGCTATATTTTTTGGAGTTATTCCCCTTTTTAACTTAGAATCTTTGTCAAAAGTGGTTATTTTAACAGATGAGTATTCAGACTGCATGCAATGTTCTTAATTTACCTGATATAGAATTTATTCTCTATTTTCAGTCGTGCTCACACCATTGTATGTATCAAGTTCATCCAGAAGTCAGTGAATGATGCTGGAGAAGAAATGGCTAAATCTTCTGAGGTCAACTTGGTCGATCTTGCTGGAAGGTACCGTACTATGTTAAATTTCAGTCAGAGTTTGTCATGGCATAATAATTTATGATCATTAAATATTTCATGTGTTTACAGTCACTGCAAGGAGTAAACTGCCTTGTTTCAGTACATTTTAAAAGCATTTGAGTGACAAAATTTTCCATTTGTGAAATCTAAAAGTTGTAAAATAAGCTTTATTTGGTAAAGATGAGTCTGTTCAAATGTAAGATTGAGAATTTTTTATAAGATTTTAGAGAGAAATAGAATTTTTTATTGATTGGAAATTGATTCCTAAACCAGGCATGTATAAAGAAGAAAAATCACATTGTTTCTGAAGATTTCCCCCAGGTAGCCTCTAATATTACGATCACACTTTTTTCCAGTGAGAGAGCTGAAAGTACCGGTGCCACTGGTGACCGTCTCAAAGAAGGTGCCGCTATTAACCAGTCATTGTCCAGTTTGGGTAACTGTATCGCAGCTCTTGCGGACCAAGCTGGTGGCAAAAACACACGAGTGCCTTACAGAAACTCTGTACTTACTAAACTGTTGAAGAATGCCCTTGGTGGAAACAGTAAAACTATTATGGTGAGATTTTATCTTTAATTTCAGGTGTTTAATGATTAGATTAAAATCCAATAAATTGAAGGAAATATGTTCGCCCGGTTTTTCATTTAATTTTAGTACAAAAACATCCTCAATGTTATCATTTTTGATTTCAAATTACTCAATAGTAAAGAGACTGACCCAGGTAATTCTTACAAGTGCCAACAATATAAACTTAGGCAAGCTTGCATATCTGTGAATAGGCTGTATTAACCTTGAGTACATTTATTGCTAAATTTAAACGTATTTTACATTGCACATAATTAAAACATCCATGACTTCTTGGAGACGGGAATCAAGATGACGTCAATGTATAAATCAACGTCACTATTGCTTTACTTGTATATTATTGAGATAATAAAAAGATAGAAACAAGACACAACGGAAGCTTACATTACTGTACCCCACAAGAATATTGTCCAGAATTATAAAAGAAGTGGCTGTTGATTATACATGTATATGTTCTATTTATAGATTGCTGCGTTGAGTCCTGCTGATATCAACTATGATGAAACTTTGTCCACCCTTAGATACGGTAAGTCTTATATCTGACATTGCAATATAGGCATTTTACCTCTTATTAAAGGAACTCTTCTGAGGTCTGAAAACTCTAAAAGCATAAAATTTGAGTTTCGTTAATAGATCAGCTGGGTCACTTTAAAACAGAAAGATAGAAATATACTCAGAAATAAATTGAAAATCATATTTTTGTGCTATTCATCGCCAGATTTGAGTACAAAAGTGTTGCAATACTTATTTTTTACTTGAAAATCGGAGTGAGCAAATTTGAAATTTTGCAGACAAGTTATTGGTCTAGACCTACATTGAAAGAAACATTTAAATCCAGGAAAATTATTTCCAGTCTAGCCATGTCAAAAAACCTCAGTGGAGTCCCTTTAAGTTTTAAGATCCTCGTATAAAGTGTATTGTTCTTACCTACAAAAATATATTTCCAAAGACTATATTATGTAGGAAAATTATTTTTTTGAGATACCTAGGTGTCTTTTTAATATAGAACAGAACATACACTTTATTATGCCCCCATTTCGAAGAAAAGGGGGTATATTGCTTTGCACTTGTCGGTCCGTCGGTCCGTTGGTCCGTCGGTCCGTAGACCAAATGGTTTCCGAGTGATAACTAAAGAACCCTTAGGCCTAGGAACTTCAAACTTGGTATGGTGATTGGTCATGACCAGTAGATGACCCCTATTGATTTTGGGGTCAAGGGGTCAAAGGTCAAGGTCACATTGACCTTGTAAGCAAAAACGGTTTCCGATCAATAACTAAAGAGCCTTAAGGCCTAGGAACTTCAAACTTGATATGGTGATTGGTCATGATCAGTAGATGATCCCTATTGATTTTGGGGTCAAGGGGTCAAAGGTCAAGGTCACATTGACTTTGTAAGCAAAAACGGTTTCCGATCAATAACTTAAGAACTTTAAGGCTTAGGAACTTCAAACTTGGTATGGTGATTGGTCATGATCAGTAGATGACCCCTATTGATTTTGGGGTCAAGGGGTCAAAGGTCAAGGTCACATTGACCTTGTAAGCAATAATGGTTTCCGATCAATAACTAAAGAACTTTAAGGCCTAGGAACTTCAAACTTGGTATGGTCATTGGTCATGATCAGTAGATGACCCCTATTGATTTTAGGGTCAAGGGGTCAAAGGTCAAGGTCACATTGACCTCTTGGGTAAAAACGGTTTCTGATCAATAACAAAAGAACCCTTAGGCCTAGGAACTTCAAACTTGGTATGGTGATTGGCATGACCAGCAGATAACCCCTATTGATTTTGGGGTTAATGGGTCAAAGGTCAAGGTCACATTGACCTTGTAGGTAAAAACGATTTCCGATCAATAACGAAAGAACCCTTAGGCCTAGGAACTTCAAACATGGTATGGTGATTGGTCATGACCAGCAGATGACCCCTATTGATTTGGGGTTAAGGGGTCAAAGGTCAAGGTCACATTGATTTTGTAGGTAAAAACGGTTTCCGATCAATAACTAAAGAACCCTTATGCCTAGGAACTTCAAACTTGGTATGGTGATTGGTCATGACCAGCAGATGACCCCTTTTGATTTTGGGGTTAAGGGGTCAAAGGTCAAGGTCACATTGACCTTGTAGGTAAAAACGGTTTCCGATCAATAACGAAAGAACCCTTAGGCCTAGGGACTTCAAACTTGATATGGTGATTGGTCATGATCAGTAGATGACCCCTATTGACTTTGTTGGTCAAGGGGTCAAAGGTCAAGGTCACATTGACCTCTTAGGTAAAAATGGTTTCCGATCAATAACTAAAGAACCCTTAGGCCTAGGAACTTCAAACTTGGTATGATTATTGGTCATGACCAGTAGATGACCCCTATTGATATTGGGGTTAAGGGGTCAAAGGGCAAGGTCACATTGACCTTGTAGGTAAAAATGCTTTCAAATCAATAACTTAAGAACCCTTTGGCCTAGGAACTTCAAACATGGTATGGTGATTGGTCATGACCAGCAGATGACCTATTGATTTTGGGGTCAAGGGGTCAAAGGTCAAGGTCACATTGACCTTGTATGTTAAAAACGGTTTCCGATCAATTAACTAAAAACGCTTAGGCCTAGGAACTTCAAACTTTGTATGATGATTGGTCGTGACCAGCAGATGACCCCTATTGAGTTTTGGGTCAAGGGGTCAAAGGTTAAGGTCATGACCAGTAGATACTTGATAACCCTTATTAATTGTTTGATCACTGGGTCAGAAGTCATAATAACCTTATCACATGACTAATTGGCTGCTGATAGGGGGCATACATGTTTTACAAACATATCTTGTTACTTTTAGAAATGAGCCAGCATGATAATAATCAAATGGTCAAAATACATTAAATATACAATGTTATTGTTCATTGATATGTTGATCATAGAGACATGTATTTGTATTATGTCTTGAATTATTGAAATGAACAAAGCAAAATTCACTAGTTGAACTAGACAATAACCATATAACTTTTTATGCCCCCGGGCATATAGTAATTGAACCTTCCGTCAGTCCGAGCAGACGAGAGCTACATTATGAGGTTTAGGTTTATGTACAGGCACTCTGTATGGGGTTCATTCCGTAGAGACATGTATTATGTGGTTAAAAATGCTCTTATGGGGTTAAAAAAATTTGCTCTTGTGGGGTTAAGAGATCAAAGGAATAACCCCACAAACACGTCTGCTAAGTAAGTCCGTCCGTCTGTCCGTCTGAGGTTAACCTAGAACGGCAAGTTGGATTTTTCTTAAGTTCTACCTGTACCAATGGCTTCTAAGTTTACACACTTACTAATCAATACAAAGTACATGATCTGGGCAAGTTACATAACTCTGGCTTTCATATTTACCAAGTTATTGCCCTTTTCAGCACTTAGAAAATGAATAATGGTTAACCTAAAACGGCAAGTTGGAAATATCTTAAGTTCTATCTATACTAATGACTTTATAATTTCCACACTTACTTATCAATACAAAGTACATGATATTGCCAAGTTATATAAATGTGTCATCCATATTTCCCAGTTATTTCCCTTTTTTCACTTTGAAAATAGGGCCTTGTCTGGTTAACCTATTTCGGCAAGTTGGATTTATCTTAAATTTCTCCTAATTGCTTAATTTGTTTAATGATATCTTTCATATTTAGTAGGTGGATACCTTTGATGGTCCTCTAATTTTTTGTGGAGTTAGCGGTCTCTAGGGTCAAGGTCAAGGTCACTGGTCACTGGTTTAAAAAATAAATATAAACATTTTTGCTCATACAGCCTTTATTTTTTAGTTGATGTCTTAGTTTAATACAAACATGCCAAGGGAGGTCCTCCTTCTTTGGGTGTAGTAAGGGGTCATTTGGGTCAAGGTCAATGTTACCACTGTCAAGGTCACCAATGTTAAAAATAGATTTTTACATTTTTACAGGTGTATTGACCTTATTCTATAGACAGATGTTATTTATAATTGATAGAAACATAAACTTTGATGAAGTTAGTGGTCAGTTGGGTCAAGGTCACCAGTGCTAAAAATAGATTTTTACACATTTGCTCATACAGCCTTTATTAAGTGACAGATATATTTTATATTTGGTAGGAAGATAACTTGCATGGTATTCATCCTTTTGATTGGGGTACGGATCAGTGGGTCAAGGTCACTTGTGCTAAAAATAGATTTTTACACTTTTGCCCATACAGCTTTTATTTATTGATAGATGTATTTCATATTTGGTAGGAAGATAACTTGCATGGTATTCTTCCTTTGGATGGAGTAAGGGGTCAGTTTGGTCAAGGTCACCACTGCTAAAAATAGATTTTTACACTTTTGCCCATACAGCCTTTATTTATTGACAGATGTATTTCATATTTGGTAGGAAGATAACTTACATGGTATTCTTCTTTTAGATAGAGATAGGGGTCAGTTTGGTCAAGGTCACCAGTGCTCAAAGTCGATTTTAAACTTTTGCCCATACAGCCTTTATTTAATGACAGATGTATTTCATATTTGGTAGGAAGATAACTTGCATGAAGTTAAATATTTTTCAACTTCACAAGTCAGAGCAATGACTTGGCAACTTATATTTTTTTACAATTACAAAATCCCATGACTTTGTCAAGCTAAGCTATATAACTTGTGTTTACAATTTTTTGGCAATTTTTCTGTCCATAACTGAGTGAATGGGTAAACATTTTTTGAAATATTGCTACTGACAAGAATCTGAGCCGGGGGCATTTGTGTTTAACAAACACGTTCTTGTTTATAATAATAATACAACTAAAAATACAGTAGTAGATATTCTAATCTACTTATTATTGAAATAATATGATATCATTTATCTACAGCTGATCGTGCCAAGCAGATTAAATGTTCTGCCAAGGTTAACGAGGATCCGACTGCCGCACTGATCCGAGAACTGCAAGAAGAAAACGAAAAGCTCAAGCAGATGTTGGCAACAGGCAAAGTGGACGTGTCTCTCATGGAAGGGGACGATACTGCTGACATGACTGATGAAGGTTTGTTTTTATATAGATTATCTCCCCTTCAAATAACAATTATGAACTAATCAGAAAGGCTCTATACAGGAAATGGCTGTTTATTTTTACCTTCATCATCTTTTATGTTTTATAAGGTTCATCTCTTTAGCAACAACTTGCAATATTGTTTTGCTGAATAACATCAAACAATTCTTGCAGTACCATTTTCCTTTGCAAATACCCAGTGACGGGCATTTTCTATGCCTTTTATACAGATTTTGGTTTTTTACATAACTTTTTTATTATTTACTTGATATGTATGTATTTCCTTCAATGATTTGAGTATGGCAATTGAAAGAATACGATATAAATGTTAAAATGAAATTTTTTAGAGAGAGCCGCCATGAAGAACGAGCTGAAAGAAGAATATGAGAGTATGTTAGAGAAGAACAAGAAGGACATGGACAATATGGAAGCTGAATTCCAGAAACGTCTCGAGGAAGCCAAGCTCACGGTAAGTTATTTAAACAACATGGAGAGGTGGCCTATTGACTAAAGTGTATACCTTTTAACTAGAGGATACTTATGTTGATGTGCAGTAAAACCAAACAAAATAAAGAAACAAATATATATTTAATACAAGTACTGGTGAGTTCCAGGAGGCAGGCTTGAGAAAGGGTTAATTATGGTTAAATCGAAGTGTCTGGCTTTCATCCTTTCAAACTTTATCTGAACCACTACTGACTTTACTTATAGGCCTTTGAGCACAATTGTTAAGGTTATGACTTTCAATTATTATTTTTCCAACTTTATTGTGGCTTGTTTTTCAAGAGCACATTGAATTATTTTGTGTGAGGAAACTATTCATCCAGCTTATGGGGAGGTTAACCATAATACCTAGATGTCTGTAACCTTCCTTCTAAATGCATGAAGGAGCTTAATATTCCCCATGATAATCTTCATCTTATAATGCTAATTTAAGTTTGACCATGCGAGGGAACTGGTAATATTCTTATTCCATTACTATGAAAGTTTCTTGTTTAACTATTTTATCAAGAGTTGTATGTATCATAATATTATTATAGAGTGACTATGGATCTATAGCTGAGATTAATGAGAAGAAGAAGAAGCACCCACATTTGTATAACTTGAACATGGACCCACAGATGACTGGTAAAATTATACATTTTATCATCGAGGATGACTGTACAATCATAGGAAACGGGAAGGGTGAAGGAACCGACCTCACTCTAAGAGGTGGCAGGTAAGGGTCGGTCACATTGGTTAATTGATGTTTCATGTTTAACTACTTGATGTTTTATGTTACACTAATTAATGTCTGCACAAAGAGAAAAGATAGTAATGAGTACCTTTTGCAGGGTCAGGGTTAAACTTGCCGATATCAATTCAATTTGCACCCATGGGTATGGGTTCGAATCCTGCAAGGACAGTTTAATTATTTTATGTTGGAAACTTACTCTGCTAGTGTATTAAAAGGTTGATTTATAACTGTGTAATTAGCCAATCCTGTAATTATATAAATAGAAAGAATCTGAGGCCATCAGGCAATCAGGTCACCTCACTTAAGGTGGAAATTTACGTTGTGACACTGTTTTGCCATTTTGACTAAATAGACAGTCTCCAGAACCTAATAAAAAATATTTTTAATGAATGACATTTATTTTTTTACAGCATCATTGATATTCACTGTAAGATCAACCATAAAGATGGTGTGTTCACACTGGAGACATTCCCGAACGCTCGTACATTACGTAACGGTAAAGCCGTCACAAATGAGACCAAAACACTGAAACATCATGACCGTTTGGTGTTCGGTACAACCCAGTTTTTTGTGTTCGCAAATCCCTTGGATACCTCTGGATGCAAAGTAGAAGAACCGACATTTGAAATGGCCCAGGCAGAGATTGCCACGAAATCTGGTGGATTTGACATGTCTGGTGCAAACAAATCCAGAGGTTAGTCAAACTATATACCCATGTAAAGCTGTTGTCTTGCTCTGTGCAGAGATCAAATCTTTCATCCAATATATATAGATCACAATTGTTTATTCCAGGATTAATAATATCTGTCATATGTTGCGTTGGGCGGGTTCCCGAGGGACAGATATACCGATCCAAACCGCAAACATATGTTAGATATTTTTTCTTGCATATTCTGCCATATTATTTCATATTTAAAATGGTTTACCTCAATATGATATATGTTCATGGAAATTAAAGTCATTTCATCCATAACTATTTTCTTACAATAGCGTATGAACTTACAACTTAAATAACAACGGCGAGATGACGTCATCCTAAGCACATATTTCTCTTCTAAAACGACGTCATTTTAAAGCGGTTCATTCAAAAAGTGCGCTAAAATGACGTTGTTTGGCACGCGACTCATCTGGCACCCCCCCATGCCAGAGGAAATTTTCGGCATGGGTAAAACTCACGGAAACGCCAGTCTGCTATGCAAGAGTAATCCATCTTATCTAAATGATATAATAATGTATAAACCTAGAATGAATTAGATCTTGAGCCTGGTTGCTACAAATTAGATTTTGACCCTGGATCTAATTGATGTACTTTGTATGAATTAGATTTTGACCATGTATCTAATTGTTTGATAAAAGATAATTATATAAAAATGAAAGTTAAATATAATTTTTTATGTACACCTTTAATTGCAATAAATGTAATATAGCATTTTGTATTAATATAAAAGTTATTTATGACACAATGCCAGGACAATGTTCATTCTTTACTGATTGATTTCAGAGGAGGCCCTTCTTCAGCAAGAGTTACTGGAGATCATGCCAGCTGTTGAGGAAGCAAACAGTGTATCAGAGGCTCTTGGTAAAAAGAAGAGATTTGATCTGATGATTGTATCTCCCGAGGCTCGAGGGGAGTTAAATGGCAGAACAGAGGTTAGTCAGGATGTCTTCATAGCAAAAAACAAGTCATTTGGTGGCTGGGTTGGGATGGGAGTAAACTGGTAGACAGGAAACAGGTCCATTGGATGGCAGGGTTGGGATGGGAGTAAAATGATAGACAGGAAACAGGGTCATTTGGTGGCAGGGTTGGGATGGGAGTAAACTGGTAGACAGGAAACAGGTCCATTGAATGGCAGGGTTTGGATGGGAGTAAAATGAGAGACAGGAGAGGTCCATTGGGTGGCATGATTGGGATGGGAGTAAACTGGTAGACAGGAAACAGGTCCATTGGATGGCAGGGTTGGGATGGGAGTAAACTGGTAGACAGGAAACAGGGCCATTGGATGGCAGGGTTGGGATGGGAGTAAACTGGTAGACAGGAAACAGGGCCATTGGATGGCAGGGTTGGGATGGGAGTAAACTGGTAGACCGGAAACAGGTCCATTGGATGGCAGGGTTGGGATGGGAGTAAACTGGTAGACAGGAAACAGGTCCATTGAATGGCAGGGTTTGGATGGGAGTAAAATGAGAGACAGGAGAGGTCCATTGGGTGGCATGATTGGGATGGGAGTAAAATGAGAGACAGGAAACAGGGCCATTGGATGGCAGGGTTAAGAAAGAAGTAAAATGGTAGGGACAGAGAACAGGTCCAAAGTTGATTCAAAGCCCCACAAACCACAGGTTTTTTGTTTGCCAGTGAACTTCACTTGGACTAGATTTATAGTACATAGAAGTCAGTAAAGTCAAAGGAACAGCTTATCATGTATTAATGAGAAATAGCATGTGACTTTTACATCAAGATGTGTAACCTAAGTTATGTGAAATAATTCAGCTATCAATACCTTTACTGAATTCATGCATTCACACAAATTTCTCAAAAACATGAAACCAATGCTACATTTTGAAAAAGTAAATGATTTAACAATATCAAAAACTTAAATATCATTTATTATTTTCCCCATGCTGATGTTAAGATATTTCATTGACATTTTCTCGTATAGATATACATGTATCTTATCAGTTATGAATGAAAATTGTGATAGTTTTCAGTTAGTTACTTTAACTATAACAATGAACATTGCTTCCTGGTTGCTAGGTAACAATTTTGGTTTCTATGGTTACAGGTGATGGTGAAGATGACATGCACAGACACAAAGCATGAATGGATTTGGGATAGAAACAAATTTATTGACAGAAAATGCATTATGTCTGAAATGATGGACAAGTATGAAGATGGGCTTGAATGGCAAGTTCCACAGGTATGAAACTTACTTAAATGAGTAACTACAGCCAAAGAAATTTAATTTAAAGCACTATATTTATTCTAAAGTTTTATATTTAACCCAAAGAATTGAAGAGCAAGCCAAAGATTTAGGGCTTGAAAATAATAAGACATTTCAAAGCATTGCCTTGATTCCTCAAATGATTATCTCTGTTTGCTTACATCTTAAATCTTTAAACAATATAATATATGAAAGTAATTTGAATTATTTATTAAATTTACAAATTTTTATTTGTTGTTTGATGTATTTCAGGATAAAGATCCATTTTATGATGATCCCAAAGCAGATTTCCACATTGGCAGTGTTAAAATGTGGTTACAATCTGTGTCCTATATGGTAAGAGCTTGGTCAATTATCTTCTTAGTGTATATCCCTTACTGAAAATGTCACATTTTAATCTCTGAGTGTTGACATTGTCTTACATAAGTGGAAAAGAATTCTAAAGTACTTTTCCTAGAAGCATCTTAGCAAGAAATCTTCATGGACAAGTGATGCAAAGCCAGTTTCTGCTTTCTTCCAAGAGAATTCCATTGAAAATATTTCATTCTCTACAGATTTGAGATAAGAAATATTGTACTGATGTGAGACCAGAAATATTGCCAGAGAGACTGTATCATAGCTTTTTAAAGCTCATGCTGTTGTGTTTAAAGCTTAATGAATACATTGTATTAATTTATAATCAGCAAGACTTTAGTCATGTTTTCCTTTGCCTTCCAATGCTCAGTCAAATGAATTAATAAAGATTAATTAACCACCAGCAAGGAGGCAAATTTACTCACCAGGTTATGTGATATTGGTGGAAATTGGTTTCAAACTTGTTTGCTTGTATTTCAGATTGAGTCCAATGAAACTCTAGATGTCACAGATTTTAAAGGTTCCCCTGTTGGCAAAATGAGTGTAAGTATTTAAGAGCTTTTTGATTCTATTAATCATTCATTACCAAGACCTTTATAATTATAGTAAATTGATGTTGAAACAATATTTTGCTATAAGTATATTTTATTGTTTTATCTAGAACTTTATAAAGCTCATCAAAAATATAGTTTTACAGTTAGAAGCATACAACAAAATGTGTTGTAGAGTCTTAATTATGTTTGTTTAAATAGCATTTCATAAAACATGGTGTGGAGTGGAGTTGTAAAGAGCTTTCTGTTGATACTCATTAAACAAAGTATTAATTTGTAACAAACTAAACTTTCAATAGTTTATAAATAATTTGAGTTAGTGTCATTGTTTAAATTTATTATCTCCCCTTATCAGATTGGTGTTTTCCCATGTGATCCTAAAGGAAAGGAATTCACAGAAAAGGATGATAAATTTGTTGAAGATCCAAATGCTCTTGTTGGCAAGAATATTGACTTTAAGGTGAAGATTGTCAATGCAAGAGGACTACCAAACAAATATACAGTAAGTTTGGAGTAAATTTGAGAATTTATTGCGAGAAAAAAAGTTTTCTTTCTTGACAAATTATCGTTTTTCTTGTTGTTGTTTAATAATTTGGATATAATTGTTGTTAACATTCAAAATCAGAGAAGTAATTGATTATATATTAAAAAGAAAAAGTATGCACTTGTGATGAAGGATGTATTTTCCATGTCATTTCAAGCATATTGGCACATTGCCAGTAGGCCAGAAAAGTAAAAACAGGTGCAATTATGACTTGAGAAAAATACTGTGTGACATTGCAGAGGGGCCCTCTGTATTGTAAATACCTCTTTTCAACAACAGTATCAGTTTTTTCCTAAAGTTAGATTGAGAACAAATGCAATATCTCTAGATCATAGTTTCAGCTATGTCTCCCAAGGGTGTTGCTTTGTTGAGGTTGTACTGTAGGTTTTAGTCAGTATGGCAGCATTAAAGAAACTCCAGTAATGTCCAAAAGCCTAAAAGCTAAAAAATTTATTTTCTTGCATAGATCAGCTGGGGCACTTAAAACAGAAATACATGCAAATGATAGTTAAGAAATATACCAGGTTCCCAGTATAAATTGAAAATGGTATTTTTGTTAACCTTCTTAGTTCAATTCACTTTTCAATTTTTGGTCATTTGTCAAAATTTGAATAATTATTCTGGAAAATGGAATGAACGAGCAACGATTTGAAATTTTGCACACATGTTTTTGGTCTAGATCTACATCAAATGGAAACATTAATCTCCAAAAAATATTTTTAGGCCCGTCATTTCAAAAAAACTTGGTGGAGTTCCTTTAATAACATGGTGTTTTATTGGTCTGACTTGTGGCTTTGGCATTACTCTGTTGTAGTAACAGACAAGAAAGTCATATGACCATACGAGCACATGCAATTTGACCAGCCTTCATACTTATGTCTGAAATACTTTATCATGATAACGACCAGTTTTAAAAGGGATGTCCAACAACTTTATTAAGGTAATTTAGCAGGTTAGTATTTTAATGAAAGCAAAAGTGCCCAGTCTGCCTTGAGTAAAAAAGCATATCACCAGTTGTAGCTATTATATATGTAATATATAAACTATTATATAATTTTTTTTTCAGGATGTCTACTGTAAATATAAAGTTTATTTGGAAGACAAATTCACACAGACCAAAGCTATCAAAGATACAACTAACCCGGATTTTAATCATGAAAGAGTGGTCTCCATGCAAGGAACTCAAGAGGTAAAAACAAATTCTTCAAAAGAAATGAAGGAAACCAAAGTTCATTTCTTTTATTTGATTTTTTACTAAGAGATTTCATTACAGTGGCTTCTAATTAAAATGTTCTGGTCATGTATTTTACAATTTTAGGAATGTAATATTGGCACATAATTTATAGTTGTGAAAGGGATATTAATCAATTTTGTTGCAATGAATTTTACCATCAGTATAGTTACCATAGGCTAGCGGCCTTGTGGAAGTGTGCCTGCCATGACTGTGTCATGATTGGGTCTGATCCTTGGCTAGGTTTTGTTACACAATCTCTAGAGTGGGGAATTTTTAAGAGGGGAGAGATTGTGTAGTGATAGTGTTTGTCTCTCAACCAGTACTGGTTAGTTCCAGGAAGTGAACTTGAATATGGTTCAAATAAGTTTAAAGCTTTCATGATAATCATTCTAGAATAAATATGTGAATGTTATAGAATAAATACATGAATGTTGAAATTGTACTAGTACCTGCTTCTGTTAAAGGGTTAATAAGGTTGAGTTTCAAGTCATTCCTGTGTTTTCAAAAATTTGAGAAGATAGCCTGTCATAAATTTTGTAAATTAATGCATATATAGCATGGTATATTAATTAAACAGCACTACAAAAATGGCACTTCTACAAATCATTCCTGAGGCATGCACATTGCAGAATAGGCATATAGCAGGTAAAGTTAAAGTCATCCTAAGTTCCAGTGATGATTGTTTGACCTGTCATGACAAACTCGGTAGATTTTATATTTAGAGATGCTAAGATTCCACAGCATATGCAAATCTCCAGTTATGTCTTTGTAATAAAATGTATTTGATTTTTTTTTTCAGAATGTAGATTTTTTGAAGACAGGTGCATTTATTGTACAAATCTGGGGTAAACAGAAAGATCAAAAACCAAAGGCAGGTAACAAACTCAAGATGGCTGCTGCAGGAGGACAAGGTTTACATGTGGTTAACACAAACCAACAGGTGAGTAACTGTAGTATCTTAGTCAGTGATTGCACTGAGTAATGATTAAAGAAATACTATGCTCATCTTCGGGTATAATCATTTTATTGCAGAAATGTATAGAAATCTTGTATATTCTTCCTGAGTATGACTTATCTTAATAAGTGAATGTATGAACTATGCTTTGGAAGCTGCATTTTGTATAACTTGTCAATTTAATTTGGTGTTTTCTTATAAAAACTGCCAGTTTTTTAATGACACTATGTAATCACACTGTGATTACCTGTAGTGTGAAGAGTTTAAAATGTAACATATTTATTATGTGTGTTCAAAGATGGTGTTTTTTTTTTTTCAAATATAAAAATTTAATTTGAGCATTATCTGGCATTATCTTTACCAAAGTCAAAGATTTTTTATTACAATTTTCGGAAAAGGTTTTGGTATCTTATACTAATAAATAAAGCTTATAAGGGTGCTATGATTAAGTGCTTAAGGTCATTGCCCGGAATCACTTGTCCCTAAATTACTGATTTGGGTTTGAAACACATCAGAAAAGACATACATTGTACATGTGGCACATTTTACTTATAAAGATAGTTTTATTTATTACGTTTCATCTTGCAGAGATTTGATCCAGAAAAGGTGAAATACATGATGGAAGTCACTGCATTGAAAAAGAGACAAGAAAAAATGGAGCATAAACTTGTGAGTTTATTATAATGTATCTATAATTGCGATAATTTATTGTAATAAATAATTTCTTACTTTACTTGAAAATAGGAAAATAAGTGAATTTTAGTTTCCCTGTAAAATTGTATTATCAAATGTTAATTATCTAATTGTATGTAGACATGGGACATAATATAACAGCTCTCTATGAAACACTATATTACAAGCTCACTTTGTAACACTATATTATAAGCTCACTATGTAACACTATATTATAAGCTCACTATGTAACACTTTATTACAAGCTCACTATGTAACACTATATTAAAAGATCACTATGAAACACTATATTAGAAGCTCAATATGAAATAATATATTACAAGCTCACTATGTGACACTATATTACAAGCTCACTATGAAACACTATATTACAAGATCACTATGAAACACTATATTACAAACTCACTATGAAACACTATATTACAAACTCACTATGAAACACTATATTACAAGTTCACTTTGTAACACTGTATTACAAACTCACTATGAAACACTATATTACAAACTCACTATGAAACACTATATTACAAGTTCACTTTGTAACACTATATTACAAACTCACTATGAAACACTATATTACAAACTCACTATGAAACACTATATTACAAGTTCACTATGTAACACTATATTACAAACTCACTATGAAACACTATATTACAAGCTCACTATGTAACACTATATTACAAGCTCACTATGTAACACTATATTACAAGCTCACTATGTAACACTATATTACAAGCTCACTATGAAACACTATATTACAAGCTCACTATGAAACACTATATTACAAGCTCACTATGAAACACTATATTACAAGCTCACTATGAAACACTATATTACAAGCTTGCTATGATTGTAACACTATATTACAAACTCACTATGAAACACTATATTACAAACTCACTATGAAACACTATATTACAGGTTCACTATGTAACACTGTATTAAAAGCTCACTATGAAATACTATATTACAAACTCAATATGAAACACTATATTACAAACTCACTATGAAACACTATATTACAAGTTCACTATGTAACACTGTATTAAAAGCTCACTATGAAACACTATATTACAAGCTCACTATGTAACACTATATTACAGACCCACATGAGAAAAATGATTGAGGTAGCTGAGGAGCATCAGAAACGTAAAGTATCAACAAAGTTGATCAAGGACATTTACAATGCACCTACCAATGACCAGGCCGAGAAGTGTATAGCTCTTATACCTCTGGAGAAAGGTAGGAAACAGTGGTAGGTGTCACACCAGCCAACCTCGTGCTACCAAACTAGAATTGATTACAATATTTTAACAAAACAAATTTTGTTAGACTTGTTGACAAATCTCATGATGGAGTAGAAAAGGGATTTTTTCGGTCTTCCAACATTAAAACTTATACTTTACCATATTTATAGTGCACAGACAGTCCCGCCGGGATTCAGGTTCAAATCATTTTTGGGACATTTGATTTCTTCACGTAAGCAAGCTATCTGGGGTGGGCTAGATGATAGAAAGTCAGTTGCGATATTCGGTGCTTGCAAGTGCCTTACATACAATGTAGTGCCATATGACCTGTACAGTTTTGGTTTGACTTTAAAGAAAAAAAGATATTAATAATATCTGTTACATGTTAAGGTTTGGATTGGAAAATCAGACAACTTTATTTAAGTAATCTAGCAGCCATGTAATGTATTGATGAAATCAAAACTGCCCAGTCAGTGTGTGAAATTATCTTCCAAATATATTTTAATATTTACGTCATGAAATTTCTAGCATGGGTAAAACTAATGGACACACCACTGTGATATGTAAGAAATTTAGATCTATAACAATACTGACTTGGGGAAAAATAATTACAAAATATCATTAGAAGTGGAAAAAATAAGCAATAAGAGTTCTAGATTGGTAGCATGAGTGTTTCCAAGCATGTCTATAGTGAGTTACATGCATTGGAAAGTTTTAATCTCTTATTTTTATATTTAAGAAAAAAAAATCTGTAGAGCTGGTAGGCCTACCAATCAAATTTCAATATTTTTACTATTTCTCCAACAAAATAATTATACAAAATTGTACATTGGACTGATGTTTCAGCTGAATGATCAAACCTACAAGAGTGATAAACATTAATAAGATAGTACAATAGCAGTATTAGAAATTGAATTGATGAATTTTTTAGAATTAAGAAAATGAAATATTTATGACAAGCAATATGTTAAACATTCATTTATTTTGATAACTCTGACTTAAAAAGTGATAACTCTGGCTTAAAAAGTGATAACTCTGATTTTAAAAGTGATAACTCTGATTTAAAAATGATAAAGCTGAAACTTAAAAATTGATAACTCTGAAACTTAAAAAGTGAGAACTCTGGCTTGAAAAGTGAGTACTCTGATTTAAAAAATAATTACTCTGACTTAACAAGCTGCTATTATGTGGTTAACATATTTCAATTTTTTCTTGGTATTGACTTTTAGATTAAAAATCAATTTTTATTATTGAGAAATATTTCTGGTTTAGATTCGGATGATGAAGATGGTGACGGGGGAGGAGATTGCTGAAACAATAAGGAAACCAATTGGCTCTGGTTCCCCCTAATAAACAAGACAAACAAGATACACAAGGAACCGATGGTAAGAAAAAACATAAGAGATCAGGATCAAAATCTTCTCACAGCTCTAGCTCCAGCAGCAGCTCTTCAGATTCCTCCGATGACGAGAAAAAGAAGGCAAAAGGCAAAGAAAAGAAAGTATCACCTAAACACAGTGCGCAGAAACAAAAACGTCCTTCAAGTCCCAAGAAGAAATCAAGTGCTTGTGTACTTCTTTAAGTTTAATTCCATAATTATTTTCTGTTCATCTTCTTGATGATGAAGTTTTTGTCTAAAATTAAAATACGGAATATATTTTTCATTGTTATAAGAATAATTCACTTTAGTCTTAAAATGATATGTAACTGATAGAAACATATCTTTGTTTATTCTTTATTGACCACTTAAATTTAACTTTTAAAGCTTTGGGGTTGTTTTTAGATATTTGACTTTAATTTATCAATGGTGAATCTTAGATTTTTGCTCCAATGTTATTTACTTTTACAAATAAACAGTCTTACGGTTCTTGTTATGTCTTGTTGACGAAATCTTGTTGGTTGTGTTATTTTGTATATAAAACTTTAGATAGTGACCTTATGGGGTAATTATACTCAAACTGTATCAGACATTAATTTAAAATGCTTTGTTGTGCGATGAAAATGAACTTGAATCATACGAAATGGAACAGATGTATATGTGAAATATGAACAGATAGATACATTTTGTGCTGATTGTACATGTATGTCTGACCTTAAATTATAATTGTTGACCTTTTTGCTTTTGTTGTATAGTAAAATATTTTTGCGGTTATATTTTTATGTAGATAATTACAATTTGTCCTTAAAATCATTCCGTCCAGTGAATTATGTGTCAGTATTTTAAGTATGAAATTAGTGATTTTGTTATTTCATTGTGTTTTTCTTATAATTATAAATGTAAATATTTCCTAAATTATCTTTATATATACATATATATGTATCAGGTTGTAGGTGTGAAACCATTTTAATTTTATATGAAATACCGTGAAATTTGGAACTGTCTGTAATTCGGCCTTATCAGTGCAGGTATAATGACGCAGACTTATCAAGATTATGTTCATCCAATTAGGAAAATGTGCATCATAATTTCTGCACTTCAATATAATAACAGTGATGTTTCTCTTTAATATACTGAAACAAGATATTGATCACTGAGTTCTAGGTATGCTTTTCCTATTGTTTTAAGGCTAATTTGAGAACTACACACATTTTTTTCTTCGCTTTTTGAATATCGATACTATAGTTTCAAATAGTATTTGCGAGCATGTCCCTTAATTGTACTTAGTATCTTCTATTTGGACCACACATAGTTCTACATACATAAATATATTAATGTACCGTATGTGTCACCATTTCACTCATGTAGTTTAATATAACCTTCAGAAACCATGTTAAATCATATGATGTCATCATCTATTTATAGCAATGTTTATTTTTAGCTCAAGTTTACACATAATATAACATATTCCTTATATGTTCTGTGTACTCAGATGTCATGCAATACTAAAAATGATCTTCATTGATTTATACATGTTTTTTTGTGCTCAATATTTCTTTTTTCGTTGAAAATGAAAAAAAAAATCTAATATGGTTAGAAAAATTTAGATATGAAATATAATACCTTTATATGCAAAGCATAATAGAAGAGGTGAAGTTGTATTACCTTGTATTATCCCCTTTTTCCAATATATATTATTTAAAGGGACATTACTGCTGTGTTATTCTGGAATGTTTACTGCCATATTTGTACCCATGATGACATAATCTTTTTTTTATGCACTTGAAAATTGTTGACATTTGTGAACTGTTTTAGCAGAGATGTAGAAAGTGCTTTATGTTTTATCATCAGCCTAAATGATCAAGTGAGACTGACTACCTTATGTAGTCATGTGAAAGACACATTTAGTCAAATTGACTATCAAGGTAGTCATTGGTCCAACTACTATGTTATATAAATAAACATTCTCATTTTAACTGAAAATTTATTAACCAATTAAGTAGGTAGTCATATTCGAATTTGAGAAAAGGCTAATAACAAATAAGGTAGCCATATGCTAATTTAAGAACACATGATCAATTAAGTAGTCATGTGTTAAATAAAGATCTGGTAGTCATGTGTTATATAAGATCCAGGATAGATTACACATACAGATAAAATGTTGGGGGATTAAACTTTCCCCTGAGAAATGTAATAAAAATGACGGTAAAATATAAATTAATATATAAGTTATAAATTTATAAAATTATCTATAAACATAAGTAAATTTTATAGCCAATATTAACATAGTATTAAATGTGTGGTTTCTTTGTATTCTTCCTTTTCATCTAGTATTTAATCAGACAAAATAATGGTGAAAACCATTCTCTTGAAGCGAAAACTGTGATACGGAAATGTATAACACTAATAGCTATTCAATTCTCATATAATCTTTCTTGAAAAATTAATCAGAATCTATTAAAATGAAAAATTAGTAGTAAATCTGTAGTATTAATTCACTTATATCAATCACATGTAGTAAAATTGATTAAGTAAAAGTAGTAAAATTGATTAACCAGTAGTAAAATTGATTCAAATATAAATTAATTAATATAATTATGGATTAATTGATTGATTAACCTCACTTTGGAAGCATTTTCTGTGATACAAATAGATAATATATGTAAAGTTAGGTCAATATAATAATGCATAGTGCTAGACTATAATTTAGCTCTAAACTTTTGAAATTTGCTGACTCGGCAATTTTCAAGCTCATGGGCAATTTCTGTGATAAAATATACATGAAATATATATATTTCTTCTTATATGTAAAGCACTAGTTAAAATTTAAACAACTTGTATTCTTAGGGAAACTCAAATAGTGGTTTGATAAAGTTTTCAGTCTGTTTTTTGAAACAAAATGTATTTGAATAACATTTTTTTTCAAGCTCTAGAAGCCGAATCTGTGATATTTAAGGCGCTGTGATACATGTGGTTGCAGGTGTTCAGTTCGGCTTGATTTCTTACATTTTACAGGCTTAGAAGTGAAAATGAACCAATTTGCCATGTGCTTTGATTGCAGCAGTGCTACATTGCCCTGGCTCATTGTTTTTGCAATGCAGACTCCTTAAAAATGTGATTGAAGGACAATTGTTATTTTTTAGGGGTTTAAGGGGTGCATGGATTGGCATTTTGATACTTATGTAATTTGTGAGACAATCAAGAAAACTGCCCTGCTAGTATAATTTGTGTGATGTATTTTTGTGTCTGTTTGTTTCCTAGCATCATGTGCTGGTATATGTGGGAAAGTTTCATATGTAAAGAAGGTCATATGTGGAATTATGGTACAAATGATACAATGGTGTTAGGCTGAGCGGAAAAGAGTGGGTGGGACAAAGATTGGTTTAGCTTCTTCGGGTGTTGGTAATAGGAAATGCTGAGCGGTAATTAGGGAGATTGCTGATTGGGTAAATTTTTGAAATGTTCGTGGGTATACCGGGGCCTCGAGGGGGCAAATTGCTAAGTGGGGATATTGGAAAATTGATGGGTAATAGGGAACTGATTGGTGGGTAATAGGAAAATGATGGGTTGATAATAGGGAAATGCTGGGTCAGAACGGGGGAATGTATAAAAGAAATTTGGAATGAATGGTATTTTCTGCAAGTTCACATTATTTTTGTTTATCATTTTTGTTTTATTTATTATATTTCCATCCTAAATCCTTTGTTGTTTTTTTTGTAAATATTATATGTTATAACAGTTATTTAATTTAATAACTCAAAACTTTCCACCCAATATTTGTAATAGTGGTTTTCCCTGTTGTAGAACTTTTGATTATTTAACTATATGCTTTGTAAATAGTGTGCTTTATTTAACACAGACATAGGTTGCAGTGAGTTTTTTCTTTTAACTAAAAAACACAATATAGTGCTATTCAAATATAAAGTTGCTACTATTTTATCCATTATAACTTTATTAAATTTGATCTGATAAAACTATCATCAATGCTAAAAAAATAAAGAGAGAAAAAAAATGAGTCAATTAAATACTTTATTGCGAAGATTTGAAAAAAAAATATATGGAAATGCGCTCGTATGAGTGACAATTTGGTATGTGAGCTTGAAAGATTATCTTTTGTTTTTATGTTAGTAAAATACTTTATTTATTTAAAATTGAATTTATTTATTTGAAGTAAGTTAACTTATGAAAATTGGGCATATCTAAGGAAAAAATTCAAACATCTTTTGAGACGTGATATGGTTAAAATAGTGTGACAAGTGACGTAATTTTGTAGTGGAGTAATATGTAGTTGATTTACATTCTTAATTTTCAACCTTCCGGTGAACTATTTTTCATTGGGTTTACATTATTTGTTTTGAAAAAGGAATGCACATGGAATTTTCTAACCATCTGTCAACATCAATTTTGAACAGAAATTTTGAAAATTAAAAAACCAATTTTTTTTTACTGGGTTTTCTGAATGAAGAATGTATTAATTACTAAGTTTTTTTTTTTAATCATCAAAATTAAATGAAGGATGAAAATTAAGGATGCTAGTGTTGGTAAGGGGGCCATTTGGAACACTGCCAAAATTTGAATTTTTGAAAACTTACCCATGCAGAATGCTGGGTGAAAAGCTTATCAAAGCAAAACTGTGATACTTTGTAAATAAATCGATTGGTCAGTCATTTCATTAAAAGGAGATGTTTAAAAGACTATGTCTTTTTACATTGTTAGATTTCATGGACATTCTTTTCGCCCAATTTTCATTTCATGATCATTAGCAAAATGTGGTACATAAAATATATACTCAACAAATGACCCTCCGGTGAATAAAATATATAACATCCCGCCACTCGCACGCTCTCACATATTGTAGCCACTTTATTAAATGTAAGCACTTTAGAATGTTTATTATAGTAAATGAAAAAAATCAGTTTTTATCTATAT